ATTATATAATAATTATATTTAATATAAAGAAAAGAGAATTATATTTAAAGAAGAAGATTTAATCTTTAAGATATCTATTAAAAGGGCTTTTTATAGACTTAAAAGAAGTTTAAAGTAATAATAAAGGCTTTAAAGCTACTAGGCTTATAACCTATTATAATTATATATATTATCCCATTATATAGAATATAAAGTATAAGTTACACTAGTACATATTATAGGCGGTACGAGCCCTAATATACACCCCACCTACTAATCCAGCCGAAGTGACTGTAATTGGTTGTGGAAATCGAACACGTCCCTAACGATGACGTGCTCGCCCACGCTACTCATCCGTTGCATGTGCTGAACACACATGACAAGTCCGCCAAGAATGTCATAATTACTAGACGAAAATGTGCCATTTGACAGCTGTTTGCAGAGCATGAGTTTTTTTTTTTTTTTCGTTCACATACGTCTCAAGTTCAGCATTAAACGCTCAAGTCAACTCTTCACGTAACAACGTCTGCTGCGGAAGGAACAAGGGAACGAGGTCGTGCCTGGAAGGAACGTTCGGAGAATGCTTTCATGGCCTGTTTCTGAATCGGGCAAGGTCTGATCACACCTTATTTCTGGGTCTCCTTCCGGCACGGTCGACCGACCGACTCCCGTTTTCTTTCCGACCGACTTGAGCCGTTGTGGTGTCTATGTCGGCGCGCGTCATAATAAGGTGCTCAAAAGAAACGTTTAAAACTACGCACTACCTATTGCCACACTTTACTACATCCATTTGAGATATTCCTGGTTTCCTTTGGCCAGTCAGGCTATCGCCGAAGATTGGTGGAGCTCTCCCGCTTGGTGCGACGTGCCGGAGGTCGGATCGTCGGCCACAGGCAACTACGCCATCTCTCCACGCATACGGCCAGATGAAATGCAGGACTTACCAAACAATACTATGCACGCTTGTGCCCACGACGCGGAGTCATCGGTGATTTTGAACTACCTGCACGAAGAAGTTTCTTTTTGCCTCACCTGTTGCCGGATGCGGCCCTGGACTACATACATATGTGGCGTTTGATCTGCCACGAACCGTCCCTGCTCTTTCGGCCCATCGGGGCCCCAGATGATGCATAATGCCATCTCCCGACAGTGAGATACTGGAAAACGGCCAATCATGGAAGTCATATTCGCATACACTCTCGCCTTTCGATAATTGATACGAATAAGCATATTTTACACATCTCCATTCTTTTGTCTCTGTAGCTGTATGTTGTTTGCATCTCTCAGGACAATTGGTCTGCCAGCACTGCAGATTAGTTGGCAAGTTGGATATGCTCAAACATTTCATGACTGCCTGTCAGGTAGTCAGCAAATCTGTGTGTTCAAGTAATATCGCGCTCATGGCTAAGCTGTACATCACATCTTAGTGACGACATTGACTTTGAGATGCCCAGTGCAAAGTAAACTAATCGACACTCTCGGATGCGTCATTTACCTGGTTCCAATGTCTCACCAGTTTCCCACATCGCATCTTACAAGCCGCAAGTAAGACTACTAGTCTGGCTATTTGGCTCATCGATTGCCACTCAGAATCGTTTACCACAGTATTATTATACTCTCGATTCTGATGTGTTCAGGTGCCACCACCCATGTTAAGCTACCCTGCACGCACAATTGACTCTTGGGTACGGAGTACTTCTAGAAGGGAAAAACATTACAACCAACGGGCATTGCGGCGAATATGGACATTAACGAGATATTTTACCCATACAAATTGAATCTATTTTTTTTTACAACTCGCTGTTCTCCTGAGCCAAGCGTTTGACTGCGGCTGGACACTACAAGGGAAAATGGAAAACATGATAAACGTGCAAAATGACCTTATACAGACCAGTTGCTGAACCAGAGGCAAGCACATCTCAACTACCGAGGCAGTGTCCTTTTCGTGCATACCCAACTATTAGAACCATACTCTCAGCTAACCCTTTCACAGCGCTTCAACATCTATAGCGATCATGCTGCATCTGTTGGGAAGCCATGAGTTATAATAGCCGCACAAAAGCAGAGAAGAATTTGATCAAAGGCACGACTGATAAGCCATCGCATTTCCAGCGACCTCAAAGAAAACCAATAAACTTGGCATGACCCGTCAGGAAATAGAGCATGAAAGACATCCGGAAGTGGCAGGCCTACACAACTTGTTCACAAAACACATCCTTGGGCCAGTGATAGGAACCACTCTCTTCACAGGCCAGATCGAACTTCACGTGAAATTCGGAGTTTAACCAATGCGTGGCAGATTTGCGCACCGACCGGCTGTCTATTTTTCTTCCAATGGCGATCATAGCTCCAAATGGAGCGCACCACAATGATGACTGCAAAAGAAGAGACATACACGAAGTACTAGAGATGTACCGCGGCAGCATGAGGAGACATTGAGGCGGTTCTAGACGTTGAATCGAGTAAATAGGTCGCAATGTACTCCGTATTGGCCCTCGTATATCTTCACCCACTATAGTATACGCTAAGTGTGGAAAAGATCCCAATGTTGGAAGATAACTAACCAAGCTGGATGCAGCCGACTGTTCGAGCGGATCCGCAGGAGACGATCAAATTGATTGCAAAAGTGCTAAGCAGCGGGAAACAAACAGGTAGCCCATAGTGGGCTGACTATTGTGACGAGTTCTGGCCGATGCATACAACCATCGAGTGGCCGATATGAAGATGCCCTGAGGGTATTTATTGTACGACTCCAATAGCAATGTTAATGCAGACTCGCCCAGATGATAGTGATTGCCAGCGGGGACTGCATCCTCGTTTAGCGAGATCTGTGTGCTAATTAGCAAAAGGGCTCTTTAGTAAATGAAGTTCTAGTGTAAATGACGCCTCTGTGTGATTGTTCATCTTCACGATGCCGCCCCGAGCACCGGCGTTGTAATACGATACTCTGACGTCTTTGGCCGGCGGTGGCTTCCACAGTTTCCCAGATGAGAACAATGCATATTCGAGAAGTGTTCGCAGGCAGCGCCACTGGCAGACTGTCGTTTGTGCCGATCATCACTGTGACCTGCTCTTTGCGATAAAGTCACTAGGTCCTAGCTGGCTCTTCCCGCTAGGTTCCGACCTACCTTGCTTAGTACCCGAGATAAAGCAGGGTAAAGGTGAACCATAACACCAATACTAGAGCACCAGATTCCACGGTTCCACCTTTTTGTTGCGTTGGTGCAGCTTGTTTGGCACTCTGGCCTGGACTGCCCTCTTCGTGGTCAAAGGAAACAAAGCTTGCGCCACCTCCCAAATGGTGCCTCCCCGCCCGTCATGCTCCCAGCCTCACGAATGATTGATAAGGCGGAGGTAGGGTCTTCTGTTCGGCCTCCGAGCCAAGCAAACCCCAAAGCCAGCAGGTTTATCCGTCAGATTGTTGGGCGAGCATTTGGAAGTGATTAGGACAAGGAGCAGGCTGTCCTGGCGGGTGGAGCTATAGCTGGAAGAGTGCTAGTGAACTGGTAGTAGGAGTGTGTAACTCTTGTTGGGGTTTGTGAGACACTTCTCGATTGAACATGATTCATGGTGAATCGACTGCTCGAATCCAGGCGGTGGACCAAAGCGGCACGAGGCCAAGAGGGTGCTGGCCACTACGCCAACACGCTATCAGACGGCAATGGCATCCGAGCTGCGAGACGACCAATCTAGATTGTCGGCTTGATGCCAATGCCAATGCTAACGCTAATGCTGATGCTGATGGTGTGGTGTTGTGGCGGGCTGTTGGCTGCCGTCATTCGAAAGTTTGGCCGTTTGGAATTAAGCCAAGACGGTTGGCGCCACTTGCGTTTGTCTGGCTTCAAAGTTACGGTGCGGTGCGGTGCCTAGTCCGGTCAATCTCGCCCAGGACAACTGGTCAAGGTCCACTTCATTATCGATCAAGGCCATTTTTGGTGTCTTTCTGGAGATTCCGGTCCCGCGCTATGTGGTTGGTGCCGTTGGCGCCGCCGTTGTTGCAGTCCTGGGTAATCCGGCCAGGATGCCCAAAAATACGAGCTTGCTTGCCCATCTCAAACGGCCAACTCCTCTTGTGCAACCCATCTGTTTTTCGCGCTCCCTGGGGGTTAGGCGACCTGCCCGGCATCATCGATTAGAGCCGGTTCGAGGGCAAGTAGGCGTCGTGACGAGAAATTGAGTTGCGGTTTTCTCTGGTTCGTTTTGACGAACCTGAAGTTTCCCAGAGTCACTGACCATCATCAACGCGCAGTAGCGCCTGCCGGCCGAGACAACACACAAAACCCCCGACCGCCCTCGAAATCGACCCTAGACAGTTTGCTTCATGCTTGGACAAATTTCGACTTTCGACTTTCGACTCTCGATTCACGACTGGCATCCTTCTCCTCCATCCCATGTCTCGTCTTGTTCGCTGGCGGATGTTTGGCCTGCACATTGCGAATTCGCCGGCTCGCCGCGGCTGACTTGAAATCTACATCGCCAGCAATTGTGTTGTGTCGGGACAGCATCACAACCACCAGCGTTACCCAGAAGGGCCCTTGGGCTACCCTGGAAACCCTCCGTATCGAGTCGAATCCTCCCCTTAGCCCTCCGTCTTCATGCCTACTGCACAATGCTACGATTACGTTCCCCAATGACGGCTCTTCTGCCGCTCCTAGCCCTGCTCCTATGCCATTTCACGACGGCCAACGCGCGAGAACCCGTCTATATCAAGGGGTTAGGACTTGACGGCGTGAACCGTGACCTTGACGTTAGCCGGTATCCCGCTCTATATACGGGTGATTTCGATGACTGCCTCGGTGGAGAGAGCTTGTTTAATGTCACCAAATTCGATGCTGCATACTACGCTGATAATCTCACGGTCCTATTTCACTTGGATGGAACGACCAACATACATAAAGAAAACCTCATTCGTATGATCATCCTCTGTTAGACTCCATATTTTACACATAAGTCAAGGCTAACCTTGTTTTCATGCCACAGTTCACATATCGGTCGAGGCATACGGGGAGAATAGATTTAACATGACGTATGATCCGTGCAAAGCCAACATTCACAGCATGTGTCCGTTGAACAATTCCGTACCTATAACGGCGTTTGCAGCTATCCCCCTTGCTCCGCACGATGTATCTGGCATTCCCTCAATCGCATTGGGAATTCCTGATCTAGAGGGCTTGGCTCGTCTACAAATATTCGCTAATTCAACACAAACTCAAATCGGATGTTTCCAAGCTGTCATGACGAACGGCAACAGCTTTTCGCAGCCGGAAGCTGTATCATCTTTTCTTGGAGTGATGGTGTTCATTGCTGTGCTAGCGTCATTTGCTACTGCCATATATGGCTTGAGCATCCCACATATGCGTGTCCACTACGCACATTCATTCTCGGTTCTCGTCATTTTTGAGACACTGCAGTCCATGTTCTTCTCTGGTGCCCTGTCCGTCAATTGGCCTAGCGTACTTCCCGCTTGGTGGAGCAATTTTGCATGGACAGCAGGCATGTTTGCAAATAATCAAATTGTTCGCTCAGTGAGCTCCTTTACGGGCAACAATGTCAATATCACTCAAGTAGGAGGCGCTGGATCAGTCCAAATCAATAATGGCGGTGGCCTCTTGCAGCAAATCTACGGACGATCGTTGTTTGACGCATCCCTGTTCCAGAACACGGCTGGCCCCTTAAAGTCTTTCACTCAACGGAATGCATATAATGCAAGCGATCCGTACGACTATACTTGGGGCGGTCACCCAAGGACACCTGGTATGCCCATGCCTGGCACTTGGCCCGGGTTCAGTGGAACCTTATCCTTGCTTAACATTCCTCCAGCTGAAGCGTTTACCATCTCTATCATATGGCTACTTGTCATTCTGGCTGCTGTGGTATTGTTTGTCGTCGCAGTGAAGCTGACTTTGGATCTCTTGATAAGACTGAGGTGGCTCAAATCTGATGGCTTTGACTATTTCCGTTCCCACGTCTGGGGCTACACTATCTCGGCCCTCCTTCGAACACTGTTCATTGCCTTCTTCACCGTCATGACCCTCGCCATGTACCAGTTTTCACTTCGTGGATCTGCTGGGCCGACTGCTGTGGCGGTCATTGTATGGTTAATCTTCTTGCTGGGCATTGGAGGGATCACAGTCTATGCCTGCTATTTCCGACTTCGACATGGAAAGTACGAGACGGGGCCGGATAGTCTGCGTTTCGAACAGGGCACCATATGCGGCAAGGTTCCTTTCATTGCCACGACGAGACAGAGTAAAATAGGCGAAGAGGAGCCGAGCCAAAGACCGTATCTATTTGGCACTATGCCATTCGTCAAGGTCAAGTACGTCGACGACGACCCGAATAGAGACCCTGTTCACCTGGATGAAGGATATGTGAAGAGATTTGGTTGGTTGTCAGCCCGGTACCGACGATCAAGATGGTGGTTCTTCGCTGTTTACCTTGGTTACCAATTCATCCGAGCATGCTTCATTGGCGGAGCAGCACGTTCGCCTCTGGCACAAGTTTACGGACTGTTCATTTTTGACATCATTGCCCTCGTCGTAATCATGAAGCTGAACCCCTTCGAAAGCAACCGAAACACCGCAGTTGCCGTCTGGATGCTATCAATTTCTAAGATTGTAACCACTGGCCTGTCCATCGCTTTCCTGCCCGCGTTCTCTATTAATCGAATTGTCGCCACGGTTCTCGGTATTATAATCATCGTCGTCCAAGGATTTGTTGCAATTGCAGTCTTGGTATTGATCGTATTAGGGGTGCTTTCGACGTGGATGTCCCTTTCCCGCAACCGAGAAGAATTCCCGCAGGTTTTGGAACAAATTCGCATCAATTATTTTGAGCACGCAAAGGCTTGTGCGGACAACTTCCCGCCGAGGCCGAAAAAGTCAAAGACAAAGGAAGAAACGAGTGAAGAGCCCCGTCAGGCCATGTTTGAGGTCAGAGACGTGCGACGTGCACCCAAGATCGAAGACGAGGGCGTCGATAAGTTTCCAGACTTGGATCCGCCCAACATGTCAGTCACTGGCGTCGGGGCTAGTGGGCGTCGGAGTCGAGCAAACAGCGCCAGCTCGAGATTCTCTGTCAGCAGCCTCCCCAGGACCACTCGTGTCCACCGGGCATCCTGGAGCTCCAAGGACATTCCCTTGTGGGATTCTGAAATGAACAGAGGGGACCAACAGCGTGTGGGCCACTCGCGCGCCAGCTCCCTCAGGTTATCAGGCTATGTGGCAGATGCTCCAGGGACCAGTACACCGGTTCGGAGGCCCATGACACCACAGCAGGAGATTTTAGAAGAGCCACAGGTGCAGCAGCCAGACAGCTCACCAACAGAATACACCGACAGCAGCCAAGCTTTCGATCCTGAGGAGACCAAAACAAAGGACAAAGAAAAGGAGGGTTCAACACCTGCAACAGATACAGAGCCTCCAGAGGTAGAGGAAAAGCCAAGAGTGGAGTCTGAGGCGAAGGAGGCATCATAGATGACCTTGTGGTGATTCCATGTGGGATTTAGCCTTGATCAAAAAGCGAAATATGGCCTTTATTTACTCCAATCATAGTTTATTTTATCGTGTTAGCGCAATCTAGAAGCTGGGTGAAGGATACAGCGGATCAAAAAAGAGGAACGAGGGCAGGGAGGCCAGGTTACCTTGGGATTTTTGCCATTACAGATGGATGTGTGGACCTGGCGAACCTGATATGTGACGCGTATGGGACTCGGCGTTGGTGACTGATTTTTCCAGCATGGCATAGCATTCTGCTTTGGGAGATTGATTCATGTTTGGTGGGCTGCATGGTCGTCAAAGGATGATGATGTTGGACCAGGTTTTTGTTACCAACAAGCACCTGTCTGACGATAGTTTGCTATTCGCAGGTCGATTTAATGAAAACTCAATGTAATATCTGGTCGAGCCGAGGCTCATAAATGATGTATAGTTTTTTTTTTTTTTGCGCTGAAAACACTATCGTCGTGTGCTTGAAGGAAGTGACCGATACCGGTGTCAAGGGCGTGCACGCCAATCATTCCCAAGAGCCAAAGAAACCGGAATAGAGGCCATGGACGGGCGTCTCGAGGGCTTTGGTCAAGCCAGTGTTGGGCAAAAAGGTTTCTGGCCTCGTTGCATGTTGCATCGTCGACCTAATTTCAACTTTGCACTCGGGGTCAAAGACCAGCTCCATACTTTACGTACACTCCGTACAGGATGGGGAGCCGTGGCTCTCCAACAGCCACCGACAGTCAACCAACACCGGTCCCCAACCGCTCTGGGTACGCAAACGACAAGTAGAGTCGTTGATCAGTCCGTCCGGTCTTGGAGCCTTTATCCACACATGGAACGATGAGGACGCCACGGAACGGCCAACGCGGGCCGGTAGTTGCGAGGAACAGGGCAGAGTGGCCTGATTCTTCTTCCCATTCTGTTGGCATGTGAGACTCTTTGTTGCTCTGCTGTTACACGGACGGTACCCAACTTGCCTCGACGCAAAAGTACGGACGTGCTGCTGGCGTGAGTTTGGGGAGGGGGGGATGGAATAAAGGGGGGGAAGCGAGTTATCGAGTACTGGTTACTTGGTAGACGGCGACGGAGAAACGGGGGCGTCTTTGCGGCAAGCACACATGGCATACACGTTTATTCAGATTTTTCTTTTTTCCGTTTGTCCAGCAGTACGCGGTACTCGGTGTATTTTTAGTATTTTTTTCATAATTTTAAACAGCAGAGAAACATCAAGGGCCAGGGGGGCCCCCCGCGAACGCAGCCTCATGTACGGGAGTACTCCATACCACTGGCAACCGACAAACGAGAAGAAAGGAAAAAGGAGAAGGGAAAAAGATTGGGGTGACACAACATGCAACAAGCCTCACATTACGGAGTAGAGGCCACCCTATAACAGAACCAGGACCAGAATACCCGCACCTATCACGGTCAAAAGCCCCAGCACGACAAGCCACACCACAGCGTGACACCATCCGTGATGCCGGGAAGCCACAAGGCCCTCCCCGTCTGTGTCGGCGTCCGTGTCAACGGAGGAAGTGATGGATGTGGCAGCCAGGCGCTCGGTCGAATCCGCCTCGTTGGGGGCATCGTCCCAGTGACACCGGCGGGAGGACTCGAGGTCCAGCGCGCCGTAGTTGTGCTCGTCGACGTGCCAGAGCAGCAAGTTAGTCACTTCGTCTTCGTCGTCGGATAACAACAAAGACAATGTCGTTGCTGTCGAGCCCGGAGAGCGCAGGATGGCTGGCGGCGAGGTCGCGAAACCGTCGGATCTGCTCCTGTCTACATGGAAGGCCGTGACTTATCAGCAAACCTTGCTTTTTTCGTTTTATTTCCCTTCGTCTTTGAATTCATGGGGGAGGAGTAGGAATTGAGAATATGGGAATACTATTGGAGGAAAAGAGGGTAGGGGGGGAGGGGGAGGGAACAAAGACGTACGCTGCGCAGGTGAGGCATTCGGATTGGGGGATGCTTGAACCGCTGGGTTGGCCGCACACGGGGCAATAGTAGAATACGCCGGTGCGGACGCGGTCCATGGTCCTTTGTTCGAGGCTATGGTGATGCTTAGGTTTTTGGTGTAGCGTTTGAAAAAAAAAAAACAGAGACGGCGTGTAGTGCTTCAATGCAACGACTTGAAACGGAATCAAGCTGGGAAGACTAATCGAGGAATAGAACAAAGGTTTGAATGATTCAGGAGCGACAATTGTCGGAGTCGACTTGTATAATCAGAAAATTGAAAGACGAACCCAAGCCCTCTTTATACCCAAGCCCAGTCGTATGCTGTCACGTACAGCTATCCCCATGCTCATTATGATGCCATGCTCATCACCAACATGCAAGCGTTCACCGAACTCGCCAAATACGTGCCAGTCCACACTTCTCGGGCCTTTACCAATTTCCTCTGCGCATCTTTGCCATGTCTAGTGCGAATGCGAGCAACAGGAAGCCATCAGCAACGAGGAGGAAAAAAAAGGCCTAAACAGAGCAAAAGAACCACGCATCACAAAATCAGCCAATAATGCGTCCCTAACTCGGCTCCGAAACCAAAAACAAAGGGCTTCAGAGCGTTTCGCCCACGCCCTCCCCGTTCCCCCCTGTAGCCATTCGGGACGGATTCCATGAGAAGAATGTCGGCAGGCAACAGAAACGGTAGAACCGTCTTGTTTGGGTATCAAACTATCGACCTGACTGCAAGCCCGTCTTGGAACGGGCTAGTTGCTGCTGACAAGATTTCCATGCTCTCCATCAGACACCGCGAAAGGGGAGGGGGGTGGAGGAGAGTCACCACCCCCAGGATATCGGAACAGGCAAGGGTGTCGTGAACTGCCTGTCTCAGCGGAAAGCTCCGTCTTTCCTCTTTTTTTTCCCCCATAACGGTGGCGTAGGGGGTAGTGTTGGTGTCAAAGTTTGTCTGGGGTGTGAAGCGAACCCAACGTCGACAAAGGGTCCGATCATTGTGTGAAGCGAGCGACTTCCCCCTTCTCCTTCTTCACACGTTGTTTCTCATCATCATGGTGTTGCAGATGTGAGATCGCCGAATGGTTTGTGCTTGAAACTATATCCCTGGCGGAGAATATTCGAGTTCGAAAGATTAAAAAAAAAAAGCCCTCAGCCAGGGGGTTGGTTCGTGTTTGCGATGAGAACAAGGTTTGACAGGCAGCTGCGCAACCACACGGACCCAACACCTCAGCATTAAAACAAACATCTCCTCGCTTCTCCATGCAAAGTCCCACGTTATCCAAGGAGTAGGACGTCAACGGCCCCCAAAAGGGGCATCTCGTGTCGCCACGGTCCGGCAGATGATCACGACGTTGCTCCTCCCAATACTCCCTCACACATCACGCATGCTTCGTAAGCCTTCTCCCCCCTTATCTCGGAGCTGTCATGCAACACACACAATGCTTAGACTCAAGAAAGTGGATACGGCCCTTTCTGGCAGCGGAACTATCCGATTAAGCAAGAAAGCGACGTGCTCTGCCTGGACTGCGGATTGCATTGTGCCCACCAACACGGCATACCAACATACCAACCCAGCGCATGTTGGTTCTGCCAGCTGAACCGTGCCGGTAGCGTCGTCCTAGCCTGCTCAAGCAGGGAAAAAAGAAGCGAATGCGACGCTGAGCATAACAAAGAAGGTCGACAGTGTACCTGAGACTGGCATTAGAGAGCCATGGTTGGTGCGGTTGTTTAGTCCCTGCTATTACATCTCGTCATCTGCTTGACTGACCCTGGTGGCAGCTTCTATCAGAGCCCACGAGTTGACGGCCTGCAGTAACCATGTTCCTGGGAGCTCTGGAAGCCTTGTCCATCTGCCGTGGTTACCAATCCATTACTAAAACGACTCTCGTCAACAGGGGCCGACTAACCATATGGAACATGATACAAACATGTGCGTCCGACACGAGGCTGTGTTGCTTCTTGGACCCAACAGATGCGACCTGCTGCAACCTGCATAATTCTCCTTGGAGATGTCTGCCACCGGACTACTTGGTGCGGAGCAGGATCGACGCAACTGGCCTGGCCCTGTCCACAAGACGGCCTCGTTTGTGGCCCGCAATCAACCCCATTCTTTAAACTCTGCAACACCGACACACTGCCGAAGTCCGGATCTCGGGATACAGCAGACATGACGATCGACAAAGACGGTTGGGTTCTCGCAGGACAGACCGAGTCGCTTGATTCGCTTCAGCCCTGTGGCGGCAGAGTTTGGACTGATGTGTGGAGAAACAAAGAAGGCCGGCCCTGTCTCGTGAACTGGGGCCATCCATCAGATCCAGAGCCAAGCAAGGTGAAAAGCCATCTCGGCCGAGTGAACAAGCCAACGCACCCTTGACGACCCCTGCCTCGTCCGAACAAATCACGTCCTGTTCCCACCGGAGACATTTGATCGATTCGATCCAGGCAGAGCCATCAGACCATTTGCGGCATATCGTAGAGATTGCACCGGGCATTGTCTGCAGCTTTGGAAGCTTTGGCCAACATCCATCATCCGCCTGCATGCAAACCAGCAGACTTGGCTTGCATCTGACGAGAAGCTCCTCTTCCCCAGCCAACAAGTGACAAATGTGCCGTCTTCCCGAACACGCACGACGGGGCTTGCAGCCAACGCTTCCGATTGCCAGACATGGCAGTTCGTTGGTACGTTGCGAACAATCGGGCCGCGTGTTGCGAGTCAAGAGAGACAAGAACATCCATGGCAAAAGACCAGGGTTAACATGTGGTATGGTGGTTGTAGTATTAAGAACCCTGCCAGACTTGACAGAGCACCAGAGTTGAAGAGTAAACCAAGAGAAGATCCATGAGCCTCGTTCCCATCTATTGCTCCAATTAAAACTCCATTTCTACCATGCAAATGACATGCCAATGTCCCATACTTGTTTTCTCCATTTCATCTTGCCTCGCAGTTTTCCCACGGCCCCTCCCATATCGCCTTCTCCTTGTTTCATGTGACGTCGCCTGCTACCGGGCAACATGAATAACAAAAAAAGAAACAGACTGAAACGTGTGCAATGCGCCCCCATGTGTTGTACAGTACGGCCAATGAGATGTAGACGTTTTGCTGATTATGCCCAGAACAACGAATGACTGGCACCACCCTGTGAGGGACAAGGTTTTGCAAGAAGGAGAATTTGTGGGGTAAGAGGGATAATGACAATGAAACGTTGTCGCGCGTGCGTGCTACTTTTAATTACAAGGAAATACATGGCCGGTTGATTATAGGGTCGCGGACCGGCATCCGACCTTTTGGAATCTAGCGTCGTTTACAAAACAAGGGCGTGAATGGTTGGCCAAGTGCGGCCAGGTCTATGCGTATAGAGCCTCAAGGAAGTAAATGAAGCCGAAGATCAGGAAGGCAACGGCCCCGCCGACGGTGACTACACACGCATGTTAGGAAAATCACGGGGTCAAGGCATGCATGTCGATGCAGGGGAGACATACCGATCTTCAGACTGACTCTTCCGGCAATGGCCCGTCCTCCAATAACAGCCACACCGGTGCAAATGGCATGTCCGCAGGTTGCACCAAGAGTCACCCACCAGTAGTCTTGGCCAGCAGCCATGGCAATAGTTGCGATTTGACTGCGATCACCCCATTCGCCCAAAAACGTCATGGCAAAGGTCTGGACCCAGGCCGGGCTCAAGAGCAGAGAGCAGAGGTTACCAATTCCCTGCATGAAACCGCCCATGGATCCGGAGCGTCGGGGAGGGCTGCGTGATGGGGATTGTGATGGCGATCGAGGCGGTGAGGGGAAACGGCTCTTAGACCGAGAATTCCTGCCACCAAGGCCCATTTCCAGGTTGTGAGCGGAAACACCGTTATGCCCATTGCCCATCTCCTTTTCCTTCTCTGCTAGCTCCTGTTCTACCTCGTGCATCTCAGCTGAAACGCCTTCATTGGAGTCCATCCTCATACCCTCATTGAGAAGTTTAGCACCAAAGACAAAGAACAGGGCCGCTGCCAGGAAGCTTGTGAGGCGTTTAGGAATCAGGGTAGGAACAGCATGTCCCAGAACAGCAGACAGGACAGTCATGACAAGCAAGGCACCGAACGCAGCGGAAAACACCACCATTCTATCATGCTTCATGGCCATCAGTGCAGCCACTAGGAAAGTCTTGTCACCAATTTCAGAGACAAGAATCATGGTAAAGGATAGCATCCATGAATGGAATGGCTGGATAATGCCCTCATCATTTTGTTCAATGGGGACTTTGGATTTAGACCGGGATGTGTCCTTGGTTTTCGGCGGTGGTGGCTCGAGCGCATCTTTTGTTGTTGTCGACGACGATTTAAATTTGTCTGGTGTATCGGGGAGATCATCGGGTTTCTAATTATTCGACAATTGATCAGCTATGTCTTGCGACGGTAAAGAAAAAGGTGACTGGACCGTAACGGCACGACTTACATCGAGACCTGTGTAGTCTTTGCTGCCGTCCTGCTTGTGCAGTTTCGCCTTGTCAGTGTCTTCGTCCTTGCCGCCACGCAATTTTCGCTCCTCGCTGTGTGGCAGTGGCGGCTTCTCTTTGGGAGATTCTGGTTGCGTGAGGACCTTCTCGCCGGTCTTTCCCTCCTTTTCCTTTCGTGCTTTTGACTTCTCGGTGACGCCCCCTTCGGTGCCCGTGGAAATTCCCTTTTCAGGTCGGTCACGATTTTTATCGAACATGACACCGTCATTCGTCTTGGGGATCTTCTGGCCGTCAACCAGGGTTGGGTCGTCGGGTCGGCCCTTTAATGGCGGTAGTTTCTGGCCATTTGCATCGACGGCCACACCGTCAGTATCGACAAAAGGGCCGAGATGAGGCTTCCCATCCTTGCCATCAACAGGGGCATCTCTAGTGGGTATGAAAGGTCGGCCTCCAGCGGCTGCTTCGACATTAGTAGCATCGTCGGCGTTACGTGAGGAAGAGGGGATGGATTTGGAGTCGTTGTCCTTGGCTGCGGCGACGGCGCGAGGCGAGAAGCCGACGGCCAGCGAAGGCAACAGTATGAGCAGCAGAGGTGAATGGCCGGTTTGAAACTTCATGGCGGCGGCTCAATTCCTCGGCGCACGTAATCAAACTGGCAATCCTGCTAATCGAAATGGATTCGTGGTGAAGCTGCCGATGGCGAGGCGATGAGGCAATGAGGCGACGAGAGAAGGGTGGACTGAACGGCTTGCAGCTGCGTCAACAGACAGCCCAAGGTAAAGGTAAGCACAGCCTCTACACCTCGACAACCCTTGGTTGGTTGTTTTTTGTTTTGGTGCCAAACACTCGGCACTCCCTTACTCCGTAGGGGGCCCCTGGTCGCTTTAGGCTGTCTGATTTCTGGGCTTCTGGATTGGTCGCGAGTGGCGCTCCCCGTTTGCGTGGTTTGTGGTTTGTGTGGCCTTTGTGGTCCCGGTTGCGTATCCTCCTCCGGGAAATAACTAGTACCCTAGTAGATTTAAGAGTTCGTCCAAGGAGCTGGGCCAGAGCCGGCACCGAAGATGACTTGATGGTGAGACAAACCAAAATGCTGGGAAGATAAAGGAACAAGTAAATGGAGAATTCAACCCGAAAATGATCTGTGTTAACAAAATGAATTCTTCAGCCACGGCATATTAAACCGTGCACGGGGGGAAAAAAGGGAAGAAAAAGGAGAAATGGCAGACAGACCAGTTGACGGGTGGTACAGAGTACCAAAGTACCGAAGTACAAGTGGTCGCTTCAAAAAACAGGAAAATACTCACTCAGGGATCCGGACGCAGACATGGTCCATGGACATGGATCAACATAGCCCCGGCGCACGAGCATGTTCTCATCCGAAAACCCATAAAATCTTGCCATAATTTCCGCCCATTTCTTTATATAGCCAGCTGTCAAATCAAGTCATGCGAGTTGCGTAGATCAATATTAATTGTACATGGTTGAGGTAGCCCGGATTTGCGCTGCGCCATGCCGCCTTGCCCCGTTCGTGAGCCAGGCCAAGCCGATGCCGGCTGCACGTCATAGAATCTGACATTGGATTTTGGTCAGTCATTATGAGACTACGATAAATATTTGCGATACTTAGCCAAGGGCGAGGTATCTAGCTACCTCAGTATATACTATAGTATGTTACAATATATTTATATATTTGTATATGAAGTACTATCTGCAGTATATATTGATAAGCAAATATATTCTCCTTTGAACTGTACGCGATGGACTGAGGTATTTATTGCGACAAAAAGAGAAAAAATCAAGAAGCATCTACAGTCACCTGAGCCAACTGGATGCGGTCAAAATCCTGATCAACCTTGAGACGAGAGAGTTCTCTTGGAAGAAGACGGCGGACTTGTGGAATGTCTGGAACGTTTCTGCGTCGGAGCTTTGCTGAGAGTTGGTGGTTCTAGTTCCTGGCCTGAATTTGGCGAGCCTTCGTCCACATAAGTAGATATCGCTTCAGTTTCATCTTCAAAGGCAAGCTGTTGCTGAAGCGTGTCATCCGCATCCTGCCGGGTCATGTATGCTGGATCATCTCTGGAGTCGTGAGGGGTAGGAGAGTCATCGAGGCCTTCGTGCGTCTCAGCAACGTCTTCCTGCACGACTGGCATCGCCTGGGTGGCTCTGGCATTCGCGGCTTGAATAAAGGAGTTCCGGTGTCGTTGCGCCAAATCTCTAGCGTTCCGAAACGCGATCGCTCCGCGCCGAAAGGAGTTAATATTGCCTGTCATTTGCCATCCATCGATCTCGGTCATGTGGTACTCGGGCCTCTCATTGACGGCAGCAGGCGCTGTAACGTGATGAGCATAGAGCTGAAGAGTACCTGTGCCAGAATGGTAGGTCGAGCTATAGGTGTATGCATTGCCATCAAATATTGGCTCCGTCTCTTGGTAGTTCTGTAAAGCGTGCATAGCGCGGGCTCCGTGGGCTCCATCGTAACAAGCTTGCCGCTGGGCTACGGAAGCGCCTCCGTCTGGGCCCTTGGCTTCTAGGAAGAAGTTGGGGGCAATTGGAACGTTCGCATGCTTTGTGGGAACAATGAGCTCGTTAAGCGTATGCCTAACTTTACCATGGACTTCGCTGGCTCTTGCTCCGTCAAAGAAGTCTGGTACCACCTTTACCGTGGAATCATCGGTAAGCGAAAGGAGGTTCGTGAACGGCATATCACCCTCGTTTGCGATATTTGTGCTCCCAGCGATCATTGGAATCACATTACGCATTACACTACCCTCTGATTTAGTCTTGTTCTTCCGTTTAAAGTCACGGAATACCGACTCAGTGAAGACCGACGGCGATAGAGAGGCCCTGGAATTGAGTAGCTCTTGATGGGTTAGGCTCGAATTGGCGGGCTCGGGGGTGGAGCAACTCTCGGGATGCTCATATCCTTCAGGATATATACCGTGGTCGACAAGATGTTGTTCGAAATCGTCGTTATATGCAGAAGATTTCCTGGTTTTGGAGCCAACACTCGTCGCTGCTGTGGATCTTGTCCGCCGACTTCGAGATGTAGAAGAAAGACTAGAGCTCATAGCTTCGATGGGTTTAGGAAAAGGATACTATATTTATAATGAGCTATGCTCTACAGCCCGAAATATTGAGTCTCTTACCCTTCTAAGATAACGAAGATCTGGACCGCCGCGTCTTGCGAAACGAGCGATGTCCGTCGCGTATGCTTCAGTTGGTACAATTGTTGGGAAAGGATGCGTGCTATTACGGCGGTCAAGTTCTCTCAGGGCACGCGGCGTAAGCGAAACTTTGGATAGATTATCCCAAAAAGCTGGTGAGAAATTGCGTTTCCTGGAAAACTTGACCTTTTTAAGTGATGCATTCTCTCGTAGGCACCCGTGTGTACGCTGCCGCTCTCGATTTTCTGGCCTCGCCATGAGGGGCCCATTGCTGCAACATATGAAGGATGAGGAATGGATGTTTTTGTGAACAGATAGGCAGCAGCCAGAATTCGGCCTGAGTTATCGGTCGCGTTTGAGCTGGCACTGCATGATGCAGTGTGCAGTCACGGATAGGCTGATTGGAGATGGGAGAGGCGCGTAAGCTGCGTACACAATGTTGGTCGAGTTTCGTCGTGGACTGTCATCCAACCGATACGCGTCTGGTGTCGTAGTGGAGGGCTGCCACACCCTCATACTCGTACATTTTGCAGTTGCAAACGCATGGCAATGATAACTCTCAATTATTAATAGAAAAAGGAAAATAATACTTGCAAAAAAATACATAAACCTCTTAACATTGCCGCGCCGGGCGGGCTCAAAATCGCCCAAAGACTCGATTTCCGGTGTTTTCGTCAAATGTGTACACTTTCCGGGCCGCAAGTTATTCCGCTGTCGCTGTGGGCGCGGCCCAGGCTGCGTTCCCAGGGACTCAATACTTCTCTAATTTCGGGCTCTGTACTCCGTAGGCTGTCCCCTAACTCATCTACTTAAGTACTTAAGTAGCTTGTCTGTCATTTACCACGTTTTTTTATCGCTGCCTTGATGGGTCATTGAGCCTTCGACACCCTGATTCAGTTGTAGCTGGCTCTGGAGTCTGAATTCTGCTTGTGTTGCAGAGCGATAGATGCTTTTTTTCCTTTGTTTGACACAGGCAGGCGCCGGCGGCCTCGATCGACCTTGTGAGCGTGTTGGCTTCGGAGGAATTCGGCGTCAGAATCTTGTGGGCATAGATTGGCTGCGTTCTCTATAATTAATTGTAGGAAATTGAAGCAAAGCCTTACCAGAGTCTTGAGACTAATAAAAAGGCATATCGCCTTCCAAAGGCTTTCTTGCCCTAGCTTTTCTACGATCTGTGCTCGCGCCTTGGACGGCGGGAGGCAAAAAGTATTTCACCGAATCAGGTACCTGGTTTTCGTGCTCTATATTATAATATCCCATGGTATATTAGTGTATACTTCCATGGGAGGTACTTCTTTCCAGGCAGTCATGGCCACTCAATGGAGGTGTATGCAGGGGCACACTACAGCAGCTTGGGGTGTGTGGGTCACGACATGGAGTTGATGATGTGGGCGGCAGGAGCAAACAGCGGCGGCAAGGCAGCTGCTGCCTTCAATGTTCTCCATGAGAGGCGGCCCCCCCGAACTGCCTGGTCCAACTGCTTAACATGCGGGCCGACTTGGCCCGTGATTGTCATTGTTCTGGCATCACACAACACTGATGTACTTCGGCTTGGCCTCAACAAAAACAGACACAGACGCAACTCGCAGCTCCTCCAGCTCTTGCCATAATGAAGGTACGAATTGCGCATCTATATAATAACGGGACACTAAATGCCTTTTTTAGGACATCATCATTGATGAGAAATACCGTGTGGACCGCAAAATTGGGGAAGGAGGCTTTGGCCTCGTTTACCTGGGTACATATTCAACTGTTCATACTTTAAACACTTACGGATGCTGATAAACAGCTAGGCACGGACATCCGATCAAATGAAGAGGTTGCAATAAAGCTTATGCACATTCGAGATGAATACGACATTCTCGAGAGCGAGGCAGAGACATACAAGGCCTTGTCTGGCGGTGTTGGAATGCCAAAATTCTTATGGTTCGGACAAGAGTGCGATTACTTTGCCCTAGTCCACGAAATTCTCGGTCCCTCTCTCGAGGACTTGCTTAACTATTGTGACCGGCGTTTTTCGCTCAAAACCATACTCCTCATTGCGGATCAGGCCATTTCTCGAATCGAGTACATCCATTCCAAAGGTCTTCTGCATCGGGATATCAAGCCTGATAATTTTCTCTTGGGAGTTGGAAAGCAAGGAAACATATTGTACACTATTGACTTTGGCCTGGCGAAGGAGTACCGCGGCGCGGAGCAGTATTCGACTCTGGAAGGTCGGGCTCTTTGCGGCACTGCTCGATACGCCAGCATCAACAACCATAATGGACGCGGTATGTCATTTTTGTCTTATTTTCTTCCTTTGGGTGGAATATATTATGATGTCCTCCCTACTAAACTTCGCATAGAACAATCCTGGAGTGATGACTTGGAATCCCTGGGCTATGTACTCCTCTACTTTGCCCGTGGCTCATTGCCGTGGCAGGGCATTAAAGCCGCGTCCGAAAAGGAAAAACTAGAACTTGTCAAACAATACAAGAAGACTATATCAGTGGAAGAGCTTTGCAGTGGGCTTCCAGAGGAATTCGCCACATACATCAACTACACTCGGTCGCTTGGATTCCAGGACAAGCCAAATTATGCATACCTTCGTCGACTGTTCCGCCGCCTGTTCACGTCAAAGGGCTTCAAGTATGACAACGTATTCGATTGGACCGAGAAAAGATTTTACGAATTACGTGATAAAGCTGGTGAGCCGATAAGGGAGCAAGAGCCAGACTCAAATGATACATGACTACTTTCAGAATAACCAGTCACCTTTAAACCAGTGACACGTGTCTAGAAACCACCAAAAGGCAACCTATATGTCATAGATTCTATGGCTGGATAGTTTTGGGCTCTATTTAGGTTGGAATCTTCCAGAAGTAGAATAACTGTCAGTCCGTCCTGTAGGAATTCGGTTAGTTCATCCGCATATCGCTGTGTACCCGGTCATGTTTAGCATGATGTGAAACGGCGGTCAAGGCACAAGAGTAGCCAGTATTGCGATATCAAATACCGACTTCATAGATTTGCTGTGTGGCACACAATACTTGTTGGAAAAAACCACTGGCATCGGTAGTCGTCCCTGTGTTGATTTTTGCTGGGGTTCCTGGGCCCCCACGAGGCCCAAAAGCGTCGATTCATTAACAAATACGAATATCATGTTCCCTCCAAATTCATGTGTGCATCAAACAGAATTCGAGGTTGCGAAATCCCAGTCACCAAGTTTTCCCAAGGGGTCAAACATCACACCACACACATCATGAATTGCTAAACTTTTTGCAGGGAGTAGCTAACAAGAATCAAGGGTGCCAGTTTGTACACTAGATTCATGAATGGATGCCTGTCCTACTAACTCGCCCACATCAATGCTGGGGGAATCATGTGCTAATTGGTGTTGGTCGGTTGCCTTCTTAGTTAAGAAATTACGTACAAATCAAATGTCCTGTCGGTACAACCCTGGAACCCCAGCAGGAACGGATGAGGGAATATCGGCTTGTTTGTTGCTGTTGCCTAAGCATGTACAATATTGGCCGCAGTATCACCACCCACCCACATTGACTGACGGTTTACACAGTCCCAACACTCGGAGAGACCTTTGTCACCCTTCAAGACGAATCATTGGCGGATGTTGGCCGTGTTGGTGATGTCTCGAGAATTTTACCGGATTTGTTTTGGGAGCTCTCCGCAACTTTATTAGATACGACACTCATCCCTTGTTCACTGGGCCAAATCATGCATATTGTCAAGCCTCAACTGCGGGATTGGCTATTAGAGCGGCAAGCCGTGGGCCCAGGGCTTCGATAGATGACAACCAACACGAATTTTCTGTTTCCTGTGACTACTGGTTGGGCGGCCATGTCAGCCAGTGGAGAGCGAAGAGGTTGTTGGTCATAATGCGCAAATTCTGGATAAGACTTTGTCGTTTTGGCTGCCATCCTCACTGGTGTATCTGTAGTGAACAAATGAACAAGCACCCCTCCCCTAATCAGTTACTTGCAATATCCATTGAGCACATATAGATGAGATAATTTCCGCCATCTGCTACGCCTCTTCCATGTGCCAAAGTAGTTCCCATGCCCTGCCACAACATCTACCACCAGCTTGTGACAACGTTCCTGAAATTCCTCAAGATACACCCATTAAACCGGAATCCCCAAATTCCCCGGGATGGCTACCACTCAAGAGATCAGCGATCGCAGGTCTGAGGGCTCTGACGTTACTCTCTTTGACAAAGTATCCTGGAGGGTGAACGGCTCTTGCATCAAGCGGACCTTGTGCCACTATGAACGCCAATTGACCACTCAAGGTGACCTCTATATCCCCCCGACAACTTTCCCACAGCGATTGAGGACGGATGAGGCCGTCTTACAATACCTACTTGCCAAGACTGAGATACCTCTTCCCCGTTCGCTGTGCGCTTTCGAATCCATAGGGGCGTTCTTTCATCTAACTGAGCATGTATCCGGCATTGCCATGAGTGACCTCAGCGAGCCTAGCAAGCAATTCGTCAAGCAGCAGCTTCTCCAGCATGTCAAGGCCCTGCAGAACCTACACTCAGACACTCCTGGGGTTCCCGGTCAGCAGTTGCTCTGCCCTCCACTCCGAGTCAACGCCGGTAAGTGGAAAGTGAATAGCTGCTGGAAGCCGCGCGCAGATCTCCCGAAAGAAGACTACGTTTTCTGTCACAACGATCTCAGACAAGATAACATCATCGTGAACCCCATCTCGCTGAGGATTGTGGCTATCCTCAACTGGGAATCCGGAGGCTTTTGGCCCAAATGGTTCGAAATGGCGTTTTGGGAACGCGCCGGACCTGACGCCGTGTTGGAGGGAGAGGTCGATAACACGCAACGATGTAGGGAGTGGCTCTTGAAGAATTGCGAGGAAGTGGTGATGCCACCTTTGCTACGGCAAGATCAATAAGGTATATTCCCGTCATTGCTAACTGGTTGTTTTGAAGCACTTGCTTACATGTGTACAGGTTGCCGTCTTCAGTGTTGCCATGTCATGGCGAAAGAGACACAAAGACACAATGGCAGACGGCAAAGCCAGTAACCAACTATAACTGCTTGCTCGTCAACCACATTCTTTTTCTTCAGCTACAAGCCCAAGGGGAGTAGAGGCAGTGATGCGGGAACTAGTCTGATTTTGAAAGTTTCAACCACGCTCTTTATTTGTACCATCCAGAAACAGGCAAATGTGGCTTTAATTCACAAACCATCCGTTCCTTGATCCTCATTCGGCAAGCTTGTGACTTGTCTGTAATTGTCAATGGCGGTATACGTAGCCTCTGGTTGGCCCCTGACCTGGGATTTGAGGGCATAGCGACAAGCAAGAGCTTGGTATGCACATGCAAAGCGTACCGCTGACTTCTTCCGTAGTTTTACTCTCTCGCCTGCGGCAATCCCAGCTTCTACGCGCTCCATTTGTTACGAGGGAATATTGGATATTGGCCACAGGGATGCGGTCGTGTGACTCGAAACTATATTCAGATTCAACCCGTTAAAGGGGCTCAATCGAAATCCGGTGTGGATGGATCGTGAGACATTTACTTCTCTTCTTTTGCACAGTACCTTCTGCGCGGGACAGTAAGCAGTCTGACTTCGCCCATAGAGGCTCAACAACGGTTATAAAGGTCTCTAATGCTAGTACCCATTGGAACCGGCTAACCTGACTGAAGGCTATATAAGACATGGTCAAAGTACGCACTCATGGAAGTACTTGAGCAACATCCCAGGCTTTGGAATTGGAACAATGCATATCTGCGCGAAAAAAAAGGAGCCAGCCAGTCCCCTCCAAGGCGTAATTAAGTAGTGGCTCATCGAGAGTCAAGCTAGTATTTCAGCAAAAAGTGTGCGGGATGAAGCCAATCGCACCGCGGAAGGCTTTGTGAAGTAAGACGCTTGGCTTCGGACACGGGAACTGCGCAGCAATACCAAATCCAGTGGCACAAGCTGACCGGGCGAATTATTGAAATAGAAAGTGGCAAACTACAAAAGCCAGGGCTCGTGAAGAAGCTACTCAGGGTTTGCCATCTTGTAATCCAAAATCATCCATTAAACAGGGATGGAGAAAACTTCACGTAGGGAAGATGTCACGTTGCATCGCTTATCGTGCTCCATGTCTGAGCATCATCTTGCCGCACAGGTATCCGCTCGTAGGCCAACGCATAAGTTGTCCACCAGTCTAATGTGGCCCAATCCACGCGAAGTACACTCTTTTCTTCTGCAGGATAGGAGTCTCCGTCAAGATTCTCCATGGCTTCAATGTATTTCCTGATTGCCAACCTCTCATCAGGGTCTTTCTTCAAGTTTCTTGAGCCCATCCGTGATTATTGGTTTCAGACCCGCCTTCTCGAGTACATGCTCTGGCGGCTGGTCTGGACAGAGCCTCTGATGCATGTCCAGGATCTTGCAGGCCGCGACGGCGAACGCGAAGCTATCAGATGCCGGGCTCTAGGTTCGCGAGGACAAGATCTGCGGCGCACGGAAATGTCTGGCTCCTACACTGGCGTTGAAAATTCCATTTGCTGCGACATGCTATCCTTCACCGATATCTGCTACCCTTTCAGAAATCTCAGTTGAGGGGTTCTCGGGCTGATGTGGGAACGCACGTTCTGTGACAAGAGTACTGTTCAGGTGAAGGTCTCTGTTCATGATTAGCGTATTTTACGGGCACACAAGGCTCTTGATTTAACATGCCTATGGATGATGCCATGTTTATGCAGTGTATGGACGCCGTTGGCAACTCCAAGCAACATCTGGAGGACGAGGATCTATGATTCTGTAAACCAACACTTTGGGAATTCGCTGTGGAGGAAGTCGCGTATGTTTCCCACATTCGCATATTCGGATACAAGGACGAACCTCCTGACTTGCACCGTCGGATATCGGAAATTCTGCGTAGAAGCACCTGGCTCTGGGATGGTCGAGATGCCGAAGAAATTGATGCATCCAGTGCTATTACCACCAAGACTGGTGTAGATTACGCCCATACATACTTTGTCAGCTGGGAGCGCATCCCAAAGGATTCGCCATATGTACTCTCAGGCCTGTGGCTTTGAGCTCCTAAAGTGCCACTTCAACTGTCTCCCCCGGCCGTGATGTTGCCAAAACGCTATCGGATCTTGTCCATGAAGCTCAATAAACTTTTCCATTGCGGCCCTCGCCTAGACATGAATTCGGGTACATTCCAGTGCTCCAACAGCTGAAGTTGGGTACCAACATGCTCCTCGATGTCTTGTAGATTCTGTGGTCTCGTCGTGAGGTGTTGATATGTGTAGACCGACTTGGAAATGTCGTAGGTCCGTCCTCTATGCGACGATGGAAGCTAGTAAAGATGGCCGCTTTTGAACATCCACGACACAATGTTCCAAGACTGCTGATCGTGCATGAACCCTTGCTTCTGTCGAATTGACCGTGTGCGCTGCAAATACTGCTGGGAAGTCCAGGTTTGCTTCCCCGATGGCGTTCGATCGGAACTGGCTATCGGCCAGGAGGCCCTGGTGAGCTAGGAAATGCAAGCAGTCTCGATGTGCCAGGTCAGGGTCGCCATCAAGTTGAAGCCAGTCGCTGACTCGCTGCCTTGGCCCTGCCTCGACCAAGGGCAAAAAACCCGAGCTTGGTCAACCTGGCTACACAAACCGTTTGTCCAGGTTATTGCAGGGGTGGCGCGACGTGGCTGGCTGATGACTGCATTCCTACTCTGTGCAGAGTATTCGGTTTGGGGGCCGGCCAGTTATCATGTTTGCTCTTTCATCCCATCCCACGTGCCTCGGAGGATTGGAGGGGTAGGAAATCTGCCACCAAGTCGCCTGTCCAATGCGTTTCTTTCCTTTTGGTCTCCTTGTCAAGGCATTTCACAACACCGGAGCCTCATATGCTAGAGATATTGCAAACGGACGTCATTGTACCTTCTACAACAGACGAGAGCCACGTCAGCAGGCTTGGTACTGGGTGGGTTGGGAACGGCAAAGTCGGGCTCCTAGATTCTGGGGTATATAGTCAAACAGTTCAGCATGTCCGACGGCTGAAGAAGGGGTGTGAAAGGTGGGGAGAGCGTGGAAAGTCATGTGGGATAAGAAGCTGCCAAAACTGGTTGCCGAATGAAAGATGTTTTCTCTATTTCTTGACGGACGTCATGGTAAGGTTCGATCGACAGTACGATAACATGCCGGAGCTGACAACGCATGCACAGTCTCGGGGTATCACGATGCAGGAGAAGTTTGTTGATGGCCAAGAGAAAATCACGTCGAGACTCGCACTTGTGGAAAACATAGACAGCGACCTCGGCTCCCTCAACAAAGGCTTTCAAGGACAAAGAGAGGCCTTCAGCGCTATTATGGACGAAAAGCGAAAGATTATATCCAAGACAACTGCAACCTGACGGGTCGATTTTAGATCAAACGATGCCCGACTGAATTTATCTGACGATGACCGTGGCGACCTCGTTTGAACATTGGACGCGCAGAAGGTCGTCTGTTGTCTAATTAGCGGCAGTCAGAGAGATAGTCTCGTTGGCCCTCGTCATGTCATACTCTACTCGAGGCTCTCTGCCAATGCCTTGGTGCATCCATTATACGGGCTTGCAGACAGGAACGGGCAACTTTCCGCTGTAATACAGATCTAGGGACCGCAAAGTCCCTTGGCCTCGGACCCGATCCTCATTATTGTAGTGGACCGACAGACCGAGCCAGCCGGCATCATAGATACATGTACCGCCAATTCCCAGGCTGACTTAATCCAACACATACTGAAGCAACACAATGCTCCCTGGCTATCCGAAGATACCGCTGTGGCATTGCCAGTCTCATCACTCACCAGGGGCTGCTGTCATCCCACACCAGCCTTGATCAAGACCGTCAATGGCATTCGTAGCCCGTTCACTCTGGCTTCTTCTTAGTTTTGATGGTGCTTTGGTCGCAACTCCAGAGCGAGACCGCGAGGAGACCAAGTCCAGAGTCCACAACATTCTAAACCCGGCGGAGAATAGGGACGGAGACCAGCACCAGGCCGCACGGGCCCAGGAACAGGACGCAGAGGGCCTTCAAAACCTTGCGGACAGTGGCGATCCCGTTGCGTCAGCACTGCTAGGTGCTACAATATGGAGGGGCTTGATAGGCCATGAGGTGGACGGAGATTGTATCTACATAGCTCTACAACCCACAGACGTTTCTCCGGCCTTTCATGTTTATTAAAGGATATTTTGCCTCATTTGGACGTCTACACTACTAACGTGCCAGATCAAGACAAAAAGTCAGCCACTGGATCTATAGCTCGAAAGGATAATGACTTCATATTCGCCGTGTAAGCAACTGTCAATATAAACATACTTTATCAGGGCCACCTTAGAGGCTGGCTGTATCAGCTTTTCCCAAGAAAACGAACAGCACTGAGAAACCTCAAGAATGACGCTCGTGGCGAGGCAAACAGTTCCTTCCCTGACTGGCATATATTCCTACCACGGTGCTAATTAATTGAAACCATGGAGCTAGAGCTAGAGCAATCTTAATGCCATTGTCACGACCAACAATATTGCGGAGTCGATGATGGCCGATTTCCTCTAGAAAACGTGAACAGCCAATCTTTGCAAGGAAAAAAGAGGCAAAATCTGGAGTACATGTACTCCATTTTCAAGAATTATTGGTTATCCAAGCCATCTCATGGCCGTATCTGCAGCAGCACCTTTTAAGAAGGCCCTCAATATCCCATACCGAAACAGAGTTGTTCAGAGCGAAGAGCCAGTCTAGCTCGTCTTCGTCTTTCTCAAAGGGTAAGTGTGATTGAAGGAACCCGACATATGCTTGAGATACCAATTCCCTGGCACTGGCCTCGAAGCACCTACCGCCCTTGGACTGACGGTCCGCTTGTTCATCGCCCAAGCCCGGTGTTGAAAAGCAAAGAACTCAGGCAGTGAATGCCGGTCTTTGGAAGTCAATCTCGCCCATTGTTCTCTCTGGATTAGATATAATGTAACGAATGGCAGCGCCAAAATCGCTCGCTAGCGTCGTCGCCTCAGAGTCCGAAATGAAACCCGGCTTGAGCAACAAGATGACTGTGAAGGCTGTGCCGTGATCCCTCGCTTGGATTGAGATGTCAAACTGCCAATATCCTACACGTTAGCTTCGTTTTTCCATTGCTTGACCCAGAGCTTTACATACCCCTGAATACGTGCGCATTTCTCCAAAACGACAACTGTGCCCAGACTCGGCCTCGGCGTCGACGACTTTGCCTCTTTGGTAAGACAAGGTGGTATTGAACAGTCCAGGCGGGCCGATATCGAGGGCCTTGCACATGTCCGCGACAGGATGAGTCTGATGTGGAAGGCTCCTGACGTAGTCTTCATGTATCCCCCTCAGAGTCTCAACGACTGAACCATGTCCATCAAGTTGGATACGACGGGGCATTAGACACATCAACGGCCCGAATATCCGATCCACGTCTTTGACAGGGATATCTCGTCCCGAGGTATACATGCCAAAGCAGGAGACTGAGCAACCAAGGTACATTTTCAACACCATTGCCCAGGCTGCCTGGACGATGGTGGCCTTTGTCAATTCCCACCTCGCGCAGAATGAGTTGATCATGTCTATATCGAGGCCCGGCACGTACAATACAATGTCACTCCTGCTGCGCTTAGCATCTGAAGGATTGAATATCAGACAAGGCTCTGCGGTATCCAAATACTTCATCCAGTATGCGTGGTTAGCTTCCCATGACTGCTGTCCGATGTACCGAACGAATCGAGAATAGGGGGCACCCATGGCGTCGAGACGACCGGCGTATGCCTGACGAAAGTCGTCTAACAAGACTTTAAAGATCGAATGGCCGTCCAAAATGGCATGGTTCATCTCAAAGTGAAGAGTGACGTGCTTCTCATTAACCTGACGCACCGTCAGATGGTGCTGGAGTCCATTCCGCTTATAAGGAATCGGTGCCGGCTCGTCTGGGCAGCCTCTCTTCTCGGCTGCCTCGTCTCCGGCACGTATATATGACAAGCTTAGTATCGGGTCGCGAAGGATAATGTTCAAGCTTCCATCACTTCCTGGCGTGCCGTCCACTAACATGGCGCGTAGGAGAGGGTGTTTTTGTACAACAGCTCGCCATGCCTGCTCGACCCTTGCCAAGTTGACGCCGCCACTGTCATCACTGGCTGTGATCTCAAAGTCGAAGAATATCCGAGACCGGTTGACATCCTGGTCTTGAGCCTTCAATATGTTTTCCTGGATCGGCGAGCAGGGATAGATGTCCTCGATGTCGCCAGTGTGCGGGATACCCAGTTGTGGCATCAGGCGACCTCGGAAACAGACGATGGCGTCATACGACTTGAATGCCATTGGGAAATCAGCCAATGTCCACTCCAAAGGCCTGTCACACAGAATATTGACCAGTTGCTTCAGTTCCGTTTGATACTGCTCCACCCAGGCCAGGATTCTGTCTTGGTGAAGGGACTTGGTGCTATACACAAAGTCTATATGTAGGCAATCGCTATTTGCTGTGGCAACAACATCGAAAAGTGCGAATCTCTTCAACCCCGAGAAGGCCGGTGGGTGACATCCGCTCGGAACGGTCAAAGGATCGAAGAGCGATCCGCTTCGCTCAAATTGCTGGAAAGAGCCGGCGTAATTGAATATGACTTCCACGGGGAAATCGCGGGCGTTGGCTCTGGCATCCTCCTCATTGGCAAACCGGGAAGTAAAGTACGCCCAGCCATTCTGAGACAGTCCACGGATGGCGTCCTTGACCTGACGGGTGGTGTGAAGTAGGCTTCCACAGGCGGAGGATTGCACTTGAACAGGCCACAGGGTGGTAAACCAGCCTATTGTACGCGAAACATCAAGGTTGTCATCCCACGGCTCGCGACCGTGACCTTCACTGAAGACTGTTGGTGTTGGACGGTCCGTAAAGGTGGCGTTGAATGAATAGACAAGGGCAGATATCATCAACTCGACGGGCCGGGTTGCAAACGCGTTATTACAGCGCCCAAGGATTGCGGCACTGGTTGACTCATCGAGTGTAAAACCCGTCGTCTTAGTCTCTCCTTGGGTATTCAAGTGCTCGTTGAGTCCCCAGTATGACAAGAGTGGTGGTACGACACTGGCTTCCGGAGCCGATCTGAGGTATTCCAGGTTGTTGGCGGCATATTGCGCCTGCAACTTGCACCATGCTTGGAAACTCAATGTCTGTGGCAAAGGGGGGCCACTAGAGCTGAGCAGACACTCTAGTTCCTGCAGCAGGATACGCCATGATACCAAGTCAATGACCATGTGGTGTATAGAGATGAAGATACTCGTGGCATCTGCGTCGTTGAACACGACAGCTGCGACTAACGGACCTTTCTCTATGTTGACTGTCTCACGGCATCGACGGATTGCCAGGGCCTTTTCTGTTTCGGAGCTCCCGCTGTTGCTTTGACACATGTGCAACGAGCTAGAGACGTCGTCGACAATACGCTGTTCCCATTTACCGGCGCTCGTTTGGCTGAACCGGGCGCGTAGCATGGAGTGTCTTGACACAACCGTCTCCATGGCTTTCTTGAGGCAAGCGTATTGAACAGGGCTAGACAGCTTTAGGAAGAAGTGTTGGTCAAAATACCTGATGTGGTTTGTCTCATGCTGTACATACAGCTTCTGAATAGGGCTCAGGTCGAACGCCACCACGTCATTTTTTTCGTTCCCTTGGTCGATTCCCATGACTGGCCCCTCTCGCAGAGACTTGGCAGTGAGTGCTATCATAGCTATTGTCCTCTTGTGGAGGATATCTGTGGTTGAGACATCGACCAGAGAGGCCCGGGCAACGGCAGAGACCTGCATTGCGGTGATTGAGTCGCCGCCGAGATGGAAGAAATTGTCATCTATACCAATGCTGCCGTATTCGATATTGAGCACCTGAGCCCAGGCATGCTGCAGTAACCGCTCAACCTCTGTTCGTGGCTGCTGGTTTCCTTTACCGGCCGCTGCTTGAAGCTCCATGAGTTGCTGTGATGAAAGCATTGCGCCCATCTCGCGAAGTCGTCTCCGGTCCGTCTTCCCTGAGGCCATGACTGGAAAGTGAGCAACCCGGAAATACACCATGGAAACCGTGTTTATCCAAACACTCCGTGAAAGTGCCGATTCAAGCTCCGGCCGGAGACGCACTACCTCTATCCCGGCTACCACAGGTAGAACCACGGACACCATGTTGTTTTCTCTCTTGCCGTCGTCTTCTTTCCCGGCTGCCTGTATAAATACTGCCAGCATCTTCTTGTCCTTGGCCCCTACCAGCTCTATCACCTCGGCAATAGCTTGAGTACCGGATGGCATGCATTTCCGCACTTGGTGTTCCACCTTTGCAACGTCTAGCCATTGACCACGAATCTTTAGGCGACTGTCCTTGCGTCCGATAAAGCTTAAGCTCCCGTCCTGGTTGTAGCGAACCAAGTCACCGGTCTTGTACAGTCTGCCCTTCCGGCCGGACGAGTTGCCACAGCCTCTAAGCAGCCATGTAGGATCATTGACGAAAGCTGCCGCCGTTGCCACAGGGTCTGCGAGATATTCCCGGGCTAAAGATGGCGATTCTATAAATAGCTCTCCAATGGCCCCCAGTGGTGCGAGTCTGTTCTCGTCCCAGGGGTCGACTACCCAAGTCGCGCATCCAACTGCCTTTCCGATCCTGTTATTGCCGACGGCATATCTCTCATACGAGTCAACAACTGCTATCACCGTCGTCTCGGTCGGGCCGTAACCGTTGAATAGCTTCGACACCCTGTCCCACCTGTCAAAGTCGGCCTTTGTGACCGCCTCACCACCCATTATCAACGTATGGAGCGCTGGCACATTCTCAGGTTGGACTGCTTGGGCTACCGTCGGAGTAAGAAACGCTGTGTTGACGGACATGTCTCTCATTGTGCTGGCTAAATCCCCCAACCTTTGTTCTTCTGACGGTACGCAGACACATCCTCCATGTATTAGCGTCATGATTATTTCGAACAAGCATGCGTCAAATGTGTACGAGGCAAACTGAAGGACCCTTGATGTCGGAGAGATGCCGTACACAGGCCCGTGACTAAGACAGCTACTCGAAATGGCTCGGTGTTGGATGACCACCCCTTTGGGCTGACCCGTGGTCCCCGAGGTGAATATAACGTACGCGGTAGAATCTGGTCCAGCGCCTGATGGAACAAGATTTATGCTATGCTCTGGTATACCAGCAAGACTGTTCTCGTTCACGACGAAGGACTTGCAGCCTGGCGGGAGCGGGAGGCTGCTGTAGGATTTAGACGTCAGAACCATGGAAGCTTGCGTCATTTCCAAGACAGGCCATCGATTTTCGAAAGGTTGCTCAGGATCAAGAGGAACGAATGCCGCCCCAGCTTTCAGTACACCTATAATGGCCACCACTGCCCATATCGACTTCTCAAAACAAATTGGTACCAAGGCACCCAGGGAGACTCCGAGTTGGCCAAGGTGGAATGCTAGGCGTGTGGAAGCTGCTTCCAATTCTCTGAATGTCAAGTTGCCCTCCATTCCACACAAAGCTGGAGCTTCTGGTGTTGCTAGGACTTGTTCACTGATGAGATCGTGAAGAAGGCGGTTGGCAGCGCTCGGCACCCTTTGATTCCATGCCCATATGACTTTCTCGTCTACATCTGTGAGTGCCTCAACATCGCTGACCATCTTTTCGGGTGAGGCACCCTCTAGCTGTGTCAAAACAAGGTCAAGCTGGCGCAGCATGTGCTCTGCTTGCCACACGCCCATGACTGCCGTGTCAAAGATGGCCTTGACGGTCACTTCTTCCTTGTCAATGAAACACTCCAGCCCAAGAGCGTACGTGGTGACTGATGGCTGAGTAGAGGATAACCTCCACTGCCCAAGAGTGCCGCCTGCCTTTATGCTGCTCTCCGGCTGCACTGCGAGCAGCGTCTGGAAGTTGCAGCCGCTCTGGCTGCTTCGATTTATCTTTGCAATGCGTTTTAAACCCATTTGCTCAAACGGAATCATGTCCGTGGCCTGCTGTTGCACCTCCTGGAGATAATGTTGGACGGACTGATCTGGCTCCAACTTTATTCTCACTGGAACGGTTGTAATCGTAGGTCCGATGATGTCCTCGATACTCGCAACCGGTGCGTTCCGGCCTGACAAAACTGCCCCAAACACGACATCCTTGGAAGCGGTGTAACGACTGATGAGGATTGCCAAAGCCCCTCGAATCAGCGTCGACGTCGTCATCTCCGTTGTCCGCCCGGGTGAGAGTTTGTGCTTGAGTTCCAGACTCGAGTCCGCCGCCGGCTCTCGAGAGGATGTTGATAGGCAGGGAAAGGGGGAGAAGTCTCCCTCTTCCAAGTAAGATCGCCAATAGGCCTCACCATCATCAGAAGCCTCGCTTATAACGTGCTTGATGAAGGCATTAAACTCTGGTCGCTTCTTTGTTCCCTTATTGCTGTATGCGTCAACAACCATATCGATTATGTGAGGAAGAGACCATCCATCATAGATTGAGTGGTGGAGAGTCCAGACAAAACGCCGCGAGCCCGTCTTGCTGTCTTCAACTAGAGCATAGCGTGACATGCGGCCACCTAAAGCCATCGGTGTCAATTTGTCCTTACAAAGGTAGTCTTCCAAGTTTCTATGCCGTGTCCAGTTTACGCCATCTTGGCATACGACTTGAACAAGGCCATGCCGGGGGTGTTGCACAATCCGAGTCCTGAGTATTGCTGTTGACCGAATTACATGTTCCCACGCCGCCCTGAAAGGATCAAGCTCGACGTCATCGGACATCTCCAACACAACTTGCTGGATATAATCGCCGACGCCTTTGGATGAGAGAGATAGCAGCCCCTCCTGCATTGGCGTGCAAGGATACGCGTCTTCGATTAAAAACCGATCCACGGAGCAGAGATCAGAGAGTTCTTTACAGACATCTGCGGCGGGTCTGTCGTCCCTCAACAGAGAGAACGGCATTATCGGCTGTACTTCAGGGCCCGTCTTGATATTTATTGACTGTATTTGAGCCATGGCTGAGAGAACAGGTTTGCGAAAGACATCTGCCACGGCCATTGCAAGTCCGATACTGTTGGCCGCTCCAACCAGCCGTATAGCCGCCTTGGAGTCGCCGCCTAGGTGGAAGAAGTTGTCGTCAATCCCAATGCTATCTGCGTCCAGTTTCAAGGCTTGTGACCATAGCTTTCTCAGACAATGCTCCTGCTCTGTCCGCGGCTTCTGCATGTCTCCTCTCGCAAATGAGCGAAGCTTGGCTAGCTGATGCGGTGGCATTGCTGATACAATCTCCCGGAGTTGCTTGCGGAAAATCTTGCCCGTGGGCGTCTTTGGAAGACTTGGTAAGACGACTAGTACAGATGGTACCATGTAGTATGGTAGTACTCTTTGTAACTTGGCCTGGACGCTTTGAATGGCAGTAATGGCCCGGCTGTTGTAGCTCACTTGGCTTATACTTTGTACGTTTGTGTCCCTGGTGTTGACTTCCTCTTTTACTTTGTCTTTTGCCTCATCCTCTTCCAGCACTAGAAATCCTATGAGACCGGGGCCTCTCTCGTTGCCGTTGTTGAGAATGGTGCATTCCACAGCAACGTCCTTGACAACCGATGTAGACAGTTTTACTTGATGCTCAATTTCCCCAACCTCAATACGCTGGCCGTTGAGCTTGATCTGTGTATCCTTCCTTCCCAAGAGCTGAACCGATCCATCGGGTTTAAACACGGCGAGGTCACCAGTCTTGTAGAACCGGGATGCGGCTTCGCATGGGCCAAACGAGGCTCTCCAAGACGGCGCTTGTATAAAGGCACGAGAAGTCTCCTCCGGCTCATCGATGTATTCCCTTCCCATTGCTGTCCCTTCAAATATGAGCTCTCCGGGCACTCCCACCGGAACCAGCTGGTTGATATCCGTCTCATCAACCATCCAGCATCGTCCGGTGGTTACATGTCCAACATCGCTGGTAGCCGAAGTTTCATTCAGCTGCAGAGCTGACATGGCTACGCATGCTTCTGCACAGCCATACCCGTGTCTTAGATGCACTCTGGACGACCACTCTTTGATCTGTGAGATTTGGACAGGTTCACCACCCAGGACGATGGTCTGCAGACTTGGGACGTCCTCGGGACGAATGTGAGCCAGTGTGGACGGAGTGAACAAAACCCAGTTTGCATTCAGTTTGCGGATCGCTGCCGGTAAGTTATTCACGCTGCGCTCTTCTTCTGAAGGGATGCAGACGCAGCCGCCGACTATTAGTGTGGTAAGTATATCTACCAGACACACGCCAAAGGCATAGGAGCTGAACTGTAGAGAGCGTGTGTCTTGGTTGACGTTGAGTATGGAGCCATGACCTAGGGCAGCGGAGCAGAATGCACGATGTTCAATAACACAGCCTTTGGGCTGCCCCGTACTGCCTGAAGTAAAAATAACGTAGGCAGCGTCGGCCGGAGATGGTTGTGAAACGGGGCAGATAGAGAATGGTTGTTCCGATAGCTTCCAGTCAAGCACCACAATGTTTTCTGCCAAACCCGAGAGCAACGCTCTGCATGTGACGGACGTGACGGCAGTCCTGGCTCGAACTCGGAGGCATATACCTCGTACTCGTTCTTCAGGAAGGCCTGGATCAATGAGCGTGAAAGCTCCGCCGGCCTTGAGAACGCCCAGCATCGCCACCACTGTCCACATGGACTTCTCAAAACATATCGGAACTATCACCTCGGGGCCAACTCCGAGGGAAGCAAGGTGACCTGCTAATCTTGTTGACAGCTCATCTAGCTGGGCGAATGTCAGTGTACCGTCCCACGCCTGCACAACTACCTTCTCCGGCTGACTAGCATTTCTCGAGGCAATGGTGGTGTGGATGCATTCATTGGCTGTAGGAGGCGGCTTTTTGTTGAACGCCCAAACTTGGCGGATTTTGTCGTCCTCCAAACCGTTTCCTCCATCTGAACCAAGAAGACTGTCTGCCGTCATGTTCGGCAAACTGTTGTGAGTTGGACTGTGAAATAAAGCTTGATTCTAGCTTCTGTTGGAAGTAAAGACATGAAACCGTCGTCCCAATCTAGTTTTCACTCCCCAGTATGAGATTATGTAACTGTAGAGACTGTTTGCCCGAAAGGGGCCATGAGCCGCCTTCTTGCAGCATGGGACACGCAGTATGAGCTGAAATCTCTTTCCATCCCTTTGATTGTGTTCAGGTGCGTTGGATGTATCGAAGTGGGGTTCTAGCTAATAAAAAGCCTTATATTTCAAGGTACATTATATAATTAGGAAATAATAGGATAATCAAAGTACTTATAAGTTAAGGTATACTCAAAGCTACTTTATTTGTATTTACTTCCGAAGGCTTGATGCTATATTTCAAGGTAAATTAAATGTACTGAACAATCGTTGGACCTTGACACAATAAAAGGGATAGTTTATAATACTGCGGCTTGACGGAGAAGAGTCCGCTTAGATCTACACCCCCCCAACGGAGTTTTAGTTAGTTGGAAAGATGTTTCACAAGCCAACGTTTTTTGAGCTCTTCTATTCCGGCCGTGTCTCAAAGCGACTGCTTGGCACGGTTACTGATGGAGTAGTATTGCTTTCACCGGCACGGATGTGTCATCACTTGCGGATCTATCTGACAGGGCGTTGCATGTATGCAACGTTGTAACCGGAGTTGCCACCAGGGCGGTCGGAAACACGGCACGTTGAGACGGGGAGTACATCATCCATGGACATTTTTTTACAATAGACAATCGTCAGAGTTGGTTGCGTAGAGTGAACTGCAGAAAGGGCCCTTCCTTAGCCCCTGTAACGTGATCTCTCAACTCGAACTCGGCCCTTGTCTTGCCATTATTTGACTCGGGCGTATGGGCCTCGTAAAAGTCAAATTCGTAAATGATTCGTGCCAATGCCAGAGTAACCTGGTGATATGCGAAGCCTTTCCCGACGCAACTTCTCGGGCCCCTGGAGAAAGGGATAAAGGCACTCCTGGAAAGCTCGACCGACTCTTTTGTAGAGCAGCCCTCGCCAACCATCCATCGCTCTGGCCTGTACTCAAAGGGATCCTTGTAGTAGGTTTCGTTGTGGTGGAGGCTGTACATGCCAACTCCGACTTCGATGCCGGCTGGCAACTCGAGCGAACCGACCCGGATACCTCCGGCTCCGACTTCTCTCCACGGAGCAGCCCCAACAGGAGGAGACATGCGCAGGGCCTCGTCGATGCAGCTGCGAAGATAGAGACACGAGTTCAGCTTTGGTCCAATGGATATCTCTTCCACAGAAGCAAACTTGACTCTGACTTCGTCGGCCGCTCGCTGATAAGCCCCGTGGTTCCTGCTAAGATAGAAGAGAGTTGCGGAAAGAGTCGTGGAGGAGGTATCCGATCCAGCAACAACCAAAGCAGCGCACTCGGCCCGTATCTGCGACTTATCCAAGGTCATGCCGGCATCTGCGTCCTTGGCCGTCTCGAGGGATGAAAACACGTTGCCGCTCCGCGAGCATGATGCCCGCGTCCTGCTCCGCAACAGAGAGCCAAGGAACTTGACAAAGTTATTGCGGCCCTGAATCGCGGTTGGGAACAGATACTTGTCGAGCCTTCCAATGGCCAGGACGGGTGCCTGGAAGAGAGTGCCGAGTCTCACGTTGGAATCAGCCAGTGCCTTGATGGCATATCGATATGTAGGGTCTTTTAAAGCGTTGTGGTCCATGCCAAAGATGACTTCGGACATGACGTCGAAAGTGTAATAATCACCTTTGTTCAGAGTTCAAGACAAAATTAGCAGACCCTTTATTGAAAACAGGATCGAGGGCTCATACATTGCCGGGACATGTCGAGTTTGGCGCTTTCCTTCAAGTTTCCGCATAGCCTCTCGAGGTGCTTACGGATAGTACTCGCGTACGAGATTATCGTGGCATCAGACAGTGCAAAACTTAATATTCGCCTTCTCCAGGAGTGCTCCTCTTTGTTGCGGAGGGTGAGGACACTTGGAGCACCGTGGGATAAGACCCTGTAAGCCGAGGCCTTCATGGTGTTGGTGCCGTACGAGTATATATCTGTCACAACGGTGCATGTCTGAGCCTGGGTTTATCTTGACGGAATTGACGAGACATGTACTGGGGTCCATCTACCTTTGACTGCAGTGTTGGTGTTTACTAGGATTCGTGATGGCCCGTAGCGCACAATGGGCCCTGGTACGGCCGTTAATACTTCTGCCGTCACTTATGTCGACGTACCTTCAAGGGCCTACCGTATTTCTGATGGCAGCGGTATATGTCGGTATGGACCGTTCCTCGCCAGGCATGGTAAGCAGCATAGAGATTCGTACAACGTCCCAGCAGTGGGCCGGGGTATGGCGCCAAGGGATGCAAAACAAACTGTTTGATGTAGAAAGTTGCCAGCTAATGCTATACTTAGCATAGTCGTCCTGCCCCGTAAAACTATGCATAGAAATGGGTTACTCAAACTGTATTACTTACGAGGAACGTCAGAAACACCGCCAGACCCCAAGGGCTTGTCCCGGCGACAAGACTCGCAGTGCTCATGGTATATAAAGGGCGTGCGTTGCAGCAGTTTACAAAACTTGAGGGTATCACGGCTCTTGGAGCGCGGACTAAGAGGAGAATCCAATATATACCTGCAGAACTCAGGGGCCCGGGTGATCAGTATCTTCGCCCTGAGGAACCTTGGCGCTGCGGGGTGTCTGGCTCTTGGAAGTATACTTTTAAAGTAATTTCGGGTGTATGTGTCATGCGTATTTGACCCGCAGTGTTCTCCGTAGAATCCGCTTGAAATATGTTGCTGGTGTTATCGTGAGCAGGTCATCTTGTTGGCGTTGTATTATCACGAAACTTGGGTCGGTTGACTGGAACAAATCTCTCCAATAATCTCTTGCCTCGCCACAAATATGTCATCTCAAAACGTTTGGGGACAGATGATAGCAAGACGTAAAGACTGCATCCCCGAAAAGCAGCGAAGGCGGCAGCGAGGTCGCGACAGGGATTTTGAGCCAATTCAAAACCAGAAATGAACAGGTACTTAATTTTACACTTGACTTATATGATGATAAAAGTCCTGGTAAGCTTTGAGGTTACAAAGAGCTCAAGCTACATTACACACGTCACAGCCGGACTGGACCTTTATTAGGCCTAATATAGGTTACTAGTCATTAATGTCATTCGACATCGAGGTTACCGGCTGCTGGCAGGGGCGTTGTGGTAAATGGCTTCTCCCTGAACGAAGCAAGCCCTAGTCATGTCTTCAAATGTTACTATGAAACATCTAGCCCGTAGTGTATTTGCGAAACGCAGATTTGTTGCATCATTTACTCACCGTGATTTCGTCTCTCCTACGGAGTACAAGGGAGCCATGCAGTCACATTCCGAGCCGCGTCTCAGAGCAGTCTTGCCAGTATTGGTAAAGATCGGCAGCCCACAGGTCGGTCAATCACCCGGCCGAGACATTCAGGAGTCCAGGCTGGCATGTACTCGATGTGGTGCGACACGGCTCGGCTCAGCGACCGCATTGCATGATCTGCATATGGCTTCATCTGTGAACCGTCTGATCTCCTCCTAGTGGTGACATTGAAACAAGAAACAAATGAACAAGGGTAGTAGCTTACTATGTGTACGCCCCCAAAACCTAACACTGTTGACTGTCTCTCTTTGCTTTGCGGTTGGAATGTCCTTGCTAGATACACATTGGGTATTGGAAGTGTTATATCTGACCCATTCAGGGCATATATTGAATTACAGGGAAGAAAAGGACTTCTGATCTTCGGTCTCATGGCGAATAACTAGACTCAGAAATCGTTCTCGCCACGGCATCCAAAGTTATTTTCCGTTTAGGACACTTAGCCATCTCTCCATTTCCGCTTACAATTCGACAATCTGAGTCTATGATTGGTCGCAACAATCATGCATCCAGAGACACAGCGAGAGTTGTCTCATATTCTTCTAGTAGAATTGTTGGCGTAAGTGTACTGCAATAAAAGTTTGACCTGTTTTTATTAGCCTCTGCTAATTGAACACAGTCACCAATTCGCATATCCAGTAAGATGGTACGTTGAAACTCATTTGGACATCTGCCAAGACAACTGAGAGTCAAGGGCCTTGCTTGACTTCATTTGAAAGTAGATTCGCTGACCCGAGCCTGAATAATAGGATCGAAACACAAGACTACATCCTCCGAAATGTAAATGCACAGCGAGTGGTCGAGGTTGGGCCGTCCAATGTATTGACAAATATGATGAGACGGACATGGGATCAAGACTTTGTTGGTCCTGACAAGTCTCAAGGCCTTACTCGCCAGTTTCTAGCACCAAAAGAGAGCCTACATGACATATACTACCAGACGAATGCTTCGGAAGAGGCAAGCGAAGTGGCTGATATACCCGAAGCCTCGCCTCATCCCAGGGCTACTGAAGTCACAAAGCTTTCGAAAACAGCTGTTCCTCATGCCGGATCAAAGCCACACGAGACAAGGTCTTCTGCAGAGCCGAAGCAGATATTACCAGATGCCCGTACGCCCCCGTCTACTATACTGCCCATCATGGTTGCCTTGAAGCTTAAAAAGGACTTGGAGAGCCTGCAAACACACAAAACAATAACAGAAATAACCGAGGGACGATCTGCCCTCGCAAATGAAATTGTTGGAGATTTGCAAGCAGAGTTCGGATACGGTGTACCCCAGCCAGAAAACATTCCGTTAGATCAACTATGTCAAATGCTAAACACCACCCACAGCGGGCTTTTGGGCAAGCCATCATCCTCCCTCATATTCAAGTTTCTATCCTCGAAACTTCCAAGCAGCTACAGCCAAGCCTCGGTGCGTCGATACCTTAAAGAAAGATGGGATCTGGGCCCTATGAGACAAGATGCGCTACTCCTACTTGCTGCATCGAAGCAACCAGCCTCAAGATTCACCAATGCGAGTGAGACGGAAGGATTTCTTTCAGAGGTTGCCAGAGATTACTACCGACATGAAGGTCTGATATTGCCTCAACCCAGTGCCCGCAACGGTTCCTGTCGAGTCGATGACGTTTTCGTGAATGCCAGCGCGATGCAAGGTGCCAACGAAAGCACTGTGTCACTAATGAGCAGTATTTCAAGTGTAATCAACAGCTATATCAGCGCAAACTCTGCAGAAAAAATGCCCAAAGAGAGTCAGAAAGTCAATGGGGAAGCGGCAGCCATCGAGTCTTTGTCACTGTGGCATTCCGAGCACGGTGACGATTACGCCGAGGGCATCCGGCCAAAGTTCGACATCAAGAAACTGCGGGTGTATGATTCATACTGGAACTGGAATGCTCAAGCCATGGAGAAATTCTGTAACCTCTGGAAAGAGGGTAGTGCGAAGCATGAGGCCGCCTTGGGAGAGCTCGCTGCCAGCATCACAAATCGATCTTGCAGCCGCTCATTAGCCCATCTCAGGTACCTGCAAAAGCGGACAGAAAAGGACGCTCCTCTTGAAAAAGGCCTGATAAACGGCCTGAGTCTGCTTTACAAGTCTTGCCTCCTGTCCAAAGAAAAAGACCCCGTTTACCTGTACAGTGCTCCAGACATGGGTCCCCTGACGTTGATGGATGCATCGGGAAATACAACTGCATCCGAGATACCTCGGGGTGATGATTACATGTGCTCGGCAATCAAGGCAGTGACGAATCATGAGGAAATACCGCTCGGCGTCAACTTCCCCGTGAGCAGGTTCCAGGACGGTGCGGCCTCATTTTCCTCCGACCTGAGTCTGGCGTACGCCAAGGATCAGAGAACTGCAAGACGGAAGGGTTTCACTTTTGCCGGGAGGAATATCTTGGTGACTGGTGCCGGGAAGAACTCGATTGGTATACACATCGTTGGTGGTCTTCTCAGCGGTGGAGCAAGAGTTACCGTCACGACGAGCAGCTACTCATCGGAGACGACGCGGATGTATCAAAAACTCTACATGAAGCATGGTTCCAAAGGTTCAGTGTTGCGAGTTGTCCCTTTCAACCAAGGAAGCTATAACGACATCCAGAACCTGGTGCAATGGATCCAGGATGATGACGCGTGGGATCTCGACTTTGTTATTCCCTTTGCAGCCCTCAAAGAAAATGGGAGAAGTCTCCTAAGTCTGGATTCGAGATCAGAAATATCCCATCGGGTCATGCTCACAAATCTACTCCGCATGCTGGGCTTCATTGCGAAAAGTAAGCAGTCCAAAGGCACCCTCAACAGACCAGCCACCGTCATACTACCTCTATCTCCTAATAACGGCCTATTTGGAAGCGATGGGTTGTACGCTGAATCCAAAAAGTCGTTGGAGCCGCTACTGTCAAAGTGGTATTCCGAGTCTTGGGCAGAGTACATTTCGGTCCTCGGGGTTGTCATCGGCTGGACACGCGGCACAGGTTTGATGGATGACAATGACACCATAGCCGAGCTCGTGGAAGCCATGGCAGTGAGGACATTTAGCGTCCGTGAGATGGCGGATAATATCATAACGCTGATGGGCGGATCCATCAATGCCGAGTGTCATTCGGGGCCGTTGGTCGCAGACCTGGGCGGCGGATTGTGCAGAATCAAAGGTCTTCCGGAGAAGCTGAAAAGTATTCGAAGTAGTTTGCGTACCGAATCAGAAGTGCGAAAAGCGATAGAGGTAGAAAAGGCTCGGGACAACACCATTATCACAGGCATCAACTCGGGTATTACGAAGCACGGTCCGCCCAACAACTTGTCCATACTGGCCAATGTGCAACTCACACGCCCCAGCTTGCCGGATTATGAAGCATGTATTGCACCCTTGGCAACATCACTCGAAGGTATGGTCGATCTCAGTCGCGTCACCGTCATAACAGGCTTCTCAGAGCTGGGGCCTCATGGCAATAGCCAGACACGTTGGGACATGGAGGCAAACGGCTTCTTGTCGCTAGAAGGCTCCGTTGAAATGGCCTGGATGATGGGTCTGATCAAGCATCGTTCTGGCATTAGACCAGACGGTACACACTTTGTTGGCTGGATGGATGCTGAGACATCCGAGCCAGTCAATGACCTTGATGTTTACACCCGCTACATGGCAACTATGCTTCAGCACACAGGTCTGCGGCAGATTGAGCCATCGATTTGTGACAACAATTACGACCCCAAACACAAGGAAAAGATGCATGAGGTTATCCTTCAACACGATCTCATGCCCTTTGAAGCGACACCTGAAATTGCCGAAGAGATGCTACGAAAACACGGTGATAAAGCCTCCGTGACCAGAGACACGGCCGGGACTTACCATGTACAGCTAAAAGCCGGGGCAGCAGTCATGGTACCACGGTCATCTTGTTTCAATCGGACTGTGGCCGGTCAAATACCGACCGGCTGGTCGGCTAGGAGATATGGTATTAAAGATGATATTATTGAGCAAGTCGACCCAGTGACGCTTTTTTCACTCGCCTGCACCGTTGAAGCGCTACTCAGTTCTGGCATCATCGATCCATACGAGTGGTACCAGAATATTCACGTCTCTGAGCTGGCTATCTGCATAGGATCAAGTATGGGCGGCTTGTCATCATGGAGACAGATGCACCGTGACCGCTTCCTAGATAAACCGGTGAAGCCTGACGTCCTTCAAGAGACATTCGTAAACACAATAGGGGCGTGGATCAACATGCTTCTGCTGTCTTCATCGGGGCCTATAAAAACTCCTGTCGGGGCGTGTGCCACGTCCCTAGAGTCCCTCGATACTGGGCACGACCTCATTGTCTCCGGTAAAGCCAAGGTCGTCCTAGTAGGTGGAGTTGAGGACTTTGTGGAGGATCTCTCTTTTGAATTCGGCTCTATGAATGCTACATGTAACACGGATGCCGAGACTGCAGCAGGAAGAGAGCCTCACGAAATGTCCCGGCCAACGACATCAACTAGGAGTGGCTTTGTTGAAGCTCAAGGCTGCGGTGTCCAGATTTTGACATCGGCAGAATTGGCAATCGATATGGGGTTGCCAATATTCGGTATTGTCGCATACACAGGCTTGTCAGCGGACAAGTCTGGGCGCTCAGTTCCAGCACCTGGAATAGGAGTCATTAGCAATGCCCGAGAGTCAGCCGCCCCAGGCATGTCCAAGCTGAGAGCAGACGCGATATCCTGGCCAATATGGAATCTAAATCATCGACGTAAGATGCTGTTGCGAAGAAGAGAGCAGATTGCCGAATATGTCCAAGATAGCTTAGACCAACTTCAAAGCCAAGTTGATCAGCTGAGAGAGTCAGACTTGGATCTTCTGCAAGAAGACTTGGACGAGTACTGGCAGAGCCAGGCCGCTTCCATCAAGGAAGAAGCTCGACGCCAGGAAAAGGAAGCTGCCTTTGGTTTAGGTAATAACTTTTGGAGAAGTGACGTGAAACAGCATACATCGCCGATCCGAGGATCATTGGCAACGTGGGGTTTGGGTATTGATGACATATCAGTCGCGTCTCTTCATGGGACTTCTACAGTCCAGAACGATACGAATGAGGCATTTGTAATCCAAGAACAGATGCGCCACTTGGGTCGCCAGGAAGGCAATCTCCTGCCGTGTATATGCCAGAAGTGGCTCACTGGACACTCAAAGGGAGCCGCGGGAGCCTGGATGATTAACGGCTGTCTCCAAATGATGAATTCGGGACTGATACCCGGCAATAGGAATGCCGATAATGTGGATGAGAATTTGAGACGGAACCGATACTTGTGGTTCCCCAACGAAACACTGTCAAATGGCGGTCAAAAGGGTCTAAAGGCATGCTCCGTCACGTCTTTTGGATTCGGCCAGAAGGGATCTCAGGCAATTCTAGTTCATCCTCGCTATTTGTATGCCACGATTTCTAAATCGAGATATGAAGAGTATAATCAAAAGGTAGAGAGGAGGCTGCAGCGTTCATCCCAGGCTTTTGTTGATGGAATGATGAGAGAAGACTTGGTGTCATCACGGATGAAAACAGCACCGCCTTACGAGCTCAAGGACGAAGTGTCTGCCTTACTTGACCCAGATGCACGCTTTGTGTCAAATGGCTGTATACATGATTAAACATATTATGAATCAGAAACTGTTTTTCACCTAGATATGTGTGCTACCACTTTTAACAAAAGAAAACACCATTGGTGGTTCAATACTACTATATCCAAGCTGGATATGATACTTGATGACATGACAGACCTATAAGCGTAGCAGAGCCAATATTAGACGACGGATATTGGGTTGACCGTTGAGCCATAGAGCAAAAGGCTCCAAGCATTACATCAGCCAAATACCTCGAACCCGGTTTATAGGAGTGCTCTTTTGACTCTTGGTAGTAACGGAAACGTGTCTATCTTATAGAATGGATTATTATTGATTTTATTAGATTCCTTAAGTACACTATAATATAGGAGACTAATATATCTCGTATAATCGCTTCATGAAGTCTAACTCGCAGCACAGATGTAGCTCTAATAGTATTGAATGACTGACAAATATTAGGTAAAATAGCTCACGCAAACTTCTGCCAAGGAAAAAGGCTATTCGCCTAATATCGCTGGAGATAATAATAATAATTGAGAAGATAATGGCTTAGGTCGGAGTGTCATTGTTCCTCATTCAAAGAATGCTGCGAATGTGGCTAGGCTCATATTGAGGCTTTTCTTAGCACTCCTACAATCACCCACTCAAATTTTGTTATTTTTATGTTAATTTACCTTTCAGAATATCTTTAGCTCTCACCAATATGTGGAAATCATATGCGGTCAATTTTGTACTGATATGAAATGCTTCTTATACTCTCACCCGCAGTTTGCAGCACACTAGAGATTGCGTTTTGATGCAAGATTATGACGGCTCTCTGGTAGCAAATCATCGATTTCTAGTGATGGAAACGCCGGGAGATAGTGAACGCAGCTTACAGGAAGACTACATGTACCACTGAAATAACAAGGAAATGGCGTTTGCCGCGCACCTTGTCCGGGGCATTCACTATACTTTCATGGCTTAGGCAGGGATTTTCCCTCTCTAAGAAACTGATCTACTACAGTCAACAACGGATTTGGTTCTGTGTGAGGCAACTCCAGGAGCAAGACATTAGTTTCCTCAATGCCAATACCCCTTGCGGTTTGGAACGCATTCCGTAACAGCCGAGAGCGAGGAAGAAGGATTTTGTGTCGGATGGGCTAATCTGATCTTACAGTTCTAGCAGGGTATACTGCGCATTAACCACGGTGATGATGCCAAATAATCGATGAATAGCGTGCGTTATCATGGAATAAGGTCCACCCAAACGAGATTTTTGTTAGTTTGTATGTGCAGACTTGCATTGCGAAACACCACCTGCAGTCCTGACCAAGTGCAAAGCAATAACACCATCTTGTTCTTTGCATTCATGGGGATCGAAATCCAGGCGCCTGGCAACAGCTCGTGAGAGACAGTCGCCGCGCTGGGCAACCCCTTTTAGCTGCGTACGACTTTCTGGGGATGGCACACAGGTAAGGGTTCTGGCTTTCACTCAGCGGCAGGCATCGATTTTGATTTTCGCAAATACACTTCTCGATCTTCATGTCTTCAGGCGGCTAAAGGAAGCGGACACACACATGTTTTGGAAAAGTTGCCTGGAAAAGAGGCCTAAGAATGTGGTAAGAAGGCTGTATCGGAAAGACAGATCAAGCCAAGACTATCCAATTGTAGGGGAAATTTCTCATTCAGACTAATAGCTGGGGGTCAAGGTGTCCTCTTAGTGCATTGAATGGCACAAGCCGCTCAGATAACGACATAGGCTTAATGATTGCTCTTTATCTTTAGGTTAATAGGTTAATAGTGTCATAATTTCGAGAAGATTTATTTCCGGAGCTTACCCTCACTTTCCTGGTTTACCCTGCATGTCTTGATTTTTCGTTTATCTTTACTGAAATTCTATCAGGGAGACGACCATCTTAAGAGCATATACGTAATTCGTTGAGGAGATCTGAGACATGAACGCTCACGGTCCTCCGTATATTGATACTTTTGATGAGATAAGAGGTTTATAAACAAAGGAAGAATACAAAGACAGCCTATTCGTCACTACATGCTCTGAAAGAAATAACGCATGTATGTATTATTAAATTATAAAAATAAAAAAAAGGGGGGGGCTAGATTGAGGGCATCTAGTAACACTTTATTTTGGGCGTACGTAGGTCAGGCAACCGTAACTATCCACGCAAGACACCATGAGTACACGCATCGCGATGCGTCAGACACACTAGCTGAGTTAGTCATCACAGCGCGACGCATGTATATAATAATGTATGGTGGTCGGGCGTATTATGTGTACGGCGGAATAGGATGAGATACTCGGAGCTAAAAAGCAAAATATCACACCCTTTTCAGTGCTTCTAGTAGCCGTCTGATTAATTCCAAGACGTATGATACGTTATGTTTCGAAATTTAAGCAGACCTTTGAATGAGAAAAATGTCAGCGGTGGGGATTAGGTGCCCTGGTAACCCGGCACCATTCCGTCATATTGTTTGTATTTGTCTGATCTACTTGGCAATGGCAGTTAAGACAAAGAAGCGGATAGATTGGTATTAGCCCAGGCTCTCGGGACTCCTCTTGAAGCTGCTAAAAGAGTCTAATAAGTGAGGCACGAGACTCCATTGGCATCTCACGGCAAACGATCTATCCAAAATTCACCTTTAACACAGCCATAGTTAGTTGTATACTGTTGTCGAGAAATCTATAGCCCACGCCTCCAACTTTTTATCAAACTGAGTTAAGTACATTCTTGAGACAGGTCTTACGCATTTGTGCATCACAAGCCGCTCATCCTTGTTATTGTGGCATGTGTCTCAGTTTGCCAAGGTTTTTTTTGTGATTCACCAGGATAGTTAAGCAGCGGGTATTTATGCACGCCCAGACTGTTCTTTGTTGCATACTTTCGTTTTATCTCCGAGACTCTGGTAGCAGAATCCTGCCCGACGAAAGCCAAAATCATCCGACCTTGCTATGCAACCCCCTGCGTGCGATGGAGCACTTGATCGGCCACCCGGTTCAACTGCAGTGCCAAATGCTGTAGGTGGCTCCGAGAAAGATGAGGGGAAGTTAAGCGCAAAATGTCAGAGGAACTGGTCCGAACATTCCACCTTTGCCTGCAGAGTCTGAAGATAGTCAGATCAGTCAAGGAAAGCCTTTTGCGGTGGTGGACGATGATGGGGTTAAACACCCAACAGGCATGAAAATCTTTTGGATTGTTCTAGCTCTCTGTTTAAGCGTATTTCTTGAAGCACTTGGTATATGCTCCCACCACCTACGATAAAATGCAGCTGCTCGACCTCAACTAACCGGCGGCCTCGACTCCCAGATCTGACTATCGTTACAACTGCCATTCCAACAATAACGGATCACTTTCACAGTTTACAGGACGTTGGATGGTATGGTAGTGGTATGTTTCATCCACGGCTCCTTTGCGGCACAAAGTTTGTACCCATATGATATTTCCATGCACAGCCTACCTCCTTACCAGCGCTTGATTGCAACTACTTTTTGGCAGAATATACAGCCAGCTTGCCATGAAAGGGATCTACCTTTCTTCTATCATAATCTTCGAACTCGGCAGTTTAATACGCGGCGTGGCCAGCCGGAGCTCAATATTCATCATTGGCCGTGCCATTGCCGGCGTCGGTTCCGCCGGCATCTTCATAGGCTCACTTGTTATCCTATCCCAATCGGTACGACTTGAACGCCGGCCGTTCTTCACTGGACTTATTGGAAGCATGTACGGCATTGCATCTGTTGTTGGTCCGGTCCTCGGGGGCGTCTTCGCCAATAAGTGACATGGCGGTGGTGTTTTCTTATCAACTTGCCCCTTGGCGCTGTCGCCGCCCTCGTCATTATCACGCCCCTCAAGCCCACGCGGCGTGTTAATGAAGAAGACACAAAATCAAATCGCCTGAGGCAGTGCGACCCTTTTGGCAGTGTGCTACGGTCCCGCCACGCGTCTTCTTTCAGCGGACTGTCTGGTCCTCTTCTCTCTTTGGCTATGCCTCGGCGGAGCGGCTCTGAGTTCCATCTACTTCCTACCGATCTGGTTCCAGGCTGTCAAGGCTGCTAGCCCTGTCGTCTCTGGCTTCGTGATGCTCCCCATACTCATTAGCTTCGCTCTAGTGTCCCTCCTCTCTGGTATTTTGGTCACAGTCGCCGGCTACTACACACCATTCATGTTGGCTGGCACTGTATTCTGCAGCTTTGCCTACGGCCTGATGAGCACGGCTGACCCGGACACCTCCATGCTTACTTGGGTCGGCTACCAGATTCTCGCTGGTGCTGGCGCCGGCTTTGGGATGAACCAGTGTCTCATTGCTGTTCAGGTTGTCCTCGACACAGAAGATGTACCTACCGGCACGGCTCTCGTCTTCTTCCGCATACTCGGTAGTGCCATATGTGTCTCCATCAGCGACTGTGTCTTGACTCTTTACCAACAAGCTCAGGCAGCTCCTTTTAATGAATGTCCCTAGCCTAGACCCGGATATCATTCTCAAGGCGGGCGCCACCAATCTTCGGGATATTGTTTCCCTTGCTGACCAACCCGCCGTTCTTGCGGCATACAACGAGGCTATTAACAAAACTTTCATCGTCTCTGCCGTTGTCTCTGCTGTAGGTATTGAGTGTGGAGTGGAATAGTGTCAGAGCAAGCAACGAGTCATCGAAATTATAATGTCCGCCACTTGTGCAAATGAGGTTCAAGGGTTGTCATATTTCCACAAAGTACATTTCATTCTACGAAAGTCTGTCAGATAAAACGGAGACCATTTAAATTGTTTGAGTTGAAGTGGCTAGGCCGCAACAATGTCAGCAGGTATTTCACCGTCGCCAAGTATACTCGTCGAATGCTTAGCTAATGGGTAATATAAGCTAATCAAGTTGCAGGCTGATAGGGAGAGATTTATTCTGATGTAATTGTCGCGCCTTTCTTCAAGGAGTATCTTTCTGTTTTCCATATAGACTATTTCATGATCCAGAGCAACCATCAACCTGAATTATTATCGGGAACGAGTCTGCCACAGCAAAAAAGCAAGAACAAGAATAGAAAATAGCAGAGGAAGAGTATACACAAGACCCCACCACTTAGAAGGCCCAACTCGTAGGCCTTCCAGCATATACTCACCCATGGACACAACCTTCTCACCATCGTTCTCTTGCCCGGAAGCCCAGTACATCCCTATTCCAATGGCCACAGCAACCCACAGTGCTGCCTCCAACTTGCTAGTTCCAGATACTGTATCCCTCCAATCGACCGCTGTAGCAAGGAGCGTGTCGAGGCGTCCGTCGACATGGCTTCGCTCCCGAAGGAGTGGCCAGGGAGCGGAAGCACCAACCGCCAGAGCGGTGGATGTCGACATCCGATCAAGCGACATGTTGCCTTGGCATGGTGAGTCATTGGAAATGTCCCTAGTGACCGCAAATTGGAAACTATAGTTGATCTTATCGAGATATTTCCGCGAGTAGCGAGCTAACTTGAGTCGACGTATCGCGATGGCGGGTCGGATGTTGATGGAACACGTCAAGGCGAAGGTGTCATTCTTTGTCTGGCCTCGGAAGCCTGCAAAGTCGCTAAGCTCAGAGGCATGGGTGCCTACAGACCCAAAAACAATCGTCGAGGTTCCCTCTTGGTCGCCCGCACAAATGCCAGCAACAGTAGCGCCTTGACTAGACGGGTCAACACTATAGAATATGGTACTTGCCACGCATCCGTCGGACGAGACGGTCAGGTTTCTTCCGTAAAGGATAACGCTACCTGTTTTGAAACAGGAAACAGGCTTGGTTTCCAGTATCGGGAGGCAGATCGATACAGACTCCAACTCGGACCAGAATCCCACCGGCACACCAAAAGTATGAAGCCCGAAAGCACCCACAAAGGCATCGTACGGCACCTCGCACGGCACCCCCATGGCAGACTTGTTGACTGGTACACCTCCCATGCTGTATGCGAAATCAGGATCGTCCAGTGTGAAGGCGTTGCTTTGGGCCAGGAACGGGAGTACGCGCTGCAATTCACATGAACCTGTGGCGTTGACACCGAGTAACCTTCCAGATGACAACTTCCAGACCAACCCATCCACAGAACCTGCGCCGCCATCAGTAAAGCACCGGTCGAAGGCTAAATCATCTAGTTGTATGACGTGTTGAGGGAAGAAGTATGTAAGGCCAGGATACTTGAATGGGAACAAGGAGGGCGTGACGGCCAGTAAAATGCCTGTCGATATCAAGCTCACAATGAGAAAAGTACCAGAAATGTACCAATACCTGAGCATATTGCCTAGAGAAGATACACCGACAACGGTGGTAGCTTGTTGTAACATGTGCTGACTCGGCTCTTGGGCTTGTACCTTTTCCAAGTATATCTTCCTCATAGTAGCGGCGGCTGGCATGGAGACGAATAGTACTGAGGCAACTCCAACGCCCAATGAATACAGGAATTGATATTTAGCCTCAAGGACCCCGTATCCGGGCTTGCGGATAGAAATCGGGATACATCTTGCCACAACAAGAAATATAAAAACCGCTGACTGAAGAAACAGAACCAGGATTGCGTTGCGTCGAAATTTCTGTGGAATCTTGATTTCTATTGTCCTTGTTGCTCCTTCAGCTTGAATTTGAGCATCACTTTCCTCATCGCTTCTTGCTTCCCCGGTACGAGCTTCTGAATGCACCATGATTTCCAAGTCGGCTGCAGGATGGAGATTTGATGCGGCAAAGTTGGAAGGTGACGCTGAACGTTTTTTTACTATGAGAAAGGGAGGAATTCAGCGAGCCAAAGTGAATAAATGTTGGCAAGATTTACGGCTCAGGGCCGCCTTGGTTGAAAACCCCGTGGAAATGTGCAGTTTTCGTGATTGATGCGCCGTTACAGAACTCATTGTTCAGGACGGCACCGCCGTTTTTAAGACTACGCAACGGTTCTCTGAATCGTACGCATCTAACACTACTTCTGGTGCCAGACATATCACAGCACGGCGCTTAGTTGCATCCAATAAACTCCATTCAACTGCTACACCTGGTCTCCGGAATAGAACGAGGCTGAGCCCGATTTGAGCTTTCAGAGTTGTCATAGTACCAAAGGAAAAATGATAGGTCCTTAGATGCCGTTGACATCCAAGATGCATACGCAGTATGTCGCTCCGTCAGCCCTCGTACTACCCCCCATCTTTGTAGTTCATGAATCAACTTCAAGGCTGGAACTCAAGTCCACAGGCGGAAGAGCTGTCGTTTATTTTGATTCGTAAAATTAAGGGTAATACCTGAAACACTATGTCTCCTCAGACGTTCCAACGCCCGAGCCAAGGCTAGCTATTATTAGAGTGGCAAGCAGGTTATATCAAGTCTTCATATCCAACCGCTGACCCGTTACCACTGACTTTGTAAGACCCCCGCTGCCAAACAGGAAGAACAAACTCAACCTGGGTCGGGCCGTCGTCTCACGTCATCTTAGCCCTTACCAATGCAGGTTTCACACATCATACATGCCATGCATAATAAGGTTCCAACGGCCTCAACTCAACGAGCCAGAAGGCCTTTGACACGTCCGGACTGGGCGTGCCGCCGCGTATGCACCTTGTTGCTGGCATGAAAACATGAATTGTGCGTGAGCTTCTCGGAGTAGGTATGATTACTGGTTTATATTGATTCGTCTATGAAGACTGGGTCGCAATCAAATCCATATTACTAATTCTTGGTTTTGACTCCAGGTTTGTTAGCCTCTGAGGTTTAGGAGAGCCAGTTTGCTTTTGCTGTTTGACCATTGCTAGGCTATTCGATACCGTCGGCATTTAGAATTCACACCGCAGATGTTAAAAATAAAAGATGTTAATGCCTATATCAAGTGTTGGAGACTGTGTACAGTTACATTCTTGTCAAGGAATACATATGTCGCCTAACAGGCCATCGTGAGTGTCAGCCCAATCCCGTCCCCTGCAGCCGCCATGGCAAAAGAGTCAATCTGGTCTGGTACGAATCGACATTGAACAAGTCAATCGCTTCAATGTTTACAACATGGCTCAACGGACACTATACAGGCTTCCACGGGCCAGACCACGACAATTATCCACTTTTGATATCTTGGTCCTCGACTCCTCACAACCCAACGAGAACAACACCGTATTACTGTCAGACTGCCTTTCATCGCTCCCGTCATTTACTCATGTCTCTAGCGACATTGCCTCCCTTCCGGTATCGCCAGCCTCGAATGCCATACGTCGAGCATGTGGAGAAGTACGCATCTGGGACTACCATCCGGTAGATATTGGCGACGCCATCTGCAATGGCGAGCGGGTGTTCCAAGTGATGCACAAGCTCGGCCACGGAGGCTTCTCGACAGTCTGGTCAGTTCGCTCATGTGCGCCCTCACCGTCCTAATTTGCCTTGAAAATTCTTTGTGCTGAGGCCGCAGACACGATTGATGGTGAGCTGGCCGTCCTCCGGCACCTCAGAACCGTCGCCGGCCCTGGGCATCCAAACGTGGTGGCATTACATGACTCTTTCCAAATCTCTGGTCCGGACGGCGAGCATCACTGCCTCATTTTCCCTGTTCTCGGCCCAAGCCTACGCAAGGCTGTTGTTTCCGCGGCGTTACCCAGCTCTATGCGACACCAGGTGTGCCAACAGGTTGCCAGCACCATGGCATTCCTCCATCATTACGGAGTCTGTCACGGCGGTAAGCCCAGTTTCTCAAACTTAACACTTGCCTCAGCTGACTGATGAGCATATGAACACGACCTCACTCTATCCAAAATAGTATTCGAGCTTCCAGACATCCAGTCCATGTCTCCAGCTCGTGTAACTCAACTGCTGGGTCCTATCAAGACGGAGAACCTTGGGTTGCAAAATGGGCAATGCTCGCCGCATGCTCCAGAGCAGGTCATCCAGACCCCTGACCTATCAGGTCTAGACTACTCTTTGCTCACTCGGGTTCGAATAATTGACTTTGGACAAGCCTTTTTCGCAAACCGCCCGCCACCCTCGCTGGGAGTTTCTATCGACTTCTTCTCCCCAGAGCTCTGCTTTGGTTATCTACCCTCAACCAAGAGTGATATTTGGCACCTCGCGTGCATCCTCTATTAGATTCACACAAAAAAGTTTCTATTTCCCGCAGCTCTCCGGATATTCGAGATCCTAATCGGTATTATTGTGAGCTATCTCGGTCCGATACCCCAACATTGGCGAGGGAGATTCAACTTCGACGAATACGGCTACTGCGAGCCGGGAAAAGTACAGGAAACAACAGAACCGGAGTGGTGGCTTGAGAACAAACACAGAGAAAAGACGATTGATGGAAGGATTTCCCAGGAGGCGGTACACCTCTCAGCCAGCCAACGGGGGGAGTATGTCCGCTTACTCAACGATATGGTTGCACACGAACCCGAGAAGCGCCTTTCGGCGGTGGATGTGATACAGCGTCTGAGGTCAGCCCCATTCTTGGACGAAGACTCAAGCGATCCAGTGACACATTTGTCAAATACTTGTAAATAGGCCTCCATAGTGTCATCAACACCTTCCGATCAGACCGTTGACAGCTTGCAATCTCTGAGCCCAGCGCTGCCTTTTGCAAAGCCGCTGCATGCGGACAATGTAGGTCCATCACATGCCTCGGTTGATGAGCGAATATAACATGTATTGCGGAATTCCCTACTGTATTTGCTCTATCGCAGAAGGTTGAGAATCCAAGGAACTCTGTTTCCTCTACATTGGCAACTCAACCACTCAAGTTCGTAAGAGACCATCCTTCCACCGGCGCTTCACTACAGTAGGGTAGGAAAACTGCGGGCATTTAAACTCAGACATGAACTGAATGCGATTATAATTATCAGGCCATCAATAGCTTCATATACACATTTTCAAGACACAAATCCATTCGCCATCCTCATATACTCGATTTTCATTTACAGCAAAGTCCCGGGTACTTGCGCGGGTCTTGGGTAACGAAGCCCCATGGCGGGTCACAGCCATTGCCGCCAGCCTTCTGGTTATCCAGATTGACCTGGTAAATCCAGCCTGTGATTCCATGAGAGTGGATACTAAAAATCTCGCCATAAAAGCAGACTTACCGTTGGAGCAGACGCAGACGGCAGGGAGACAGCATGGTTTATATGGCCTAAGCGGGTGTCAGCTTTCTGCTACAGCTATGGATCTAAAGGAGGCTCAGACTGTTGTGGGTAGCAGCGGCTCGCAGATAAGGTAGCTATAGGGATGAGACGCTCTGTATCCTTGGCCGGAGTGGTGGGCATGGCCGAAGCCACGGCCGCTAGAGCGCCGAGGGACGAAAGGATATGGCAGCCCCTCATGCTTCTTGAGATGTATCGTAAGTCTGTGTCAAGCGAGATGGATACGAGGCGTGAAATGTAATAAAAAATGAAAAAAAGGCTTCTAGCGTTGCGCGGACAGGGGAACCCCTAAATACCTATTCCTAGCATAAAACATGTTTCTGACTTGATATAGCTGTGACCAACATCTGTCCCCTATCGTGGTAACTCACACGGGCCTCTTACCCACCTGGCGTATGGATCTGGCCATAGCTCCCTTTGTACTTTGAGTTCTACGATACCTTCTGCTCTTTGTCTTGAAAGGGAAACAAAGGAGGCCTTGTTCCGGGGTAGGGTCTTATAGTCGGTCCAAGCTCATTTATAGTTGGGGGGCTCCATGTCTGAGCCAACTAGTTGGCGAATGAAAGGAATCAAGTCTTTCTGGCAGCAGAGAAGTTTCTAACGTAGCAGCTTAGTAGAGAGGGCAGAAAGAGTTCTGTGTAAGTGGTGCACCTATATCATAGTTTGTCTCCATTGAACCAATATGAATCAAAATTGACAAAAAGTTGTGGAACATATGAGAGCCAACGGATGGTTGTACCATTGGGTTTTAAGCATTTTCTAGGCGTTTGCGATTGCCCATGAGGATGGTTAAGGCATCACTGTCGCGCTTCAGACGCCTACTTGGGCCCTGCAAATTGATCTCACTAAACAATGACAAATAAATCATCCCGTGGAGACTGTAAAGTTCATTTGCTGGACCGGGCCGCCTATGAAAATTGCATAGAGTGCACTAAGAATGCCTAAGCTGATAGGACTGGTTGGGGATATGTTGGGCGGCAGCCGCGGACCTCGATTTTAGACCCCTTTGGCTGGTTGTCGCAGACAAATGTCTCACTGAGTCGTGTTTAAGGGAGATTTCTCTCATCATTACAAACATAGCGTTTCAATAGTTTGGTACCATAAGGCGCGCATTGCTGTGGTTGCGAATTCGATGAGAGTCTGAACGGGGCAAATTTACGCTGCTATGGCGTGGTGTAGTGACCCGGCAAGTTGGATATCATCTTTTCGCACAACGTAGTGTAAAGAAATGTAAGGAACCGTATAGAAAATTCGCCTAATGTGTCCCGACTAGCAAAGGGCATGATGCCGTTCAACTAGTACAGGTTCCAAGACGTAGCCAGACCTGGACCAATACGTGGCTCACGTTCCTCTTACTTTTTGCTGTATGATAGCAAGAACATTGCGCAATGCAACACCAGAGAGGTTACCCGCTGCTGGGATTACTCCAAACATTTGGGTGGCTGAGGTCGTTCACTTCCGTCATGAATCCTTGATCCCATTGCCAAGGCTAGACAAACTCGAGTTATGCACAAAGAGCGACTATACTCTCTGTCTCTTATGCATGAAACAGGCGTAGTCCTGGACTGGATAGACGTGGTGAAAAGTGGCCTGTCTAAAAGTTGATGATAATCCGACAACACAAAAACAGGTTCACGTAGGCCTGAATGCTGCGTTTCGCCAAAAAGACGCCGATTGTTTCCGGGGCTTGGCAGGAGAGCTAGCGTATAGCAGAAGGTTAGCCGTGATATTGCAACCGAGAGACCAAGTACTCGTAGACGAGAATAAATTCCAGCCATGCACAAAACCTGCATTGAATTAGCACGGAGTCAGCTTGAGTCGGTGATTCGTTGGCGTGTTTGCAGTGTCTCGGCGCTCGGTCACCAGAATGGACTGGCGAGGGCACTTCGTTGGCATGTAGAGACTTGAAGACGACGGATAATGCGCAATTGATTGAATTGCTGGCGACCTTGTCGGCACCTTGGTGCATAAAATGTGGCGAGTCCCATCGATTCGGAGACGAAGATCGAGTGTCTGTTTGGTCTGTCTGGTCGAGGTCTAGTCAAGTGTGGGCTGTTCTTGTGGGGAGTCGGCGACAAGTTAACTCCGGCTGGCCGCAGGTGCTCCAGTCAAGCCCAGCATCTGCGTACCCCATAGATGGCGTCACTGCTACACCGAACTCTACCCTTTAAACGCGATCCATCAGCATCAGATGTGCTGCCGTCTTTGCGCACTTGCCATCCAACATAACCAATCTAGCCAGTATTGAAAATATATCTGCACATATACCCGTTTACTTGCTCCTGCTTCAATACGGTAAACCATCCTTACTTACTCGGATCCAGGAGTTCCGAAGTTGCGGCTGTCAATCTCACGTGCGAGAGGGAGCCCACTCGTCTTTCACCACCCATTGAATAATTTATCGAATACCTGCACCGGCTGCCGAAGGCATCTTGCGCTTCCTCGGGAACCGGATTTGTCCATGGATCTGGATGATCCTGATCGGAACTCAGATTCCTCAGACACGTCTCAGCAGCAGCCTGATCCGGACGAGGGCAGTGCTGGGGATACAGCCAGCTGGTACTATGATTTAGACGATACGGCAGATGATGATGATCCGGACTACAGGGATGAACCTGACGAAGACGAGGACGAAGATGATGATTTTCAAGGTATGTGTGGAAAATGACCAACCTGGCATCCGTTCTCTCTAGTATGCTGCCTGAGGGTTCTCTCGGAAGCTTTGATTGATTACTAATGCATCGCTTTTTGCAGATGCATTGCCTGGTGATGTAGAGTTTGAACTTATTATTGGCGGCGGCGGCGACAACGATGGAGAGGAAGAGGAGGAAGAGGAGGAAGAGGAGGAAGAGGAGGAAGAGGAGGAAGAGGAGGAAGAGGAGGAAGAGGAGGAAGAGGAGGAAGAGGAGGAAGAGGAGGAAGAGGAGGACGGCGACGACGACGACGACGACGACGACGACGCGAATGATGCAGTTCGACACATCATGGATCTCTTTAGAGGTGCGCTCCGCTCCTTGCGCCCGTTCCAAGTATTTGTGCACTAACATCACCTTAGAAGGTGGAGGATCGGGATTGCTTACGAGAACTCAACTTATGGCCCTCTTGCGTAATCGTGACCTCACCAATGTCCTCTTCAGTGACAACGCCGAGGACGAAGGCATCCTAAGTCACTGGGGAATCCGCAGACGACGTCAGCCCAAGGATCCTAATCGGTTTCCAAAAGTACCCAGTGAAGAAGGACTCCAACTCATGCGTGCTGGTGCTTTTGGTACAAACGACTACAAGCTCCGCATGCGAAAGCACATTGCTAGGCGTATGTTGGAGCGAGAGCTTGGCGTTGGAGACGACGAAGAAAGACGACGAAATGGCGACTTGATTACTCAGGTACGTTTTTTTTTTTGGTTAAGTCGGCGCGGCCGTCGAGGCCACCTCAATGCATCATCGCTCACGTTGTCGATAGGCAATGATACCGGGGACGAGGGCTGAACAGATCATTCACTACGACGACCCAGTCTATTCTGGGCAGTTCTCCGATGATGGCAACTTCTTCTATTCCTGCTGCCAGGACTTCAAGGTTCGCATGTATGACACGTCAAACCCATACAACTGGAAACATTACAAGACAGTTTCGTATCCATGGGGCCAATGGACTTTGACCGATGCATCGCTGAGCCCGGACAACCGCTGGCTGGCATACACATCCATCCAGAGCATGGTGTCAATCGCCCCAACCGACCCCAATGACACTGGAGACCCCTACACTCTGGAATTGGACGATGGCCGTGGCAGACCGACCCAATGGGGTTGGAGAAATCGCGGAGGGTTCGGTATTTGGTCTATTCGATTTTCAGGCGACGGACGAGAGCTCGTCGCGGGCACGAGCTCGAACTCGCTCGTGGTATATGACATCGAGTCGCGACAAGTCCTACATCATGTCGACGGACACGATGACCACGTGAATGCTGTTTGCTTTGCGGACAAGTCTTCACCACACATCCTGTACTCTGGCTCTGACGACGCCACGATTAAGGTGTGGGATCGGAGAAGTATGGGAGACGGGCGAGAAGCCGGCGCGTTTGTCGGTCACATCGAGGGCTTGACGTACATTGATAGCAAAGGGGATGGACGATATATTCTGAGCAACGGAAAGGATCAGAGCATGAAACTGTGGGATTTGCGAATGGTCATGTCTACCAATCGGTTTCGGGAAATCGAACCGGCTCAGTACAGCAACACGAGTGGTTTCGATTATCGGAGAGAGTCATACGATGACGAGGATTGGGACGTACATCCTCACGACAACTCTGTTGTAACTTTCAGGGGTCACCAAGTCTTGCGAACCTTGATTAGATGCCACTTCTCACCGCCTTCTGCGACCAACTCTCGGTACGTGTACTCTGGTAGCGCCGATGGGAAAGTATACATTTGGAACATGGACGCGACTCTGGCGGGCAAGATCGATGTAAAGAAGGCGACAATGGGGACGCGTCGAGTGGACCGCCACACACGACTGTATTTCGAAGAACCCACTGGTTGGGGTACGTGTGTGCGTGACGCAAGTTGGCATCCGAGTGCTCCAGTGATGGTCGGTAAGTGGTTCTTGCTTCTCCGAAGCTAGGCTTAGAATTCAAAATTGAGAGACAATGCTAACTGGAACATTAAAGCGTCGGCCTGGAATGGGTACAGCATGGCTCGGGGTACGTGCACTTTGCATGCATTCAATGAGTCTTCTGATGACGAGGGAGAGCCGGAGATGCGCAGGAGCGTGGACTCCATGTTGAGACCTGATCCAGATGTATACCAAATGTCAAACTACTAATGGATATAATGTGTGTATATACTATTTCGCCGGTAAACATAGCTAGGCATTTGGTGTTGAAGGCTTTGATCACCTAGTCAAGAATCTGATGCGAGACCAATGGCAGATTAACAAGTCCATTCAGGTACGGAGAAGTCAAGTGATCCAGCCCAAGGGCCTCTATAGTATCCCAACACCCGTCTGAGGAGCCTGTCTGCAATTTCTCACATTGACACAGAGATAGTTCTTCTCAGGATCGGTGATGCGATTCGCCGCATTTCCGTAGTTGGGGAAAAGAGGGCAGTCGTCATCACCAGGTCTGAATCCCGTAAGCAAACGTCACCGAAAGGAACCAAAGTCACCTATCTAATTCCTTCAATCTACCTGTTGTGCAATCTCATTCGTCACGCATGAGCAAACACCTGCCACGTAGATGGCCTATTGTTGCGCACCTCATTTGCGTCAAATGGTGGCTGAGGCAGCTCGAGCCTCAGTACACCGCCATTCGTCAGCTTGTGTGCTAAGCCCTCGGGGGTCGCGGCCAGATTCGTCTGCCGCTTGTTGGTTTTCCAATTCAGCAACAAGCAACAAAGGATTTCAATGACCAAGACCAACGTGGCTGGTGATGGGTCCATGATGAGGTCGCGTTCTGTCGCATTCGGGACACTGGCCGACGTGTAGCACAGTGATACCCGTATATAAAGCAGCATTGAATTCATGGCGAGTACAACTGGAAAAAAAGAGGCACACGGTAGCAGATCCAAGCAGAAAGATTTAAGTCTTTTGCAATGATTACTATGCTTCTTCTTTTTCTTGCTGGACTCCCTGCAGTCCTCGCCCTCGTAGGAGGTCATTGCCCGCCAGCAGGGCCGGTTCTACCACCGCCAGAACTATCTGCAGGACTCAACCTGTCGAAACTCGATTCTCAGCTCGACAATATCGTGAAAGGCGCTTTTAGATCCTTCAATGCTACGGAAAACTCATTCTCTATATTACTTACCTCCAGAAATGCCACTGTCTACCAGTACCATCACACGGCTGCCGTCCGGGACCCGTCGGGCGTCAAGAAGGTGGATGGCGATACGGTGTATCGGCTTTGTAGTGTTACGAAATTGTTCAATGTGTTGACGGTGTTGTTGAATGCGGGGGATCTTTTGGATACTTCCATTACCAAGTATGTTCCCGAATTGGCGGGAGTCCAGGTGTACGAGGGTATTACGTTGAGAATGCTGAGCAGTCAGGTGTCTGGGTTGCCGAGAAGCGGTGAGTTTGCTACAGCATGACGGTTTTGTACCGTTCCATGATGTATTCCCTTCTTTGGTAGACACGAAAGTGGTTAAACTAACTGTTTTACCAGGTGATGCATTTGACTTGGCCACTACTGACGCCAAGAGCTGGGAAGACGCCGGCTTTCCGGTCCCTTCCAAGGGGGATATGCCACCGTGCGACGTGATCGGAGGAGAAGTGTGTAGTCGTGCTCGTATGGGTGCCACCGTCCAAGCCTTGCCAACATTTTTGCTGACTTTGAGAACAGAGTTTTTTGAGAATCTCAAGAACAACCAGTTGATTTGGCTGCCCGGGGCCAAGACGGCGTATTCGAACCAGGCCTACACCCTTTTGGGGATGGCTATGCAGAATATAACGGGAAAGACGTTCGCTCAGCTCCTACAAGACAGCGTCACAAAGCCTCTTGACATGCCGCTGACTGGGTTTACCACACCTGATTACTCACGGGGAATCATTCCTAATGGGGCAGGCAAAATCCTTTGGGACCAGGACATGGGGAATTACAATGCGTACGAGTACTCACCGCCATCTCCGAAGCGCCCCGTGTACTAACCGTGTGAAAGGACCGCCGGCCTTTTCTCGACTCCAAACGAACTGGGAAAGTTTGTCCGCGGCATCATGAACCACAAGCTTCTGTCTGCCGCGAACACAAGACAGTGGATGCGCCCAGCTAGCTTCGCTGGCTCATTCTCCATGTCTGTTGGCGCGCCATGGGAAATCTTCCGCGTTGCTCATCTCACACCTGATCAGCGACCCATCGACATCTACACCAAGTCGGGTAGCATGCCTGGCTGGGCGGCATACCTATTTTTCCTACCCGACTACAATGTCGGGGGCGCCATTGCTGTTTCTGGAGATGATGGAGATGCGGCTAGTTTGGCGTTGCTTGACATCGTTGCCGCCACAGTCGTTCCGGCCGTCGACTCTCTGGCAAGAGGGCAAGCCAAAGCAGCCTACACGGGACAATACGGTGCATCGTCCGGCGACAATAAACGCATGAGTGGAGCAGCTCATCTAGAGCTAGTTATTGACCAAGGGCCAGGATTGAAGGTCAAGTCGTGGTTCAACAAGGGAAAGTCAATAATCAAGGCCATCGCGGACCACAAGGGAGTCAAGCCGCAGGAGATGGATCTTCGACTTTATCCGGTCGGTGAGAATAATAGATGGCAACTGAGCGTTGAGACTCTGGAGCGACGGGTTGACGTAGCTAGGAAGCCTAGTGACGCTTGTCTGAACTGGTTTCAAACCGATTCCATGCGCTGGGCGACGCTGCCCGTTGATGAGTTTGACTTTGAGGTTACCAATGGACGGGTAGTTGCGGTTCGGAACCTGGGTTTGAGAGCAAATCTCAGCAAGATCGACTAGGTGCAAAATATATACACAAATATACTACTGGACAATATGTAATCGTGTATCATTATATGGCAACCAACGGCCAGGTACCTGGTCTGGTCAAGTACCTACCTAGGTACTTTCGACTCCCACCGGAGCTGGGGAAGCTTGAGCGCCACCATGAGGATAGCGTCTGGGATCTAAGAAACGTTGCAAAAGTCAGCCCATCAAGTGATGTCATCGCGATGGGGGTAGTCTGCCAAGAGAAAGAAAAAAGGCGATTTATTCACGTCGATTTCCCATCTGTTGGCACTTTGGACATTCGTGTCCCGTGATACCCGCGTTCTGCAGCGATTGCAGAATCCGGTTTTGTGCGAGCTCCTATTGAATCCCACCAAATACGCCAGATGGCGGCGGAACAACAATGCTCCGTTACCGAAGATGAGCAGCACGACTGCCCCTGTAAGCTTCACCAGCTGTCTGTCATGGCTCGTGCGCAGCCTCGCCTTCGGACGGAAAGCTTCTCCAGAACTTCGCCTCTTCACTTTCTCGTCATCCACCATCCAAATCTGGTCGAACAAGGTGCATTTAACAACCAAGTCGGAAGATTCGATTCTTCTCACCATTGATTTCGTTCCGAAACCTGCCACCGTGACGATTACGGCGCGATCGGATTGATGTCCCGCTGCTGAACCGCAAGAGGTGATCCCCGTGAGAGCACCAACGACCGAAAGAAGACCACGTATTTCTTGCAAAACGGTAGTATCTGATTCTAGACGATTGAGGTTTAGGAGACATTCATAGGATCACGGGTTATTGGTCCGCATTGCCTGTACCATTCCAGGAACGGATTTGTTCGCCTGGTCTCGTTGGGTTGATGTTGAAAACTACCGGGGACTATGATACAGGAGTCCGTCTTCTAAGCTGATGCGATTACTTTGTTCTTGATTAATTTTCTACTACATTGTACGTATTAGAGCTTTTGTATCTCTCACATTTCTTCTCTTCTGCTCTTTCTTTTTATTTTTTCCTTTTTTGTTGTTTGCAGTCATCTTCCTCTATTGGCGGTTCTGCGTTTTGTACCTAAACCTCCCTTGTCTCCGAGGTAGTAACGATCACTTCAAGACTAATAAAAATGATTACGAAAGACCAAGGGCCTCCTCACACCATCACTCGATTACATAATAGGGTCATAGGCAGCTGCTGTTTCGTCGATTCATACTGCTTGCAAATAAACATCGCTCTGCTCTCTTCGGCTTGCGTATTTCAGCATGGCGGAAGCTGACTTTGAGATCGACTTCTACGGAGATACTGCAACCGACCAGCAGTCGGAGCAGCAGGACGGAGACCAACACAACGAGGGTGACTACCAAGGCCATGACGAAGCTAATGGAGGAGGTGAACAAACGGACAGCCACAAAGCCCATCACGATGACCATCACGAACAAGCCGGAAGCCAGACCCATCAACAAGGAATAAAACGAAAGTCAGAAGAGGATGACCGACCAGTTGATCCAGCAGCCACTTCTGCACTCATGATCTCAGAACTGAGTTGGTGGACCACGGATGATGATATTCGAGGATGGCTTCGGAAAGCAGACGGCGAAACCGAGATCAAGGAGATGACATTTAGTGAGCACAAGGTAAATGGAAAAAGTAAAGGGTAAGATCATTCAATATGTCACACACCTTCTGATACGATGAGCGCCCTGCTTATAAGTCCCGCAGACAAGCATATATCGAGTTCTACTCACGCCAAGCCGCCACGGCGGCAAAACGTTGCATAGATCAGCTAGCGAACGATGGTGGCCAGTCTTGGCAGAAGAAGTTGCTGCCCACGTATTGGAACTCCGCAGTGAACCCCTTCAGAACACTGCCCAAGGATGCCCCGGCACGAGGAGTGAAAGAACAGCCCAGAGCCTCCCCGCCAGGTCCATATAACGATCGAGGCAACTACAGTGGGGGTTACCGCGGCCGCGGAGGTTTTGGCAACCGAGGAAACATGAACCAGGGCAACTTCAACAGTAACCGCAACTATAACAATAGCAACATGGGATTTAACAACAACATGGGTGGTGGGTTCAATGGACCCATGGGTGGTAACTTTGGCTTCAACCGCGGTAATATGATGGGTGGCGGCATGCGCGGCGGGCCTGGAGGTATGAGAGGCAACCGTGGTGGCGGTAACATGATGGGAATGAACCCGATGGGCGGTATGCCGATGGGTATGCCTGGTAACATGGGCATGATGGGTATGGGTGGTGGGATGCCAGGTATGTGCACAATGTTTCTCGCCAACACGCTCCATATTTCAAGCCGTCTTCTAACTTGCAGCAGGGTTCCAAGGCATGGGTCCCAACTTTGGAGGCGGCTTCGGTTTCGGCCAGAACCAAGGTGGTGGTGGCGGCGGCGATTGGGGTAATCCGCATGGAGCGAAGCGTCCTCGACCAGAGTGAAGAGCTGCTGGTCGTCCAAACTGCAGGGGATTACGTTGACTCGTCATGAAACGCTCCGTGTACAGCAACGGGTAGGATAATATACGCACAAATTTTGGAGGCCTCGGGACTAGCTGCATTCATGTACTATAGACAAATTACGGACAGGTTGCTACGGAAATGGCGCGAATAGCGTTGGATGGGTTTGTTTTAATGGCATCTATTCGGATTCAAAAGGGAAAAAAGAAAAAAAAAAAATTCAACATCTGTCACTGCCTATTTGGGCTTTATGCCAGCTGTGTGAACGTCTTCAGTTGATGTCCTCTACCGGGGACCAAAAAAAAAAAAATTGGGCATTTTTATTGCAGTCTCACTATGGTGGCGGTAACCAATTCACCCATCTGCAACCACCTCTCTCTCAAAGTACTCCTCGAAACCTCATTCCCAGCGGTACACCGCTCCAGCTCGGTCAATTTTCTCCTCACGTCCTTCTCACACGCCCTCAAAGCCTGAATCAACTTGTCGTTGACAGCGTCTCGATCCACATCCTCGTCCCTCAAGCCGTCGAGCACGTCTCTCCACTGGGTATGCGAGCAGCACAGCATACGCAACGCCGTGTGCGTCCTGTAGCAGGCCGTTTCCGCGTCGAGCATGTACCTGCCCCAGAAGCCCGTGTCTTCCAGCTCCGCTCTCTGTCTCTTGGTAAACAGCGGACAGAGGTACTCGTCCAGGCAGATCTCGTCCCACGGGTTCGTGGACCCCGGCAGCGTGAAGCCGTATTCTACCAGCAAGAAATCGTTGGAATGCGAGCCGTACCGGATAAACAGCTCGTCGCCCTCCTCGACGGGATGCGTCGTGGTTATGGTGAATGAGGCGTCGTCAAAGGCAACTTTGCACCCGTCGGGCGAATGGTTGAACAGGTCCGCGACGGGCTGGAGAACCATGTGGTCTGCCTTGAGGAGCTTCTCGGTCGCCCTGGTGACGTGGTAGAATGTTCGGCTGTTGACTAGGTGCCACGAGTAGAGGAATTGGGTCCGGGATATGGAAGGGTACGCGGCCGTGACGAGAGCCCAGTCCGTGTCGAACTTGGTCTTTTGCTTGGCAAGGAGAGCTTTTGCGTTGGGAGGCAGGAGATGCTGCAGCTCGGGGGGCCAGCTCAGCGGCATGCAGGTTCTGATGTCGTCTTCTGAGGGGAATACGGCTCTCCATATGGCGAATTCGGGGTCTGTTTCTAGACAGAGGGATGTGGCGAGGATGGCGTGGACGGTTGACCCTTTGAGGTTGTGGAGGATGGGTTGGGGTGTGTTTTTTAGAGTCCTGAGCATATTTACCGGGACTGTGAGGATGTCTTCGCCGGTCTGTGGATTGCTTAGCTAGAGTTGGATGGGGGTAGGGGAGGTGAAAGACCTTTAAGGCGCGAGTTGCGACGATACCTATGCCACGGCCGGGAAGCGGTTTGGGGCCGATTCCGTTGATGGCTACGCCCTTGGTCTCTGCCCAGGTGAGCAGGCGCTCGATTTGCTCCATTTTGAGTAATGGTGAGCCGTGCCCGTTTGGCAATGGCGTCGAGGTTGCTTCTTTTTTGTATGGAGTGTTGGATGTTCCGGCAGGAGTTTTGGGCAATGGCATGAGTGAGCCGGTGGCTTCAAGAGGCTGGATATAACATGGTTGTGGGATATGTGCGCTGTGCAGACTTGAGGGCGATGTATAGAATTGGAAACGCTTAGCGTGAGCTCTCAAAGTGAGGTTGAAGCACACCATGACTCCATGAGCATCGAGCAAAGGTGGAAGTGGGGAACCAGTCGAAATCATCTACTCCAGAGTCCAGGCAAACAACTCACAGGAAGATGCAACAACACGCCGACTGGTGCCGCATCCAACGTAGCAACTCGCATTGTTTCGCGTGATAGAGAGCCAACTGGAGAATTCATGGCATTAATGTTGTCGTGGCCGTGTTTCCGAATGGGGTACACCATAAAAAGCTGTGCCCGCCAGGGTCCAGAAGTGTCGAGGGCACCTTGTCCGCTTCTCTGTAAGCGACTCCTACATGATCATTATCTGTTAGGTACGCAGGTCGGATTACTGTGAAGTGATGTAGTGCGACTGCTTGTGCTTTTGTCTATATAACGGAGAAGAGTCGCTGATCAGCGAGGAGACAGATACCATTTTCTGCCAATATTGCTCACTTGATAACGCAAATGCGTATAGTGCAAAAGTCATGCGGTTTCGCGAAAGTCCGTTGTTCATGGAGACGATGCCGACTAGAAAGTATTCGGCGCGTCCTTCAGAGTACCAACAACCCTCGGCCTCCCTCTCCCAACGCCAAGCTTCATCTCGTGCCATTTAAAGCGGTCGCGGCTTCGGTTACCGTAGATGGGATTCTGACACCTTCAGTAATGACTTTAGGCTGGCCTGTGGATAATAAAATACCCAACGCACAAGAAATCGCAGCAAGACAGGACCTCGACGACGAAGAGCTGGAGCTAGGTGGTGGTATTGACCCAAGCTACAGGCGATTTTGTTAGAGGAACCCAAGGTGAAGCTTCCGACCGCATCTCACGAGCAGTACTAACATTATATATCATTATAGTTTTGGGAACGGTACTTATTAACGGAATGGACGCAGTGCCACGACAGCAGCTATAGATGTCATTGCATACAAGAATTGGTCCTCGATTCAAGCTACGTAGCTGGACTGTTGACACATTTCTGTAGATGGAAGCTACCTGCCTGCAGCTGCTATTCTACTTCTTCAGGTGATGATGAATCCCTTGGGTGCCCGGTATCTGCAGCCATTGTTTCCGCCCCTGACACGTTGACATCAAGGCTTTAGGGAGTGGCGATTGTAGCTCTGTAATGCCCGAATTTTTGATAAATATATTGCAGGGGCAAATGGCCTTTCTCACTGAAATATAGTGACGTATTAAATAGTTTCAATCCTCGCTCGGAAGGTAAACGTCTTAGAGTTGCTCGCTCGTGCGAACAAAAGGCGAAGAACTTCAGAGTACTCTGCAAGGTCAGACGCAAGGTCAGGCGCAAGGTGCACTATAAAAGCCACTATTTTGTCTCGAACGTCGGCAAAAATCACTCCAGATAAGCCCTCGCAGCTGAAGGCCCGGGCAGCGAAGGGCAGGGGGGGGCCCGACTGGAATGGAAATGTCGCAATCTTGGCTGGTGGCTGGATGGGTTGTTGTGGTAGTAACTCGATCATGTGCCTCGCAAAATCATCAAACAGAGCAACGTTGCTGCTTACTTTTGCAAGCCGTGCCCTCTTCTCGGATTTTTTTTCACATTCTTTTTTCGCTGAGTGTATTTCGTTAGGGAAGAGCTCCTTCAGGTCAAGCCCGTTCTCCGAAGCGGCCTCGCACACACTGTCGAATTGGGCTGGTGTGATGCATCCAAAGAGGCCGACAAACCTCCTAGTGTTCCCGAAAAATGCAAAATCGAGCGTGAATCTCGTTGCAACACTGAGATCCACGCCTCTACCACGAAACGGAGTTCCGCAGTTTTCGACGTCAACCAGTCCAATTCGACGTGGGGAACCTGGAGCACGAACCTCGAGGTCTAGGACCGGAATATTCCGAAATACAACATCCCGAAAACCGCTCCAAATAATGAAAGTTGTGTGTTGTGAAATGGCAGGGGTAAGGTCATCGCCAAGAGAATGATAAAGTCGTCCTTGATGATAGCAATCGGGGGTTAAGGGGAGTCGTTCTTCCGCAATTATGACCTTTCCACTCTCAAATTCGAACACGGTTTGACTTGGTAAAACGAGAAGATCCAGCTGCTTCTCTTCACATATTGTGGCTGCTTTCTTCACGTCTCTCCATCGCTGTTTAAAGTCTTTTCCACAATTCTCAATCTTAAAGACGATTTCGGGGTTTTCGTTCACTACGAATATTCCTGCCGAGATAACTGTGATCCCTTTAACATCTTGGCCTGTCGCTAGACGATCGCGTTGACGTCTTTAAGATATTGAGCACAACGCCCAACTGGTCGTCACTTAGGAGGATGCCCCCTCCGACACTGTCGGTATCGTGTGCCTTGTTAGTCTTTGTGAGTACTTTCCTTGAATGAAATTGAGATCTATTTTCCTGACCGTACCTCATCCAAGAGCGCAGAAGACATTTTTGCATCGAAAAAGAAATCCACTGGTCAAGCTATGCTCCATCGCCATATATATAAGGAACTCAGTAGGTGGGCGGTGTAATCAATCTTTGTCTTTTTTGATCAAGAAATGTGTCCCGACGTTGGTTTTAATATAGCAAGGCAGGGATTCAAAAGGCTTTGTACTGTGCCTTCCTCTCTCATTCACAGAGTCGCCGTTTCAGATCGTCTCAGATCGTCTCAGGAGCGTCTTTGTTATCCATGTCCTCGGAATCCCAGTCCATGAAAGATATGAGCGAAATGGTGCGTCAGGCATGTCTAATATAACAAAGCGGCGACACTCATAGAGCCCATCACTCACAAAGGGTGGCCAGTTCAGGCCGTATCAGATCGTCTCAGGCGAATGTCGTCATCTGTGTCCCCAGCGTCCAAGTCAGTAAAGGCAAAATGAAATGGTACTTTTGCGCGGTTCTTGGCCTGCTTCATGAAACAGACCTGTTTGCAAATTAAATGGGAGTCTCCGTGGAAGCGCCAGTGTCAGCCTCATCATTATCGTCGTGCGTCCAGCGGTTGAAAGAGCCAGTATTTCTAGCCTGCGTAACTCAAAGAAACGCCAGCACCATGAAATGGGACAACCAAAAGCATTTGCCCATAGAGATATGAGGAACTAATACGAGCCATTCAACACTATAAGCGCTTTGTAACGTGTTGAATGTCCTTTTGCTGTCTTTGGCTTTCCAAGTTAAAACCGGACACGGCGCACTTCTTCATACCCTCGTCATGTCTTCTTCTCTTGTTTAGTTATGGACAGCCCCTACCTCCAGCGTCATAGAGTACACCCATGATGTGCAATCTTCAGGGGCACTTGACCAACTGTTTTGAGACCAACTGTTCATCTCTCCTTCTGCGTCTTCATAATCCCGCAGATGTAGCAGAACAAGATCTGTAGAATAGCGCAGCGAATTCACAGAGGAGGATTCGCTACGAAAGATAGCATATTGACTGGCTTCGCCCAGAGCACAGATGGGGTCCTTGCACAGTGTATCGAGGACCTTTGAGAAGACTGGATTGAGCTTTTAGTATCCAGAAGCAACCCAAAGTAAGTTCATCGCTTACACTATCTGATTAACTGCCTGTGTAAAATGGGATGAACATGACAGGCTCGGAATCGTCAACAAAAGCTGAACGCTTTACTGAGATGTGTTACCGCACACTCCCATACACCCATCTCCCATGGAATGAAGCAGTCACCGTCTTCATTTGTCGGTAGTATGTAGCTTCTTCATGATGAAGCCAAGATGGCAAATTTGTCCCCAAGGTCTAAGAAAAAATTTGAACTGCAGCTCTTGACACGTACAGGCTCACTCCGTTTCCTGTGTACGCTGCAGTATTCACTGTTCATTTCACAAACTCGACCCCTCTCTCTTCTGCTTACCTTCCTTTTGAGTTTCCTCGTACGACCTGACATGCATACCTGGGGTTGTAGTTACGGCTGTTGGTTCATGTGTCGTGACAATTCCCAAGCAATTGGCGATTCACTGGACTGGGATACAGTATCTCAGACTGCTCTGCGGTATGTTGAACAGAAAGCGTCTGAACACCATTTTCATGACCAGGCGCAGCCAGGTCAATTTGACTAGATGAAGGTAGCTACTTGGAGCACGTTAGATGGGAGTGAGGTAGTTCCATGAAAGATGTAACCTCGCCGTGGATATGGCAATGCAGGGCAGGCGAGGGTATTCTTATGTTTTTTTTAAGCTATATTAGCTTCAACAGCCATCCCAGAAGAGTATTTAGGCTCGTGACTTCAACATACCTTCCTTGCCGGCGGGGCATTGCCACTCTTGCAGCAACTAGTGACTTCATGTCACTGAATTCATCCGGGCTTCCTTATCGATATCTTCCTGCAAAATCCAAGACTTTTCGCCAGTTTTTTTTTTCATTCCTGTGAGCCTTTGTGGGCTAAAAATTACCTCACTTGAGTCGACAATGCCCTTTGTTGCCTCAGCTCCTCCAATAAAATAGAAAACCTAGAAACCTCCAAAATACTCCCTTCTGATGCGTTCCATTTCTAACTCCGCCGGCACAAGGGTCAGAAACTTTGCGAATTCCTTCTGCCAAAACTGGTTCTGAGTATTGACGTTTCAGGCAGATGTATATTCCCAGGATGGTGGCATCCAGCCTGTTGTTTCCCGATCAACAACACCAGCGATTTTATTGCCTTGGACGATAATGTTTGAGCTACTCAAATCTCCATGATTAAAGGTCGAACTAGGCCACGGTCGACGGTAAAATGCAACCGGTTTGGCTAAAACAGGAGGCAATGTTCCACTGTGAGTCGTGTCCCCAAGTCCATCCCAGAGTTTTGAGTGGAAATCGTCAATCGAGGAAACGGTCCCCAAAGAGAGTCTCTAGGCAATCGCTGGTCGTAGATGGGCCCGCCGCATACATTCGCCACGCCGGTGTTACTTGGGGGCGATAAGCTGCGAAGCTGCTGGACCATCAATCGAAGACTTGAGAATGTCGTCCTGGGACTGCGGCGAACGATGGGCCAATCCCTGACAGAGAGTCTGGCACGTGATTCTCTCCATTATGATATACCCACGCCCCTCATTTTCAAATTCCGAGTAACCTCTTGGAACTGGAATCGTGGTGTTTGTGAGATGAATCGCATTGTCTCTGCCTCAGCGAGGGTTGCGAATGGTATTGACTTGATGCATAATCGCGGAAATATGAAGATGACTGGCCCAGAATGACCTAACCAGCGATACACGAGCTTGTTTCTGAAGAGTTTGTAGGTGGTAATAACAAACCACCGGAAAATTGAAGAGTCGTTGAATCGCATGGCTTGGAGTTTGCATCGTGAATCGGCTGATGCTTTGCGAGCATGTGCAACCACCACAACACCGACCGGTCCGTAACAACACCCTTCAGAGACTCACCCCAAGATGGAGAGCTCAGACACTCTACAGCGCTGCCTACTCGTAAGCATGACAAGTATCAAGAGATCTGCAGGAATTGGTGTTCAGGATGGAGGTTACCATAGGGAAGGTCTTGGACCCACCACATAGGAAAGCGTCTGGGTCCCATCATCGTTCCACCAAGGCACCCACATCTCATGCACATGAACTTCCATCTCACAACTTCTGGCGCTGGTATAATCTCCAGCTTCCCATTTCGACAATAAAATGGATCTGGCATTGCGGCGAGCTCAGCCAGCTACCACAGCTCGCCATGCTGTCCGCGCTCTAACCTGCGCAAGCTGTTCGCAATCCAATTCCAGACGGTTCTCGGTGCTGAACCGACAACCGCCCAACTATCCCGGCCATGTACCTCTCACGAAGCTCGAGCGACTCGGTATGGCAATCGGGTCCAGTGCCATGGCATTGATCAATCCCTACCGTGCCGGTATGCAACCAACCCATTCGTCATAATTTCTCTCCCGAGCTTCTGTATCTAACATGTCTAGACCTCATCGCGCAAGTGGGCGAATCCACCTCAACACCATACTTCATCTACCGCCTCCGCGACGCCATGCTTGCCGACCCAACCGGCCGCCGCATCCTCCGCCTCCGGCCCCGAATCACATCCAAAACCCTCTCCATGTCATATCTCCGCTCCCTCCCCGAAAACACCGTCGGCCGCACCTACGTGGGCTGGCTCGACCGCGAGGGCGTATCGCCCGACACCCGCTCCGAAACCCGCTACATCGACGACGAGGAGTGCGCATACGTCATGCAGCGCTACCGCGAATGCCACGACTTTTACCACTCCATCACCGGCCTACCTATTGTCCGCGAAGGCGAAGTTGCTCTCAAGGCGTTTGAATGGGCTAACACGTTGCTGCCCATGCCGGGCTTGAGCATGTTTGCCGCCGCGACGATGAAGCCGCAGGAGAGACGGCGCTTCTGGGACATTTACCTGCCCTGGGCGTTGCGGAATGGATCCAGAAGCAAGGAGGTGATTAATGTGTTTTGGGAAGAGCAGCTGGAGCGGGATGTTGAGGAGCTGAGGAGGGAATTGGGCATTGAGCAGCCCCCTGATCTGAGGGCGATACGAAAGGCCGCGAGAGAAGAGAAGAGGAGACTGAAGGAGATCAAGGCCAAGGGAATTTAAGTGTATCATGTTCAGAGTTGCGTTTTTGTTGGAGTATATTGCATAGTAAGCGCTTGTTTCAAATAGACGTGTACTTGTCACGTTGTATCAACCAAACCACAGTGGCACCAATCTACGCAAGAGAATCAGTACGAATCAGCCGCAGAATCGACGAATTGATTCACAAAAAATCATGGTATCGTAACTAAAATCCAGTCCGGGTTTCACCTCGCGCACGGTGCATTGCCCCTTTACAAGTCCAACAGGTCGTCGTCGTCATCCCAGCCCTTCCGTCTGCTCACCACAATCTTTTCCTCCTCCTTGTTATCCGCCATCGCATTCAGTAGCTCCTTCAGCTGTGTCTCCGTGACCTTCTGCCTCAGCTGACCCGTCTGCGCCAGCGTGATCAATCTGTTCTCGATATCCGTCGCACGCTGCTCCTTCACAAGCCTGATGCGGCCCAGGCGGTCGGCGGCCTCGGGGTGCAGAATCTGATTCAGAATGTGCTGGCGAGCATCGTCTTGCTGTCTGAATTCACCAGGAGGGTTAGTACGCTGGGACTGGTCGTCGAGGGGACGTGTGGGATGTGTGAGACGTGCTGTTTTTGGCGTTCTTGGTCCTGGCCACCGTTGGATGGTTGGCCACCGCTGCTTGCGCCGGACTGCGCCTTGAGCTGCTCGAGGCGAGCCCTTCTGATCTATCGCAGCTAGTTAGATGGGCTTGCAACGGAAAAGGGTACGAAGCAGAGTTACCTGTTCGAGTTCGGAGTCGTCCATGGTGACTTGTTTAGATTGGTGATGGTTCCAGGTAACGGCGGGGCAAGCTCGCTGCTGGAGGGGCAGCTAAGCTAGCTTCAGTGGCATCACGTGAGCCAGGTAAAACCAATGTTGAACGAAGCGCAACGGAGCGCAAAATGAACAGAGACTGGGTGAACATTGATATTGTTAATCAGTCTGTTGGGTAGGTGATCCTGTGTTTGATAGGGTATCCTCGAGTAAGACATGCTGACAGGTCACGGCAGAGTTGGCTAGACTCAGCTAGACTTCACCATTGAAAATGTAACCATGTAAACCTTTTATACACGCCCATGCTATGCTGAAATACAAAACAAAAGAATACAGCTATTGTACAGCCATCACCGTGGCATTGTCCTATATCTAAATGCTGAATGGCTCGGTATGGACGTCTCCTCCACTGGTATAAATGAGTTGAGTCGCTCGATTGCTTGAGAATGCTTCGCCTTGATCATGTCGCGCATCATCAAATTCATGCGCAAGTCCAATCCTAGCTTCTGGCCACGACGCAGGAAATATCCATTCAAATACTCCACATCTGTTGGTAATCCATTCTCAATTCGCCTAACCAGTTGGCTTGGCTGTGATCGCTTCCCCATTATTCTGCTGTACATAAACTTTCGAATGCCCTTGCTGTGGACATAGTCTCTGATGACTGTGGATCCTTCTAGTTCCGGCATACTTTCGAGAACTTGGATTATCTCGGACAGTAAACTATGCATCATGCGTTGTGCCGCTGGATTTTGCAGCAAGCCTTGGTATGGCATCTCCAGGAGCACGCATACAGGCTCAACGACAGAGTCGAAGATGACTGTAGGCAGTTTAAATCGGAGCCACTGGTCAAACGAAGTCAGTGTCGTCTGTAGGTCCTTTGCTTCTTCTAATGTCTTGACAAAATTCGGTCGCGACTCGACTTTGTGCATATCTTTGACGCGCATACGAGGCGCCTCGGCAAAGGTCAACTTTGTTTGGCCTTGCTTGAGCTGGGTAACTGCGTCGTATGTTCGATTAAACGCCAGGCGGTGGCTCATGTGGCCTAGCAAGAAGTTTGGTGCGGCATCCGTTCCCTCAAAGATCTTCTTCCTCACATCCTCGAGCACACCAAGTCCATCATTCATCAAACAGACTGTAGTATTTCCATCAATTCGATTCTTCACCGACTGCAGAGCCTCTACAGCTTCTTGACCTCGGCCTGATACCACGAGCTGGTCAATCCGCGAATCATCGCTCTGGGTAATGGCCCGAGGCATAGCGAGGTTGGCTTCGACATTGGCAGCTGACCGTCGGTTGTTGGGACGGACTTTCTGGATGTTGCGATATTTTGAGGAAGGACTGCTTCTCCACCCAAGCAGTTCGACGGAATCGTATACGCTTGATAACGCATGGGCGATGAATTTGGACCTTTCATCGTCGCCCAAAATATGAATTTTGTGCACAGTTGGTGAGTTCGCAGCTTCCCTGGGGAGCAGCACAGAGGGCACGTAAAACTGAGGTGTTGGACGCGGCTTGGCTGTTGATGGCTCGGGCTGTGATGAGATCGACCATGGCCGTTGTAGCGGGTTTGCTGTACTGCTCGGAGGCGTGGGCTCGCGCGATTTGTGTCTATCGGTAGTCGAAGCAACAGTGCCGTAACGGCGCCCGGCCACCCGGCCATCACAGCGACTAACTCGGATACATGATGTGTATTTCTGAGATATCCGTGCGGATAACCGCAAATTTCTTAGTCCAGCCACCTTGAAGGCTATTATGGGAAGCTCGCGAAAGTCGCAAGGGGAAGTTGTGGCGAAAGCGGGTGTCCCGGAGAAGTACCCAGCTATCGCTCACATTAGACAATACAAAATGAAAAGGGTACGGGTTGTCTTGTCGGCTGTCTAGTCGACGGGTCGCAAGTTGGCGTCGAATGTCGAGTTGAGCTCAATGGCGGGAGGATAGCAAGGCAGTGAGGCGATGAATCATCGCGGTCCGAGAAATGATGGAGTTTTCCGGCTCCTTGAAGAATCGCCATCACGTGGGCCAATCAGGAGCCAGCAGTTCCTACTCAGAGTAGCCCCATAAATCTGCAAAGCACAGCCTCTGATTTGCCCAGCACAAACCATCACAGGTCGATCACAGCCCTGGCCACTTGACCGCAGCCAAACAGCACAGCCAGAGCCGCAGATGGCTTGCAGGGCTGTCGTTTAGCGAGAAGACGCGAGGTTCGCTATAATAGCTTTTTTTTTTCCTATTCAGGAGTTTCTATTTCTGTCCCTACAATCACACAACTGTATCGAGCCCTGTCGCCCACTCTTCGGTCATGCGATAAACTAAAACCATGCAGATCTGCCAGGAAAAGACTTCAGTCGCGACGATGCAGGGACGAAAATGTGTCAGAAGTCGCCGAGATGGCTGACCTACTAGTTGCCATCAAGTGACTAGGAAAATCGGAAGAAACTCCCGCCAGCAGACGAGAACAAGCATCGAGTTCCGAGGAGCAATCACGCCTGTGGAGTGGGTCGCTTGTCACCTTGTTGAGTTGGAGGAGTTTCTCGGTTTTAACTGGAATTTCCAGCCCAGACAATGAATGTCGTGCCAAGCATGATTGGGGCAATATATGGGGGTCGGTCCCTCGTTGACCGACATACGCTTTATGGACGTTGTGTAAACGACAGATTATTTTACTAGTCAAAGAAGACAGTTTGAAGCCATATGACGTTGATGAGCCGATTATCATGGCAGCCTGTACTCAAACGCAAGTGGCCTTGGCGCCATCTGTGACGCTCAACACTGGTGATACTACTCAGCGGCAACTGTTGGAAACCAGCAGCGCCAGTCAGCCTAGTGATTCGTTTGACGAAGCTCCTCAAATGCCTCTGTTCCGCAAGGTGGCTGTGATTACACAACTATCCGGTGTCAACTTCGCTTCCAGTGCTGTCAATGGTCTTGTCGTGGTCAGCTTACCTACCATCACTGCCGCTATCAAGCTAGATCCGTCGTTGGCATTTTGGCCAACTTCGGTCTCAAACTTGGCCAATGCCTCCACCATCTTACTTGCTGGCTCTGTGGCCGACTCGATTGGCCCACGAACGGTTAATCTTGCCGGTGGTATAGTGACCGGCGCCTTCATACTCGCCGCCGGTGCATGTAAAACAGGTCCTCAGCTGGTTGTGATGCGAGCCTTGCAGGGCGTTGGCTATGCCATGCATCTTGCGTCGTCTGTCGCCATTGTCACGAGCACCCTTCCTCGTGGAAGACCACGGAACTTTGCCTTCTCCTGCCTTGGTCTTAGCCAGCCCTTGGGCTTCTCGTTTGGCCTTGTTCTCGGGGGCGTTCTTCAAGATCTCCTTGGCTGGAGAGCCGGCTGGTACATTTACGGTTCTTTGACTCTTGTCCTTTCTGCTGTTGCCACCTGGGCGTTGCCAAAGTCCCACTACGAAAGAACGTTTCGAGGCACTTTGCGTAATTTTAAGGAGAGAGTAGACTGGGTTGGCGCATTGCTCGCATCGACCTTCATGGCGTTGCTGTCCTACCTGTTTGCGTAAGTTTATGCCTTTTTACGTCATTTTACCTCAAGCTTACAGTCTTTGAAGGACTATTAGTGTAAATCTTAACAGGATCCGAAACCCGGAAAGTATTGTTTTCGTTTGCTTGATTGGAACTTTGTTGCCGCTGTTTGTTGGCTGGGTTCATCGCCAAGTCCGGCTAGGCAAACCAGCATTAATTCCCAACTCGCTATGGAAGAATACTGCATTTTCCAGCATTTGTGGTACTGTGGCCCTTTCGTTCGGTGTAACAACATCCATGGAGTTGTTCGCCAGTCTGTTGTAAGCTCGGAGACCGTAACTAGCCAATATTTATTTACTAACAAGGATTCCAGTTTCCAGGAGGTCCAGCACGCCTCTGCTCTTCAAACTGGCCTCAGAATCATGCCCAGTCTAATCGTTGGGGTCATTCTAAACTTCACTACAGGCCTATTTGTTGACAGAGTCCCAGCTCTGTGGATTGTGACAGGGTCATCCGTCATCTGTTCAATCTCTCCTCTCCTAATGGCCGCGATCAAGGTGGAATCCCCTTATTGGACCAATGCCTTCATAGCCCAGCTGCTGGCGCCAGTGAGCACCGATGTACTCTTCACAGTAGGTCTTATTATCATCTCAGATAACTTCCCTGATGACACGCAAGCACTGGCCGGTGCCGTGTTTAATACCGCATCTCAATTTGGCCAGGCGCTCGTCTTGGGCATAATGCAAATTGTATCAACGGTTGTGACCAAGGACAACAGCAGCAAGAGCATGCCAATGGCTGTGATGGAGGGGCTCAGGGCAAGCTTTTGGACAATGTTTGGCCTCATGATGGTCTGCACCTTATGGGGAGCAGCCGGTCTACGAAAGACGGGGAAAGTTGGACTCAAGCGAGATTAAACTTGTCGTCACAACCGCACGATTATGGTGGTCACAGGAGGAGGGCAGAAGAAGAAGAACAGTCCAGTGCACTACGTGTCGTACGAAGTTATCACATAGCACAATCAATGACAGCAAGCGACAGATGCCATCTTTTCGTGTTTGACACAGCCGTGATACCCCACAAGGTACGTCTGGTTGTCTCCTCGCAAATATTTCCGAAAACTGACTGAAATTGAATGGGTTAGCTCGGCAATCCTCAGAAGTCCGAGGTGGCATTCCTGAATTGAAGGATACGTACTTGCCGCGTGTGTTTCGCAGTTGGCGGGTTTGCAGCTGTCAGCCACTTGACGCCTCATCAGGCTCCCAGACCAAATTGGGAACATTTGATCGAAGTCATTCAACCAGTTATGTTTTTTTTGGTTTCTTTACATACAGAACATGATGGCTTAACAAAAAAGTATAAAATATGACGGGACGTCTCTTTTATGGTTCCAGAAAGCTAGATGACGAACAAACACCTCTTTTCTCACACTTAACCCACTTTGACCAACATCACAAACATGAGGATTATCATTATCGGAGCGGGAATCTCAGGCTGCACAATCTACCTTGAACTCCGGAAGCATCTCCCCAAACCACCGTCTGGAGAAGCGCACAAAATCACAATCTACGAAGCGTACGACACAAGTATCGACACTACCTCTGATGATCGCGGCAATGGCCCAACCCATTCTTCAACTCTCATTGTAGGCGGCGGTCTGGGGGTTGCCGCCAATGGACTCAACGTCATCAAGCGGCTGGATGAGGACATGCTGCGTGAAATCGTCCGCGGCGGATATAGCTGTGCCACGATGAACATGAAGAGCAAAAATGGAAAAGTTCTGGCACGAATGCAACCGGCGGGTAAGCCAGCTTTGGATGGAAAGGGACAAGGGACCATGAATACCGTTGCCTGTAGTCGTCATGCGCTGTGGCGAGAGCTTCGCAAGAGGGTCCCGGACGACGTTATTGTCACAAAGAGAGTTTCTGAAGTGGTCGCAAGGTCTGATGGGCTCAACGTGGTGAGTTTCGTCGATGGGAGTCCTTCTGTGGAGGCAGATCTGCTCATCGGCGCCGATGGGCTCAAGGGCCTGGCCAAGAAGGCACTATTTCCGGGTGAAAGCACGGATCCATTTCCCCCGCATTATGAGTGAGTGTTTCACGTCACCGAGTTGAAAACCAGCATCTGACAGTGTTGCAGGGGCCTTTGCGGAGTTGGTGGCTTCATTCCTTACTCACTCGTCAAAAGTGACGTTGAGATTGGATCGATGAATTTTGTCATGGGCGGCAACGGTTTCTTTGGGTACTTCATCGCAGAGAGCGCACTTGATGCACCCCATCGCGACTCTCCTTATCATGTCTCTCCACCAGGTGAGAGCGTCGGTTGGTGGTCAACATATTCTGTCGACGAGTGTCCCGACCCAAAGTCGGTGGACAAGGAGGACATACTGAAACAGCTGCGCGAACGCCACAAGGACTGGAAAGATCCTGTTATATGCAAAGTTCTTGAGACTTCCAAGGTGACGAGCATGTACCCTACGTGGATCGTGCCTCCGCTGCCAACATGGGAGCGGGACGGCGTCGTCTTGGTAGGGGATGCTGCGCATGCGCTGCCGCCTACCTCTGGCCAAGGCTGCTCCCAAGCGCTAGAAGACGTCGAGTGCTTCACTCTCTTTCTCAGTCACCACTTGGCTAAAGCCTATGGGTCTCATGGGCATGATCCCACGGACTACAAAGGGGTCATCAGGGCGGCAACGAAACAATACATGGATCTCCGCCAGCCTCACGTAAACAAGATTCTCGATCACGCTCAGCAGTGGCAGGACCGCAAGCGTGACAAGACGGCCGTCGAGGAGTACATAATGTACGCCTTTATGTGGATGACGGGTAAGCATGCCGCCGAGTATTTGTCACATTACCCCCGGTCCTCTATTTTCCCTTTTTTTAGTGATTGGATCTTGTTGAGACACTGACACAGCGGAGGGTGGTTCCCAAACGTCATGACGAAGCCGTTGAAACAGCTGGTGGAATACAATATTGCTTCCGAGGTACACAAAGTGTTGAATGCCAAGTCATAGGGCCAGATGCGCTCACGTCTACTATGGGGACATTAGGACTAAGTCAACTAGTGAATCTGGCACATACTCTGCTATTTACAGAGATCAAAGTTAGTATGTAATATATGATCTACTCTCCGGTCAACTTGCAGCCAAGTAGCAGCTTCTAGGTGCAGCTGCTAGTATAACTGTCGTGCTTCTTTAATAGCACGATTTAGGATTACATAGCCTGGCTCTAGTAACGCAACATGGGGATTGCCAGTATGAATCTGGGCTCTCTTTCAACTTGGCCATCATGTTTCCTGCCTTTGGATGTCGTGGGGATACCCTTTGATGTAACTACTTATACTCAGATCTCGAAAGGGGTAAGTCAGAATACTACTACTTTGGGCAACAGATGGAGCACGCTCAGAGTCACCTCCAACCCTCATGGAGGAACCAAAGCACATGTCCATGGCAGAGACGGCGGCACTCGCTACTTGGCCACCAGGAATTCCAACGCCCGCCGCCCAGTAATTCCCTTTGGAGCTGCAATCATGATGCGATTCTATAGGCGCGGCGGTCCTTGCAGACCTCTTTCAAGGAAACTCATGGTCAAGAAAGGCCCATTTATCCAGCCATCTCCACGCTGAAACAAAAGACAAATAAAACAGCATGTACTGAGTGAAGAATTTGATCCAGTCCCAGTGAGATGCGTCGTGATGAAGGGTTGACCATTGCATACACATGTCTGGCCAGTGTCGTACCATGCACTCTATGCTCGAAAGCAAAACTCGAGCGGTGGATGTAGGACGGATTCCCTAGAACAAATATCGAAACCAGCTTTCAATCTCGGCAGGGCCAGGTCTGGAACCAGGTTGCGGCGGTCGGCAAACTCGATCAACTGCGGACTGCGGAGTTTAGGGTGCGGAGTTGGTTTTATTCTTCTTTCTTTTCGTTTTCCCTGTTTTTTTTTCCCTCCCGATCTGCCATTCAATGCTCCGTACTCCGATGATAACGGTGAAATTACAAAACTCCGACCCTTGATCTGCCCCGGCGCCTCATGTCCACGGACAAATCAAAAGTCGCTGGCGTGGCTCGACCTGACCTGTCGAGCTGTTCCCACGAAATACAAACCTGTCCCCATTCCATCCAGCCTGGCGGCCCTGTTGTGTAGTTGCGGGCTCGACCTCGCCGGCATCATGGTTGCACCGAGACATGAACACCGGAATGAACCTGAATACGTAGATCCAGATGACTAAACCGATGAAATTCTCAAAAAAGGGAAGAGAATTGCAATGAAATCCTGCCATCGCTATACAAAAAGAAAATCACGCGCAAAATAGACCTGCAACTTTTGCGGCATCACACTCAGACGTCCAACTAACTACCGAAACCTAAAAAGAACCCCGATGAGCCCGCTCTCAACACTCACCTTGGCCGCGCATCCAAAACATCGCCATTTCGCATTCGCCATGGCCACGATGCAGTCCATTATCACGACGGCCTACTCGGACCCTTCCGGGTACCAGCTATCGTCTCTGCCCAGACCCGAGGTCAGCGATCCTAGTGATGTGGTTATCCAGGTTCATGCCGCCAGCATCAACCCGATTGATGTGAAGAAAGCCGCCGGCGCCATGAAGATGGTCATCAAGGACTCGTGAGTTGCATCCATCACTTCGAACCCCTTTCCCAGTGACCACATGTGACGGCGAACTGTCGCTTACACGTTCCGCATAGCTTTCCATACAAGATCGGATACGACTGCGCCGGCGTCGTGCTGGCCGTCGGGGAAACCGTCACGCGAGTCAAAGTCGGCGACGACGTCTACAGCCGATTGCCTGAGTCTCATCGAGGTACAGAGCGCCCCCCGTCTTCACTTGGATAATCCCGTCGCGTTAGTACCAACTCTGGCAAATGCAGGATCCTGGAGTCAGTTTGCGAAATGCCCAGAGAGCTACGCGGCTCTCAAGCCGACATCCCTGTCCTTTGAGGCCGCCGCATCGCTTCCTCTCGCTGCCATGACGGCCCTCCAGGCTCTCAAGAAGTACAACGGCTCGCTAGCCGGGAAGACGGTATTTGTACCTGCCGGCCGTGCGTATTTCCCTCCTCCCACTCCATCCTGACGAGCACGAAGCAATCCAGCATAATGCATTGGCTAACAGAGATTGCACCTCAAAGTGAGCGGAACAGGTTCCTACGCCTGCCAACTGGCCAAGAACGTGTTTGGAGCAGGCAAGGTCATTACCACCGTGTCGACGTCCAAGGTGGCCAGAGTCCCCGAGCTCCTTGGCCAAGGCGTCGTTGACGAGAGTATGTGCCCTTTCTTGACAACCTACATATCCAGCAATCTACCGGGGGAGTCGATTCTATAATCCCCCCCAGGTTTCAAAATTCCTTGCCTCACGACGGGCCCCCCTTGCTGACGGGCAACTCGCACAGTCATCGATTACACCCAGGCAAACCCTGCGACCAGCATCCCCGCCAAGTCGGTAGACTTCATGCTCGACACGACCGGCCAGGCCATGGAGTTCCTGAGCCGCATGGTCCCGGAAACAGGCCTCGTCGTTTCCATTTCCACCACCCCGTCCGGCAAACAGATGCAAGACGCGGCCGTCATCACGTCGTCAAACTCGGGCAAGATTCCGTTGGTGGCCTCAACAGTGCTGAACGCGCTGGATTCGCTGCGCAAGTGGCGCGCGAGGCGGTGGCGAGTCAACTACGAGTACATGCTTCTGGATCCCAGCAGTGCGGACCTAGATGCGCTGCGTGAGCACGTCGCCGCCGGAAAGCTGAAGCCTGTTGTAGGACTCACGGTCAAGTTTGAGGACATTGAGGCTGTTAGGCAGGCCGCTATGACTGCATTCCAGGGAAAAGGCAGCATCGGGAAGACTGTGATTAAAATGGACATTCAGTGAGATTTTGCTTTCCCGGATCTCTCTCGAATGGGCTCGTCTTGGTCTTGGTGCGGTTCGGCGCGCTTGAAATCCTTTTTGCTAGGCTCTTTCACACAAAGGTTGGGTTTAACAGTTTTGATAATTTGATAATGCCTCCGCTTTTCTTGATATAATTGTGTAATGCAAACGTACTTTTGCCAGCATTCCGTAGGGAACCTTGTCAATTTTGCCGTCTGGGCTCTGACCACAGAGTTCCCTTCATCTCGTTGCTTGACGAGATCAAAGTTGAATTCCTAGGCTAGCGAATACATTTCAGACTGGTTTGTGTCTTTGATCCAAGCCGCACCCAGGTCTACAACGCCGGTGCCCTTGGATGATGCTGGAACCGAGAGCGTCTTGCCGCCCACGCGATCCATTGCTTCCGGGACAACATATTTCAGGCCTGCGGCGTGTGTTTCTCTTGCTGCTCGGAGACCGCTTAGGCCAGCTGCAATGATTACAACGTCCAAGTTGTTGAGTTGGGTTGTTGCCATATGGAAATAACGTGTTCTGGGAATGATCCAGGGTGTACCTGTTGGAAAAGTGAAGATGGATGGTTGAGTCAATCTCCCAGATGACAAGCCAACAGATATTGAAATCTAGCCGCGATGTTATCGAATCGAATCGCTCGCTCCCAGTGCTCGTAGCTCAAAACACCCTTTTGAGCCACATTCCAGACGTCCTAGGCCAAGGATAACAAGGGCCTAAGCACCGCCATGTAGTATGGATTCAGCCCAGGCTGCAGTAATGACAGACACACTTACACCCTATGAGAACAGCTCACGTGCATCAGCAACCTTGTTTCTGAGCCACAGCAAGCGCGGCAAGATAAAACAGTTGCCGCACCCCCTCAGATCTCGCGTCGTTCTACTTCACCTGCTTTCCACCCCGGGCAGCTTACTCTCGACTCCGGGACCCAAGCTCCTCCGCATCTTACTCCTGTGCTAAATCTGAACAAGATGGGCGGTATGGGTTGAGTCCGTCGCCGGCCGGGGTCGCCGAGGCCTCCGGAGACTTTGGACACCAGATTGGCCAAGTTCCCCACATAGTGCCGAATCAGGCATGCACGAACAAAGACCGGATGCACGACATGTCGTCGCCGTAAGAGGAAGTGCGAAGAGTCCCGGCCTCGCTGTGCTGGCTGTGTGAGAAACGGGCTGGATTGCTGCTGGCCCAAGGTTGTTGAGCCTCCAAAGACGCAATGTCGGGAAAGGGAGAAACGACGGCAGAGTTGGGGACATGGCGATCGAACGTCCCAGACGGAAGAGCATCAGGCTCCGTTGCACTTGAACGAAATTTCCTTGCTTCCCATGGAGACAGGGACAAGTCTGACCTCGCGATAGCATCTACTCCTCCAACACTACTTGACAGACACGGCTACCATGGTCTTTGCCAGTATGCTGTCTCCAAACCCATTCACAATATGCTTACTACCGCTGGCGCTGACGAACCCGTTGCTCTTTCATGGCATACTCGCTGTCAGCGGCTCTCGTCTCACCTACAGGCTTGCCGAATCGATTGATATCCAGTTAGCTACCCGACGGCATTACGCTCAAGTTTTGCACGGGTGCAGACGTCGCCTTCCGGCAGCATATATCCTGCTGACATTCTTCCTCTGGTAATGGCCCTGCTCTGTAAATACGAGGTAAGCCCCTAGCTCGAATCCCGGTAGCTCGTGTATCTACGGAGTAGCCCAAGGAATTGACAACACCAACCCCAATTTTCTAGGCTCTTTATGTTCGCCTGCGGAAACTCTGTTTCTGCACCTCAATGCGGCTCGGAACCTGCTCCAGGGACACCGAGGCATAACCCGCAGCTCAGGGAAAGTTGTTGCGACGACTGCCTCAGCTAGAGAATTGTCCGAGGCCCAAAGCCTAGCGCATGAAACACTTGCGTATTTTCCTCTGTGACACGATGCTTCCCTCCGTTGAGCCAGGCCAACCCCTGGCGAGCAGTTTACTTAGCCTTCGTACGGTGAAAAGGCATCGCGGTGTCTGTTCAGCGCCGTCTTTGCAGGGAGCTATTCGCTGTTTCAACTTATACCCGAGATGAAGAATTTATACTGCCCTCGTCTTGCGGAGGGAGGACAGGGAGCAGATCCTCCGTCCAAAGACTTAAATATAGCCAAAGAAGCTTTGGTGAAGCGCATTAACGCGTGGCCAAGGTAGCCTCGGATAGAGACACGGCAAACCTCGAGGCCCGCATTTTTAACTGGGAGAAGAAGAGAAAAGTAGCAGAATGCCTACACCAGTCATTATACATTTATATCGCGCTGTCGTTGCTTGGTTCGTCGGCTCCTGATGACGGTCTCAGAAAGGAGGTTCAGCAAAGGATTGACAGCATAATTCGCCTGGCGACATACCTGCAGGACTCGCCATGCTCGACAAATCTTCTATGGGCGATTGTCATTGCAGGCTCTTGCATGGAGGATATACAACAGCGTGAAGGACTCATTGATGGTCTCAAGAATAGCAGGTACCAAATGCGGCATCTGCAAGTTGTTCAATGAGCCTTGCAGCTGCTCTGGGCGGATGATAACTCGAATGTCTATGGGCCGGTTGGTTTACGCTGTGTCATCGAGAAACATGGTCTGAGCCTGGTCATTGTGAATTTATCAAGCGCTTTGTTTGTTTAGCTGTACATTTCAGTCAGCTTTGTATAAAGCAATCAATATAAATAACTAAGAGTTGAGATAGAAATAATATACCATACTTACAGAGAACTGGCTGACAAATTCTCTAATTGAGTTGTCTGCTAGCGAAATTCGTTGACGTCGCTCATTCGATATCCTAACCCAGTCCATCATGCTGGGGACCACGGTCATGAACTTGCCATGTTTTGATCAGAATACTCTAGTGTAAGTGTCGCGTCACTTGTTCTGTCAGTGTGTCAGCATCTCAGCAGTATCAACAGGCAACGCTACGGGTGCCGCCATAATTGAAGAGCGAAACATTTCCCGGAGCCCAGCGAAACCAACACATAGTTCATATATCCGCGTGCATAAACATAGATATTCTATACCCGCAAAGCCAAGGCATCGTGACTCATTGTAACTAGGGCCCCTTGTCCTCGAAATACACACATTGGATCGTAGTCATATTCATAGAAGAAAATGCAGCGATCGAGTACATAGCACACGGAGAAGCTGGATATAGAGCTTGCCGATGTTCAGGCAGCCTAGTTTACATCAGCTTACAAGATAGTCCGGAGGGAGCCTACGCAGGACGTTGTTTGCTGATTTCATCTCTTGGAGGTGATCCTCGACCATACGTATCTCTGGACCAAGGTCACAGTTCAACAATTGTGAGCGTCGCATTTGTCCCTTAACCACCTAGGTACCTAGGTATTATGTAACTTAGCATCTTCGTTCAACGTGCCATCCTGGGGCCGGACGGCAACCATTCACGCTTCAGTGAATGGCTCCACAACTAAAGCAATAAATATAGGTCTCTCTTCCTTTGATAAAGCAGGCCTCCCTGACAATCTCTTTCAACAACGAGCAAGTTTGGTGCGGTTGCTGGTTGACGAAATTGCCTTTGTCTTTGGGCGATCATGTTCCTGGGTTGTTACCTCTAGCTGTAAGACGGCGTTGTTGCAGCCATGCCAAGCTTTCATGTCATGTCAGACTTGGACCAGGGCTCTTCAACGCACAGAGACGTACCGGGGTCTTTTTTTTAGAGGAATGCTTTTTGCTGATATTATTGACATGAATTATTGGGGGCGTCTTATGTGGCATTGGCATCCGTAAACTCCGGCAACTCACGGCGTGATTGCATTCAAGGGGTTTCGCAGCAGTTTACGGAGTACAGAGTACCCATGAGCCGGCCGGATTGGATTGAGTAGCTGCACTTGCCACGACTCAGACGCTGGTGCTAGTAAAAGAGGAGCAACGCCACAATGACATGATGGAGATAGTTCTGCAGGGAGTGTGAGACAAGAATCCAGTTATAATGTTAAAATCGTCTTTTGGACAAAATTTGACTTTTGCTACTCCGTAGGCAGAATGGTGAACGGCACGGTCTGAGCGTCGCCTTGCGAGGCATGAGGATGCTTCTGGGTATCGGTTGCATAGAAATCTCGGAGGATATCTCTGGTCGCCTGAGTCCAGACAACGGATTTTCCAACATTTAACGCGGGGAACGTTGACGGGCCGAGGCCCAATGACGACGCGACCCCTTCTAGCGTTTGCTAGCAAGGTAACTCCCGAAGCCGAAATGAGACCCAAGCGCTACTCCCGCCGGTTTTTTGTTGTGATGGTTATCACCCAGCACCCGGTAGCCTACTGGGGGACGTTGGCCGAAGCATCCTTCCCACCCTTCCTCAGCACTGCCGGTCGATCATCACATGCGGCAACGGCAGCCGGACCAAACTAAAAAGCCACCGGTGTGGAGAGACGGCTCGGAGTCGAAACACGGCATCTTGGTGCGGAATTTTCCGTACATGTGGTGTTGCTGATGAGGCGCTGTCAGCTTGCGTGACGAAATGGCCAAGCCTCAGGGGCCAGGGTCTAAGCCTCTAGGCCGAGCTGCAGTGCGTATGTTGAATAGATTTCAATTTGAGGGTGAGTGCGTAATCAAAATCAATCTAGAGTACGACCAAGAATCAGCGCAAAGGTCCATGGCCGGGCAGAGAACAGCGCTCGCTGCTCCGTAGAGGATGCTCGGTTCTGCCTGCCTGAAGAAGCCAGGAGCTCTCATGTGAAATGTGACAACCATGCAAAAAACGAGACTTACGAAGCAAGATCCAGGCACAAACCGACATGTATCATTATCCAGGGCACTCCAATGGGTGCGCAGCAATGACACCACGGAGAGATGGGAGCTTCGTCCCTGAATTTTTGAGACGACTGGTGGTAGTGACCTCAAACATTGCCCACCTGCGTAGTACTACCTACCACCATTGAGCCGTTCTCAAATCGTTGGCCCCAAGTAATCAAATGGCAAGAGCGGACAGCTTGACGACACAAAAAGAAAGAGCACTTGACCGGCAAAATGATGCGCTCCTGCAGGACAAGAAGTCCCCGGCACAAACTTTACATGATCCAAACTTTCCCGAAGGTAATGTCACGTCCCAACACCATCCAATAAGTACTTCATGCCCGTGTCGCAATACCACCACCTGCAAGGGCACGGCACAGAATGCACCAACTTGTAATCGACTCCCAGAGCTACAGGAGATGCCCATTTTGGTTCTGCTTGCGCTGTGAGACACAAGGACCGCTGGACGAGCTGGTTGGGGTCCTCGGAACAAACCTGCATCACCATATTATTGCCCATCGCCTTCATGAAACCCTCAGACCATCCTTGTTTGATCGTGGTTTGGGAAGCGGCGTGGACTAGCCCGGCTACCCAAGTTAGTCAGTAGTCATCGGCAAACTTGACCACGGAAAACGTGCGCTGCCGACCGCGTGGTGTATTCAACAAGCTCATCCAGCTCTACAAGGCTCTGAAGACTCCCTTCTCCGGCAAAAATTCTTGATTCCGCCATCCTGCTAATAAACAAGATTCGTCAGCGACTAAGCGGCTAGCCACTTTGTTTTCTCCAGTGCCCCACAACCGGCGATGACAGGAAAATCACCACCCTTTGCAGCTGAGCCTGCAGCCTGACCGACCACCTTGCCATTGGCGTAGCTCATTACGTACCGAGGACCCCGTTCCCCGTACATGACAATCTAATGCGATATTCTGATATAATTACTGTAGTGTAGCCATTGGCTTTGGAACCCTCTGGGAGTCTTCAACTCGGTATAACGCTACGGAAACGGTTCCCTACAGCCCCGGACATGCTGTGGAGGCCCAGACACTGTGGAGAAAACGCCATGGTCCATGATTATTGACATCGGCGAACTGATAATTAGTGGCCCATGCCAGCAAGCCTCCGAAATTCTTTATCATGGAATGTGGCCCGCCTCTTTCTAGAAGCTCACGTACGCGCTTTCTTCATCATGCTGTTATTTCATCAGAAAATAGAAATTGGATGAACCGCAACCATGGTGTACGGTGGCAAGCCTTCGCGGGGCTGCCAAATGTGCAGGATTCGCAGAATTAAGGTACATAATTGTCCATGGATACTCAACTCTTCTGCTTGTACAGTCATGGAATGAACCAATGGGCGGTTTGCTGTCATTACGCTCGGAAAGCTTGTTAACTGGTTCATGATACAGTGTGACGAAACAAAACCGACTTGCAAGCAGTGCGCAAAGGCCAGACGCGTTTGCCCTGGGTATCGAGACGTCAACAAATCTCATCCGACTTCCGAGGGAGGTAGTGCAAGCTCACAAGTGCCGGACAAACCTCAGCAATCAGCAACAAAACCACTCGCACCCAAGTCAGAAAGAAGCAATGGATTATCTTTGGAAAGCACTGACACGCCTTCTCCACGCTCGTCTGGCGACAAGTCGATTAAAGCTCCGCCACCGCTAGCTGTAGACGAGCTTGCGTCCTGTCACTTCATTTCCAACTATGTTTTGATTCCTCAACAAGGCTTAGCAACTAGTCGTGGATTCTTGGAATTCGTACTCCCGCTATTAAAAACACCACAACCATCGCAGCACTTTCTCTATGCGTTCAAAGCATGTTCTCTAGCGTCTCTCAACAACCGTGTTGGAACTGGGAATGATTTTGACCGAGCAGCCTTGGGTTGCTACACGAAGGCTTTGGCTTGTACCTTCACAGCTTTGAAGGACCCAGTCTTGACGAAACGAGATGACACTCTGGCTGCCATTTTGCTGCTTGGGCTTTTTGAGAATATCACTGCAAAGACACTTGGAATGCTAGCATGGAGCTCCCACATCGAAGGTGCTATTCAGCTCGTCAAGTCCAGGGGTCAGGAGCAACTGCGGAGCAAAATCGGCATGGATCTATTCATTGCTGTCCGAACCCAGATGGTAAGTACTAGTGTCGCCCGTCTCTGTTCCCGCCACGCTCCTGCTTAAAGCAAGTCTAATGGGTCGTGACTAGATTATTCATTCCCTTAGTACCGGGAAACCACCAACACTTGATGTAGACTGGTGGGTCACCGATCCGGTTAGTAACGAGTATAGCATGCAGTTCCAGCAACTCAGCAGTCGTGTGGGAGAGCTTAAGAGCGAGGTCAATGCCCTTCTCGCCACAGTGACTCGGTCGCCTGAAAATATGGAGTTGATGAAAGACACGATACAAAATTGCAAGTCACTGGACAAGGAAATCGTCACCTGGCTTGGGGAACTGCCAGAGCAATATATGTGGAGAACAGTTGCATGGGAGCCGTACAATCCAAAGTGCGATTATTCCAAGGCCGAGGTCTTCCCCGGTCGTATCGACACCTACGCCGATTTATGGGTTGTGAATTTCTGGAATGTTATGCGTTGTATGCGTATCGTACTGGCGTCACTCACGATACGCTGCACAGCATGGATCAACTTTCCAGCTGATTATCGTACGACTTCAGAATACGCGACGACAGTCAGAATTTGCGTTGAGGCAATCTCGGATATCATTGCCTCGGTGCCTTATCAAATGGGGCTCTTCTCAAAGCGTAAGGACTTGCGAAGTAACGCGACGCATTCCGTGTTTGGTTGCGGAGAAGACACATCGGAGAAAGGCTTAGCCGGCTATTTCTTACTCTGGCCGTTGGCTTGTATTCAGGGCCAGGACTATCTCACAGACTCTCAGAGGGTTTGGGTAAAGGGACGCCTAAAGTCTATTGGCAACACTCTTGGTGTCAGATATGGCAACTTGCTGTCTCAGGTACGTAAAACTAGCTGGCGCATCAGGACTCCCACTACGTTGGCACCTCTCGAGGCACAATGATGTGTTGTAGCACTCGTATACTGACTCCCAATAAAAGTTAAACGTGCGGGTACCATCTATGCTAATTCTCAGGGACCGCCTGAAGAACAATCCTCACGAGATACCAGCTGACATTGCAGCTATTATGGCTGGCACAGCAGCTAGCGGCGCCTCTCCTCCAATCCCAGGCGAATCGACGGCTGGAGGTGCTATGCCACCGGGTTTACCTGGCATGTCGAATCCGAGGACATCAATACCTGGGATGCCCGAGATGCCGTCAGCTCCTGGCGCTTCGGCGGATGCCTTGCCGAATCAGGAAGCCATCCGTAAGCAGATGCTTAAGCGTCAAACGGAAGAACTAGTAACAAAAGCTGTGGAGAAATCCGGGAAGCTTGACGACTGGACAGTAAAGACGTGGCTGCAATTATAGTGCACCGATATGGTGCGTAACGGTAGTAGGAGTAACAGAGCGTTGCAAGTTTGCGGAGCAGATGGAACAGACCGCAATATGTTTCTGGGCGATGCCGGCGTTATGCATCGGGATGCCGAAAGGAATCAATTGTCCTAGATGTGGCGAGGATTGAGAAGATGGATGGAAGTACCCTGGAAGGAGGGTTACGGTTTTTCTAGTTCTACTACTCGTTCGGTGAAAGACAAGCGATGTCTCTCGCCAAATTTCGGCTTGCGTTTCATACACCTCGCAGTTACTGACATCAATACTAGCGTTGAATCATGACCGGTATATCAAATATTCAAAAGTACCAAGGAATTGACGAAGCCGGCCATACAACTATACAGTAATGACTTTGATTTATTTCCACGGAACTGCCTCAACGTGTGCCATTCTTTACGTTCTGTTGCGCTGGTCATCCTCTAGGTTAGCCCGCAAGCAACCCAAAATTAAAGTGGAGACACAGCACGATACTCCGTAGAAAAACATCCAAAAAAGCTCTGCGTTACCGGCACCCCGACTTGGCAAAAATGTTTTACGAGCCATCAAAGGCTTCCACTGAAACTTAAACGGGCCAGAAATGAGATCAAGCCGACCGGCAACGTGACCACAGTCTCGATTTTCAGCACTTTCAGCATGAGCGACGTCAAAGACATCACTCCCGACCTGGACAGGCTGGATTCGCAGCTTGACAACCTCGAAGATGCGCTCGCGCCGCTGCTCAACAACCTCAATGAGAAGGCCTCTCAACTACCGCTCCTCGACAAGGCCAAGCTGTTTTCCCTGACAGCCTACTCAATCGAGTCCCTTCTCTTCTGTGAGCATGCGTCACTCACCTTTTGTTTGCGGGCGACGGGCTGTTGCTGACTTGGCTGTGAATAGCCTATCTGAGACTCCAGGGCGCAGATGCCCAGAACCACGCCGTGTACGCTGAACTGAAGCGTGTGCAGCATTATTTTGGCAAGATCAAAGCCGCTGAGGAGCCGGAGGCGCAGAGAAGCCTGGTCGTGAACCAAGAAGCCGCAGCTCGGGTCTTGAAGGCCGACTTGGTACGTGGATTCACGCCCCCCTTGCGCCTACCATGGGAATTCTGCGGGGGGTGCATACGGGAGCTGACCTCTTTTGATTTGTAGGCCGACAACAAGTCTATCAGCAGCAGGCTGGCCGAGAAGATTGCTGAAGAGCGTGCCAAGGCGCTGCTCAAGTCGGTGGAGGGCAGGAAACGGCCTGCTGATGATTCGGCTGCCTCTGGAGGATCGGGTAGTGATGCGCAGGTGAAGAAGAAGAGGAAGCAGAAGGGAAGGGGGAAGGGGAAGCAAAAGTGATGAGGGGGGTTATCGTGGTGATGTGACTCGCGGGGATCTGGTGTTTCGCACTCGATGCCCTCTTTTTTTTTTTCTTTTTGGGAAGCATTGCTGGCCGACCGGCTGGAAACTGGGTATTTTACTGGACACGAATGATGGTTTTGTTCCCCCTTCCATCCTTGGGTTTATGGTCATTGATAGTCACGGAGCACGGCGTCGGGATACACTGTTTTGATTAGATGGACCTGAACAAGGGTAGATGCTTCAATTCCTCATCAAACCATGGTGCTGCAGCTGGCAAGTCATAGTGGTTTACAACACACCTACGAGATGAATGCACAACAAAAGCAATCCTCCGTTGGAACAGTCAAGTCACGATGACCACCTGGACCCCTGCCACTTCTCCCGAGGCCACCCGGCCCACGCCCGCAAACCCGCCTCCTCCCATTGGCCACGTCCACCAACCGCCCCAGAACATCGCCAACTCTTCTCCAAGCTTCCACTTTTGCCCGTTCTTCTCCCGTTTTTACATTTTCCTCCTCCACCACCATCACCAACCGCCAAAGACCGCATCGCCAAAGAAGATGCCTCGCAACAGATCCGTCGGCCGCGCCCCCGCCCCTTCACGGGCACCCACCCGTCCCACGGTCCCTGCCTCCAGCCCCATGCCTCAGCAGCAGCGTCCTGCCGCCACCATGGCAGCTCCTCCCCAGCATGCTCCCCAGCAGACGGCTCCCGCGCCGGCTGCCTCGCAAGGCCCCGGGCTGTTTGGCCAGATGGCCAGCACCGCCGCGTACGTATAGCCGTGCCCCGGGGGAACGAATCCGACCCTGAGCAAGCGTGGTGAGGGGGTCTTCTCTGGACACGGGGGGGCACATCAAGCCCCCGGTTTCCGCCCTCGCTTGCCCCCCAAAAGGGACGATTCAACTCTCCCGCATGCCCACAAGGAAAAGAAGGAAAAATGCAAACATGCTAACTTTGTACGCAGCGGCGTCGCCATCGGCTCGTCGGTCGGCCATGCCATCGGCGGCCTCTTCTCAGGCGGCTCGTCGGAACCCGCGCCGCAGCCGGTGCAGGCCCAGGCCAACCAGCAGCAGCAGCAGCAGCAATGGGGCAACAACTGCCAGGCCGCTACGCAGCAGTTCACCAAGTGCATGGACGACAATGGCGGCAACATGCAGATTTGCAACTGGTACCTGGAGCAGCTGAAGGCTTGCCAGGCCGCTGCGAGCCAGTACTAGATGGCGTTGAAAAAAGGGGAAAAAAAAAAAAAAGAGGGGAGCAGGGGGGCAGTGTGACTATGAGCTTGAGTGAACGGGTGATTAAGCGCGCCAAATACATTGGACCGCTATGGAAGTGTACGGGACTTTACACAGCGTCGTCATTGAGTTGGGGGTTTGTCTGACAAATTTACACCGAAATGGCTCGGTGGTTCTTGTATTATAGATGGAATTGCCGCTCTGGGAGAATTCAATCACCTCTCGGTTTGCTAGCAGGTTTTTTTGTTCCATGCTGTTTTACACGGTGAATGTATACTGACTTGTATCATTTGTTCCAGCGTATGCTGTCACCTTTGCGGGCTCATGGACAATTACGAGACGGGGTCTGCATTTGCAAATATATCCAACACGTTTCGCCATTTCATATTGCCGAATACAAAAGTTTAGCAATTTATTATTCATGCAGAATATTGATATCTTCTGGGCTGATATACATTATGCTTTTACATTACTTTCAGTTGGCTATTTCTCATCCTCGTCGGGCCTGGGCTCAAAGTTTAACTGCGGTCATGTTAGCTAGCACAACTTTATCTTAGGCAAAAATACCAATTTCTGCTTACCGAATTGCCGTTATACAACTGGTGATCCCGTCTCTTATCATTGGGATTCTCAAACCCCTGAACACGACGGCTCTTGGCTTGTGTGGAGGCTGAATCTGACTGTTCGGCGAGGGTCGCCTGGCTGTTGTTGCCACCGCCTCTACCAAGGCCAATCAAGCCGAGGAACCAGGTGAAAAACCCTAATATTGAGCCAATAATCCAAGAGAGGAATCCTTGTGATGAGTTGTTATATGCAGAGGTATAGCTTTGGACATGGATCAAAATAAGCGTTGACGAAGGAGACAAGCCAAGCTCTCCCAAAGACTTTTCCTCCTCTGTTTCGTCAATCGATTTGTTGGGCAGCGGCGTAAGCAGTTGCGTGAAGGTATAGGGCAGTTCACCGTCGGTTCTGTTCTCGTCGACCCACTTCCGAACCTCCTTCACAGGGCCCGAAGTCTTGAAACATGATCGAATGGTCGAGCCATCAAACAGTCGGACTTGAATAGAGGTAAGGTTGCTGTTCTTGGCTGCCGACAGCACTGTCGATGGAGATGTGGTGCCCACTGGTAAGGAAGAGTCGCTTCTTGAGTGGATTTCCTTTCTTTGCTGCTCTCGTTCGGCCGCCTGGTGCCGTCGTTCCTCTTTATCATCCTGGATGCGCTTCAGGATTCGCTTCCGTTCTTCTGATTCTTGCTGTTTTTTCTTCCTCACCAAGGCCGCTTGTTTCTGCGCACTTTCGCTGGCTTCCGCTGCTGCTTTGGCCCTCCTCTGAGCCAATTCTTCCTTGGCTTTTTGTTCAGCGGCCTCCTTGGCGGCTTTTAGCCTCGCAGCTCGCTCTTCTAGGACACGGCGCACGTTATCTGATCGCTCGACTGTTGGCGGGATTCCACTCGAGCCAGACGAGGTGGGGGACGAGGACGAAAGCGGTCCGGAAGCTGGTTGCGCGGTGTGTGGTGGTGAAATATTGAAGGAGTTCTGGATCCGGCGGAGGAATTCCTCCTTGGGAGTTCCGGCAGCAATGTACTCTTTGAGTTCGCCATTCTTCATGATGACGATGGTGGGTGTCTGAGGAAGAGGGAAGATTTGCGCCAGGTAGCCGAATTCTTCTGAACCAGGTGTCAACCGCAAGGCCACGGCCTGCTTGGCAATCACGTCTATCAACTTCAACAAAACGTTAACACTCGAATCAACTAGAACCCCCTTTTTGGAAAGAAAGGCATCATACTGAAGGGTCCTGCAAGAATTCATTCTCCCAAGTCTTGCTCTCGTCATTGTCATCTGGCCAGGTCAGCATGTAGCTTCGTCCACCCGTGGGCCATTACCAAGCACTCTTACTCGTAACAAAGCAAAAGACGGATTTTTGCTGGCCAACAGCCGTGGAAATTCCCTCTTGGAGAGATCCCTGGTAAAACATGATGGCTAATTCCGACGGGACTCAGGCAGGCGTGCGCATTAAACAAATGTGGCCATGTGGCAATGGGCGTGGTGATGGATGCTCAAGGCGACGTTTGGTGGGCGAGGGAGGGGCGTTGGGAAGTTCAGTTGGTGGTTTAGCTCCGCAAAGGGGCTTACACGAAACGAATCGACATGCAGAAATGAGCAAGTAGAAATAAAATGGCGTGTTATCCCATGGCAAAGATGGACGGCTAACTGGTACAGAGAAGTGATCCCTGAGCTGCTGCGGAAGGCTGTCGAGCTGGTCTGGACAAGCAAGGTCAACGTCAGCGGTCGAGCTCGGGGACACGATGCTGGCAAGCTGGGTGGGCCATGTTGGGCAGGCGGTGAGACGAGAGCTTTGCGGGATGTGGGCAGCCAAACACGCAGCCGTCGCTAGTCCTCATCGGGCCAGACGGTCCACTCATAAATTCAATGTGGCTTGCGTCTGTTTAATTTCATAGCCTCGTCGGCGCCCGCCGTAATGTATGTGTGTGTGTGTGGTTTATGTTCAAAAGTGTGTATTCTGAGGACTTTAAGAGATGTGTGTTATTTCTATATTATTTTGAAAGCTATCAACGCTTTTATACGTACAAGTGAGAAATTTTACATGTATTTTCACGGCGAAAGCTATGTATAAAAAGTTACCCGGCTTGAAGTCTCCAGCCGGCCACACCCCACCACAAACAGGGCCGAGTAACCATATGCACCCCAACGCAATGCCGCATCCCTTAACGCCGTCAGCAAGTATTCTGTCAGCATCTATTACTGCCTCACACGTGTCAACAGTCAACCTTCACGAGTCGGTTTCAGGGAAGTTCCCAGGGCATTCCCAGGCCATGTGGAGAGAAGTATATATATCGGGAGCCATGGCCGAGTCAAGGGGATTTGTAAGTTAATGCATGAGTACTCCGTACCACATGCCATTTCCACTCCAGCCCACCTGGACCGACCATTGCCATCCCCTCAAAGCAGCAAAGGCGGTCGCGAGGTCGTGACAGGGATTTTAAGCTAATTTAAAACCGAAAATCGAAAGGTACTTCATTTTACACCGAATTTATATGATGATAAAAGTCTTGATAGGCTTTTAAGTTATAAAGAGCTATATTACACACGTTATAACCGGGCCTTTATTTCACACGTTATAACCGGACCTTTATTGGGCCCAATGTAGGTCATCGCCAAAGTCACTCGAGGTTACCGGCTGCTGGCAGGGGCGTTGTGGATTCCGTGACCTCACTGCCGCCTTCGCTGCATTTAGCGTTTTCGAAGCCTCGAGACGTCAACTGGTGTTTGCCAAACATGATTCACCAATCCCAACTTGACTCGTTTGATGATTTCCCTACTGAAGATGATATTTCTACGGATCAGTCAACTTTCTGCCCCCGAATCAGAATACTATGTTGTGGATCTGCCCTAATGCTCCCCGCTCTTGCAGGATATCACGGTTGAGAGTTCATGCTTTGAAGACTAAATTAGGATTATTATAGCTTGTAACTCCTTCGGCATATGCGGGTGTGCTCTAGGATGGCAAGACCCACGCGTCAAACAGGCCATATCATCAAGCACGACTCGATGGCGGTACGCGGTATCGTCTGATGGCGCATAACCCAGGCTGTTGATTTGCCAGCTCTACTGTCTGAGTGATGCATTGCGTTGCGTGACGAGGGACCCATTTGGCTTAATGCAAGGGTTTCTACTATTCTTGCGTGTATTGGGCGCTTAGGGAAATCAGACCAGCTACCATGGCGGTAGACTTGCAAGAGGCGTTTTTTTTACACATATATAAGACCGTAGATCCAAGGCCCATCATCTTCAGGCTTTGCGGTATAACCAAACATCTTTGCTTTCTGAATCTCGTGACTATCCATTTCTTCCTTACCAACAATCTCCCGAGCAAAAATGAAGTTCACGCAGCTGATGTTGGCGACTTTCGCTACGCTGGCCCTGGCCGCGCCTCGGGCACCGGAAGAAGATTTCAAAACATGGGAGCCAACGGTGCGCGGGCCCTGCTACTAATCGTCAAGAGGCATGCGCACATTTTCCTTGGACAAAAGGCTAATTCTTGTTCTCAACTCTAGACGGTAAAGGAGATCTTGTGAGAGACACAGCACAAGATCACTTGCAAGGAGCAAAATGTAACGGAACCCGCCACGCCCTTAACTAGGCTTTTCGTGTGACTGACTCGATATTTGAATCAGAACATGCTACGATGTGAATCTAGCCGTGGCTCGGTGAGCAACTTGATACTCTTTGCTAAGCGGTCTGAAGACGAGCAGCCACTAATTCAACTCCAATGTGACAGGATCGAGATGAACTCACCCCTCGTTGCGCGGTAAATGGCGGGGTGAGTACTATTATTCCACATACCTGATGAGCATGTGAAGCAACAATGGTTGCTGATGACGTCGATCTAGTGCCGCGAATGCAAGGTCGATCCTTTTAGGGACTTTGCCGTAAGTTGCTACCATCTGGAAACTCTTACCAGTTCTCTAACAGATCCGTCGATAACAGACCCACTATGTTTGCGAATTCGTCATTCCCCCGGGAACTAAGCGACCGGAGTGCTCTTCGGCCTAATCCAGGACCATTGTGGCCTGGTGACTCAACCCAGTCCATGACGACTGAGTCGAGGCCAGCTTGCTGCCAAATGACGTGGTTCCTGAGATGGACATCTAGTATTATGCCCCTTGTGTACTAGACTCTTGGTTGTTCAACACAATTAGTGAGTCGATTCGAGTGGTAGCTACCAATACATACTTTGTTTTCCAGCTGTTTTGTGCCATGAAGGTTTTGATTGTGATCTCGTGAATGTATCAAAGCATACCAGCCGGTACGTGGTGTAGCGCCACGGATAGTTTGCCGTGACGGATGATATTCGGGAGCTGCCGATGCAGGACGAAGCGACAGTCTGTATATGACAAAAAAAAATAATAATAATAAAAGTAAACGCATGAGTAATATAGATTTAATAAATCTCAGTTCAACATGCATTAAGCAATGAATCAAGGGATCCATGCATGAAGTCTCAACAGGCACATGCACATCCGTCAGTCCATCTTTGTGGGGCCACTTGAAACACCACGACGTCGGCCGCAGAAGGCTCGTCGTCCCTTTGACACGCCGCTCCGTCACATCCATGCCCCAGAGGCCGCACGCCAAAAAAACATGAACTGCCCGAGCAGTTTCTCGCGAGGCCTTCGCACAGGCAGCACGCCCCGATGGCTTAGCCAATCCACGCCCCGAGCCACACGCCGCCCCTTGACGAGGCCAGTCCATCGCAGTCGCCCATTCACCACGACTCCCCGCCGCGCAGACAAGCAAGCCGCCGACGACCCCGGCTTCACATCCATCCTCGACGCGCCGCCGCAAATCGTCCGCGCCGGCAAGCGGCATGGCCCGGGCATCATCCTGCTAGGTAACGAAATGAAAAGCCGCCCGGTTCCGCTCCCGTCCCCCGACTGACACCGTGCTCCCCGCCAGCCCTCATCCCCGTCACAGCCTTCGCCCTCGGGACATGGCAAGTCCGGCGCCTCTCGTGGAAGACGGAGCTCATTGCCAAGCTCGAAGACCGCCTGGTCCGCGACCCCCTCCCGCTCCCGCCGTCCGTCGACCCCTCCGCCATCCGCGACTTCGACTACCGCCGCGTCTACGCAACCGGCACCTTCCGCCACGACCAGGAGATGCTCATCGGGCCCCGGATGCGCGACGGCAAGGACGGATACATGGTCGTCACGCCGCTCGAGCGCGAGAACGGCACCACCATCCTGGTCAACAGGGGCTGGATCAGCAAGGCGCACCGGGACCAGAGGACTCGCCCCGACAGCTTGCCCAGGGGCCAAGTCACCGTCGAGGGGCTGCTGCGCGAGCCCTGGAAGAAGAACATGTTTACGCCCGAGAACCGCCCTGAGCGGGGGCAGTTTTACTTCCCGGACGTCAAGCAGATGGCCCAGTTGACGGGCAGTCAGCCCGTTTGGGTCGAGGTCACAATGGGTATGTCTTGAGAGTTCCTGATTAGCAATTGGGGGGGCACGGCGCTTGTTGGGTCGCTAACTGGACAAAGAACCCGAGTTTATGCGAATGATGGACTTTGAGGCAAGGGGCATTCCCTACGGACGACCGGCAGAGGTCAACTTGAGGAACAATCACGCACAGTACATTTTTACATGGTACGCTCCACAATGTTTTTTTTTTTTTTTTTTTTTTTTTTTGCTGGTACGAAACTCGTGGTATCCATCATCGTTGCTGACATTGTGTAGGTATGGCCTATCTGTTGCCACCGCAATCATGTTGTACATGGTTCTCAAAAAGCCTGCATCCAGCATTACACGCCGTGTTCAAGCTACTAAAAATTTCTAACAGTAGCAGTATGGGTATCTTGTAGCATTAGCCGAAACAAAAAGAAAAAGCCAGGTGTCGGTATACCATAAACAAACCATACACCCTTCAATAATAATGTAATATACAAACCCAAGCCTGGGCTCATGACATCTCAGAGCTAGCCTCAGTTGTTTCGTCTCGTAATCTTTTGCGGCGTGCGTCAACACTTTGTATAGGCATCCTCAACTCTTGCAGCAACTCTCTCGGTAAATGTCTCTGCGCAAGTGAGAACATGGTGCTATCTGAAGTAATTTGACGTTGTCTTTGCACTGTTAGAAATTGATCCAAATGGAAGGGAATTTTAACACTATGCATAACTTACCGTCTCATCAACGTAGCCATGTCACTCTCCTCGATAGTTTTCCGTTTTGCATGGTTTGCATAAGCGCCCAAGTCATCACCCAGCTGCTCAAAGAACCACTCTGAGGCTTGGGTGAGCGCGGTGAGGGTATCAGCCGATACCCGAGGGTTACTGAGACCCGAAGACTGCAGGGCCGTTTGGGCTACTCTCTTGACAAACGTTGGTGGCAGTGCTGGGTATTCTATGCCATGTTTTGACACCCTTCGTTGGCGCTTCTTGGGTTTTAACCTGTCTCTTGAGGGCTTTGTCGCAGATGAGGGTTCGACTGGTTCCTCTTCGTCCACGGATTGCCCTTCAATTTCTTCGATATATGGTTCAATTTCGTCATCTTCGTCATTCCCCTCCACAGGTTCGGGCTCCGTTTGTATTATTGGAACCGGGTCGGGGTCGTTATAAACGTCCATCATGTTGTCGCCGTCGTCGTCATTGGGACCGGGTGGTCTTGTCAGAGTGACGTCTCCAATGCCACTTTGATTGGCGGTATTGTTTGCCCTTGTCTCAGCTATGGATTCTTCAACCACAAGGGGAGATGTACCACCGCCATCTGCCGGTGGCTCCGACATCATAAAGGTTGTTTCTTCCGCACCAGGGGGTATTTGCAGCCCAAACTCACTGTCTCGCCCAGTGACTGTATTTCGCCTCGAGTCATCATCAATTCTACCTCGTGTCAGCAGTCTCAATTCACAAACAAAACTAATGAAAGGAAAAGAAGAGAGAGAAAATAGCCAGCAAAATCATACCGAGTGATTGTTTGGTTGCCACTTGCAATCGCCTGAGCTCGAATGTTGTCCAACAACGAGCCAGGGAAAAAATCCGATACCCTCCCCATATCCCCAGTAGCCTCATTAGGATCAAAGGCATCACTGTCAAAGCCGCCGCCAAAGTCGGGCCCCGAAAGTCTGCTCGGCTGCTCACTATAAGCTCGCCGAGGTTTTTCAATAACTGGGAGGGTGGGTTCTGATTCCAAACCCGAAGAACGCGGTGGTACCAAATCAGACTCATCGTCTTGGTCAATTGGCAGCGACAGACGTGGTCTGGGCAAGTCAGCATCGTCGTCATCTTCCTCTTGAATGGGCGCAAAGCTCGAGCGCTTATCCTGCGGCGGGGACGACGACACAATCGGCTTGCTAACCGGTGCCAATACTCCAGCCAGACGTCCCAAGAGACCCATCGGGGTTTCCCTCTGGTCTACCAGGCTCTGGCGCCTAATCTTTCCCGGAGTGAGCAGGGCATTGCGGCGCTGGTCAAGGGCCTGGCGCGCAGCTTTCGCATGGGGCGTTGGCGCATTGTTGCGATGCCCGCCGGATGCTGAGACGCCGCGTCGGACGGAGTTGATGAATTCCCGAGTGGAAGTGCGGTCAAGAGGCGTATGGACAGCGGAACGATGTGATGAGGGCGGATCGGCGCTGACAGCGCGACGGGCATTTGGGGTTCGGGCTGTGGCAGGCGTTCGTGACGGAGTCTTGGTACGCGAAGAATCTACGTTTTGGGGCGACGACTCGATTGAGTCCATGGTGGGCCAGGCCGATGCTGTCGGCATAAACAGACGGCCATGTCCCAGGAGCGGGATATTGTTGATGGCGGATGGTAAATGCAGGACGCGAAGACGTGACGTTTGAGTCAAGTACGTACTCGGCTTCAGAAGTCAACGGTGGGCTCGAGGATCCACGGTTAGTAGCCACGACAGGCGGGGCACGGCAAGTGCCTACCAGGGTACCTGTCCAGGTGGGTACCTTCCAACAATGAAGGTCAACTTGGTACCTGCCTTGCCTGCCTTATTTTAGGCCTACCTTAGGCCCAAACTCGCAGCAGGCATTTGAGTGCTTGGTGCCTATTTTTATCAACCTCAAACTCACCAGACTCGATAATTAAACCATCCCCTGCCATCATCAGCCGGACCCCAGGATGCTTGACTGCCATGCTGCAAGCTGGAACACGGGTGTCAGCCTTAGGGTTGACTCTTCAGGATGAGCATATGGTTTCATTGGTGCTTTCAACGTTGTACCGAGCTTACCGCAAGAACGCATGATGGTTATTATTAGAAGCCGCTTTTCTCGTCAATCCAGGCACAGCCTCGACACATAAGGGGCCGGACCAGGGCCAGCGGCAAAACCTAGCTTGTTCGGCACACGACTGTGATCTTCTCGATCCACCACCCGCAAGGCCATATTCTGATGCTCGCCTCTTGTCGTGGATGGATCAATCTATACGTTCAAATGGGAGCTGAGATATCCCGAAGCGTCGATCTATTTCCCTTCCGGCTTTTACGGAACTACTCTGGGCGTACACCAGTGCAGGAGGAGGCTGGCATTGGATTTAGCTGCACGTTGCCGTAGTTTCTGGGGATCCTCATAGTTATAGGGATAGAAAATAACCATTAAAGCCAGAGCCAAGGTCGACTCCTCGGGCAGTTTCAAATGGACACCACTACTCCTCGGTATTGAAACAAAAGATTCCAGTTGTTGATCAACTTCTTCTTCACGGTGCCAAAACAAATATCAGACTCCGATGGACTTTTGTCTCCACACTTGGCGATTCAGCAGCGTGATCATCGAACAGCATCAAAGCTTTTATCGAGAAGTGGGCAATTCCTTCGCGATACATCTGCCGCTTACTAGAGATCGCCATCGCCCGGCGCTTCAGATAGACATATTGAAATCGCCGCAGGGGAAGTTCCGACTGGGTTGAAACGACCAGAACATGATCTTGGGGGGAGTATGACTTCTGTCGCAGATAGACTCCCGCTCATACCTAAAATACCGCCACTATGATCTCCCGCACAGCATGCTACCATACGAAGTATAAATGCGTCGAGTCACCCTATCTGCATATGAGGCAATGGCAATGACGGCAGAGGTGAAACGGACTTGTATGTACTACAGTATTGGGGCCAGTGTTAATAAATGAGACCAACATACAATGAAGAGGATTGTGTTTTAAAAGACGGCTCCCTATTGCATGTGTTGGGCGAAACAGAAAGGATTTATATTTACGAGTGACCGGGATTCCTGGGTCTGACTAACAAGCCATGTTCCGTCCAAAGCAGCGGTGGGTTTGCTTGAGCCAGATTCGTGTACGCACGAGAAACAGGTTTCCTCTTGTTTTCTCCTTCTTGATAACGTTGCAGTCCGCCACCAAGAGACAGAGTGGGTTTCAGTTATTGCCGATTTACAATATTGTCGATAAATTTAGAGAATTCCGCTCGGTCCTCCTGGCCAACGCTACACCCAGCTATGAGCTTGACAAGCAAAACTTCACAAAAATTTTCGAAATCGCCTGGATTCTCTTGCTTGATACAAGCGGAACCCACAGTAATATCAACATGTCACCCGACCTAAAATATTCCTCAGCACGACAAATTACGAGGGTGTACCAGATGAGGCTTGGGATCCCCTGATGCCACTCGTGCAATAATTTGGAGATAATCGAGCTAAAAAAAAATAACAGTCAGCTGAGGCGTATTTTCTCACAAGATCAAGGCGGTTTCGGGAGAGGTCGTAACTCACCTGGGCTCACACGAAGAGAAATGGCGCACAGAGACCCGTGCTCCACGGGGCAGTAATCCTCGAGTCATCAGAAACTTGCTTAGAGACGCAAGACTACAAGACGAGCTTCTCAAACTCTCCACTTGACAAGCCTGCGAAGTTAAAACTTCCACGTCCACGTATTGGAGCCATTCTTTGTCCTTTGGCCAACAACAGGGAACGATGGAGATGTTGGCCAACAGGATATCGGCAAACACAACTCTAGGCCATGGAGCTCTCAGAACAGCCGAGATGTTGAGCAGGGAGACATGTTGGTATGTTTCGATTGCAGTGAGCAGTTTAAGACGGTGGGCGAAACAACACAAGACTTGATTTAGCTGGTAGTTATATAAATAGCTACCTCTACCATCAGTACTGGCAGCCAGTTGCTGACAAAGTGCTGTAGTTTAGTCTTAATTGCACCTTGAAAGCCCAAAGGTCGACATCAACAGATTCCAGTGTGAAACGCCTGAGTTGGGTCACGGTAGTCACGCCAGAGATACGAGTTGGTAGTTGCGGCTAACGTCGGAGCTTGGTTCAGTTCGTCTTTTTACTGCTGATATACATGACATTGAGCGATGTGTGCACCAGAATTGTTTACCCCTTGGACGTACGTTTACGGCTCCTTCGCAGTGTTTTTGGTATGCACGTCGATATTCTCCACAACCCCCTAGTGTAGTGATATGCTGTCTCTGCCGTGGGTTTGATGCTGCTTACAAGATACAACTACTGTGTGGTTGGTATACAAGTATTGTCCAAATGTGAGTCGTTCACACTTTGCAGCACATCAGGGTGTGAAAGAACATTTGCTTGCTCAGCACAACATCTCGAGAGGTCGAATCGAAAGGGCCTGCAATGGCCTGATTGGCCTGCTGAAGGCTCCCAGGGTTAGATTCGGGATATTGGGCAAGGGTGGAAGCGAAGGCCCACACCCAACGAAAACACCATGCGGTTCCCTTGCTCCGGCAAAAAGCGCGCCTAGAAATGACATAGAATTCTGCATTGTGTACTATCCACACGCCCTGGCTACTCGGGGAGATGGACATGTCAAAGGCGACTGTAGCCTGCGAAGCGACAAAGGTTCCTAAATTTGCTTCATGCAATGCCGTCCGTCCCAAGCCCAGTATTATCCGTATACCTAGTATACCTACCTGCGCACGTCCACGATAATCCCACGCGCTTATTCCTCCATTATGCTGAGTCCTTACGGCTACAGCTATTCTTAGAATGTGACATTTGTCGCCATCTCCATTGTACGAACCAGTTGCCTGTTCCTGTCTCAGCGCTTGCCCCTTTTTGAGTGTTCTCGAGACCTCGGAATAACTGCCGAACCAGCGGCCCACGAACAACCAGTTCCTGCTCCGTAGGCCCGAAGGTATGCAATAGCTCCTAGTTCCGTGTGCAAAGAGTCGAAATCCATCCGTGTTGGGCGACGGGCATGGCCCCGACATTGGCTCCCCCCCTGGCTTTGGGGCTTCGTTCCCGGGTTGCCGGCGCCCTGTCAGACAATTAGCTTGGGCTATTTATTAACAGCGCAATTGACGATTTGTGCTCGCCCCAAACCATCCGTCATCCATCAACAAACCAATCTGACCAACATGAGAAAGGACTCGACCCACCAACAAAGACAGGGGCCCAACGGCATTTGCAAATTGGTCAATTGACTAATGACCCAGGTTCTCCGCAGCCCGCAGCCCGCAGCATTATTCCCGTCCTCGGCTCCCGCGCGTCGTGGCTCTAGAGTGTGACTAGTTGCCAGTCCATCTCTCAATAGACATAACCTCCACACCTTGTATACCAGGATGCTTCGTAATCCGTCCTACAATATGCATGTGTCAAATCTTTCCAACAGTCGGGTCATTACCGAGATTGCACAGTACACACGTCTCAGACGAAAGTCCGGACAAACGACAGCCACTCAGGTATTACCACCACTCTCCACGTCTCCAGTCACACACTCGTCTTCCGTAGCGATCCCACTGGACAACAGCCCTGTTGGCAGCCCTGTTGGCACATTCTGGAGTCCTTGACTCCCATTCCATGATTCGTTTCCTGGCCTTCTGCAGGTGGTCTGATTCAATCAACTCGTGCCAACACCAGACACAGAGCTTGTACTCGGACTTCATGTTGGCCTGACCAGACCAGGTCTGCCTTGGCCGGACCGGGAAGGTGCAAAATTGCGCCCATGTCCGTCTCAAGCCTCGTGTCACTGTGTGAACTCGCCAGGCAGCGGGGCATTGTTGGCAAGGCCAACATGGTCAGCCTGGTTCGAACCTTTTTGCAATGCTAAGCAAGTGTGCCCCTGTCCAGCTTCATTTTTCACTCCCTGGCCGATCAAGCGGTCCTGTACTCCATGTGGACAGGCGGTGCCATTATTCTTTCTCTGTGTAACTCAAGATCCAAGTTCCAATTTTACCTCGTTATTGCTTTTTTGATTGCAATTGCCGGCGGTTCCCGTGTAGATAATTTTGTCATCAAGGCTCATAGTATATATCCTATGAGCCTCTCCGCCTTGGACCGCTTTTTCTGCACAAGGCCTTGGTGGTCCTCAACTGACACAGTTCCTATCTTCCTGTCGGGTGCAAAAAATGGCTCATCTTTGCTGTCCCTTGTCGCCGTTTCGGGCGAATAGATTGCCCTGCAATAAGCCTCGACTTTATGTTGGGCTCTATGTCCGTGGTAGCTCGGCAAAAATGCCAGGCAGAGAAGACTCGTATGCAAACCTCGAGCACTCAGAAGCACAATGAACCTAAGCGCCCGCTAACCAGATTCTTCCAGTTACCATTGGGCCCTTTTGTCAGGCCCTAAAAACGACGCCAAGCCAGGTTTGCAGAATACCATGTACCATGTCAAGGACAAGTTGGTAATTGAGGGTGAGCCAAAAGCGGCCAGCTCAGTATGGGAATACTCAGTTGAATCGGACCGGTCTTCAATGCTATTAGTTCGTATAGTAGTGGGAAAGATCCGTGACATCCATCGACTTGAGAGT